ACTGGTCACCTTGCGGAAAGCGATCCTTCCAGCGCCACGCGCGTAGCGGTTCATGCTTCGTCCCGAGATCCCACATTGTAGCGTTATCGTTGCTTGCGGTCGTGCTCAACGCACTGGTTGAAATTGCATTCGAGTCGCTGTTCAAACTTGTAACGTCACTGTAGCGCGCGTCTTCGTCTTCCATTGCCATCCTCGATAGATCTGCTATTCCTAATGGATCATTTTCTATATCACCGGTGTCGATATTGTAAGTGCGACGCAAGATGGCAAAGAATTCGTCCTCCCGACCTTTATACCGGTCCATAAAGTGGTCTACTTGGCCCACCTTTTCAGGGTTTCTCTGCCGGTAAAACGCCCGCAAGTACTCCCGACTATCTCCCCACGCTCGTCGAAATCCTGCTGTAGGCGGGTCATCATCATCGAGCCATCCAGATACACAGATGTAGACATTCATACCGTCTCCCGCCGACACAAGATCAAAGCTAAAATCATGAACGCCCTTTGTTCTTGTATCTGCCTTCATGCCCATGACTCCAGCTCCAGCCGTACCAAAGAGCACCGTAGTGGCCGTGACACCTGCCGCCGAGCCCACTGCTGCACCTATCGTCGCTCCTGCCCCTCCAAGCGCCGTCAAACTAGCCGCAATAGCAGGAGCAGCCAGTCCACCCGTCACAGCAAGTAGTGCACCTCCTGTCATCATTGCTGCACCAATAGCCGCATGGCGTTTCATGTCCCACGTCTTGGACTTGGCCGACGCTTTATCCAATGGCATGGATGTAGCTTCAGCATACAGCGTTTGGCCAATCTGTACCTCCTCCTTTATCACATCTGTCCACTGTAGCTGCATAGCAAGTATCAATTTCCTTAGTAAAGTCCTAGATCTGGCATCGTAACCCACATTCTTCACGGTAAACCACAGGAGCTGCTTGACCACTTCAAGACGAAATCTATCGGTTGTGAGCAGTTCTGACATGTCCAAGGCATCATCGCCCTGTGTTCCTGAATGATTTTGTGGCTTACTCCGGTGCTTGAGCCTGATTGCCAAGCGTTGGAAGCCTACAATGGTGTCTCTATTGGGCACTATCAGAGCTAAAAAGGGTGACGGGTCTAGCTCATCTATTGTGGCAGTTGACGGCTCGTGCGCTTTTTCAGCTAACTGCAAATGTCGGGATGTCAAAATGGGTACATAAGCATCGGTTTGGGCATTATTGAGCCCGACAAAGTTCTCTATAAGAAGCTGGAGATACGTTTTGGACCAAATCAAGTCAGTAGAACCATCGGTGACAGCAGGCAGAAGACACGCACAGAGTCCAGCAACACCGCGTTTTTGCGATTGAGACAGGCAATCCATTGTACATTCAGTCTCAATGAACAAGATTGAAGCTCCAGGCGATGGTAACAGGATGGAAGAGTCGTCGGATAGACCCTTGGAGACACGGTCAAAGAGCTTTTTCATGATGGCTGCAACAATAAGATGAGATGTGATTGGATATATCTCATATCGAAATACCCAATTTTGTACACGTTTTGTCAGGAAGTGTAGCCATGAGCATGAAGAGACGCGGAAGCTAACGACGGTTTGGTGATGTTGAAAAGTGCTGATCGATGTGTTTTACAATCACTGAACGAAATTGCAAGATGTTTTTTTGGAGAAGTGATCAGTAGCAAAGCTGTATTTTCATATAACAAAGCCACTAGACAGCGAACGTAGGAGATGACTTGCGTACAAGTAGAAGAGTGCGAGGTTGAGCTGATGATTGGAGCCGAGAGCGTTGAAGTGGCAAAGGACTTTTAGAGCTAGTAAAAAACAACAATGAGGTTTCGGGTGTCAGGCGGTTGATAGATTGATCTAATCCTAGTGAAGTGCCATACTGAAGTGATATAACATAGCCGGAGTAGATCATTTTTACGTCGTTTCTTGTACAGAGTTGCCTGATTAGAATACTGATGGACCTCATGGATTTGCCGAAGGCGGCCGGCTGACGAGATGTCTTGAGCTGCTGAGACACGCAAATTTGCAGTCAATGGACAACGTCATGAGTTGGTCAAGAGTCTTTGGTTGTGGTGAATATCAATGATTGGACACAACAAAAGACCGAGGGATCTGCTACATGCAGGAACGAGTTGGCAAGAGATTAGTGTACAACGAGTTTGTCATGTGCTGTGGTTAAAGTGTGGACTTTACGAGAGTGGATGTCGTGTCCAAGTGGTTCTTAGGGTGTAGCTAGCAATATTTGTAACAAATAGTGATAGCTTTGTTAGACGAGTAGCCATAGAAGCAATTGAAATACAAGAGGTTGTAGAGCTCGAGTGGCGCGCTGGAGACAAGAGTTGCTAATGAAAGCCATTAGTTGACAAGAGATACGATACAGTATTCTACTATTAGACATTCCACACCTTCCTTTTGGCCATCATAATTGTTCTGAGTAGCTACTCGTCCTTATTTCAATCTTTGTAACTCGTAATGTACAAACTACAGAATTGCACCTTATCTCTTTTGTCTTCAAAGCTCATTCATTGCTAATGTACTGATCAATCTTTTGCAACTGTGACCCATAAGCTCGATTGTCTTCATACTTGTGACATTGTAGCTGAAATTTCCATCATAGAATCGCCCGTCTTCTAAGTTGCAAGCGCTTACTTACGCGTGGTTTTTGCTTCATTGCCATCACTCCTCAGAAGGGAGATACGTGTCTAGTTTGTGTTTCGCTTGTTCATTTCGTGTCGACTTGATTTGTTCAATTGAAATGAAGCAAGCAAGGTTTTGCGAAACAAGGACTACTCAATGCACCACTTCGAGACCGTCTCCGCCGGTCTGCTCCTTACCAGTTGAGTACCACACGAGGGTGCAAAGCACGTGCCGGTATGAATACGATCATTTCTCTGCGGTTTCTGTTAACTCGAGGACACGTTTAACTCTGTGACTACCACGTAGAATGAAACCTTGAGGAGACCAGCTAATGAACCAATCCATCAGACTAATATACAAAATAACAGTCGTGCTGGTCTTGCTGGCTGGATAGGTACCAAACCTCTTTGCCTCGTGTTCGACGAACTCTTGTCCGCAGTCTGGATTTTCAAGCGCATAAGCTACGACCAAAGCTTGGCTGCATACAAGCACGCATACCATTCTCTGGAATCTTTGGCCATTTTGTGACATCTGACATCAGCGCGAGTGGATGGCTTGGCCACCATTGAGCTCGCTGCAAATATCGCATCAATATTAGCATCGTATTGACGCGAAATTACAATTAGCTTGCCAAAGGGGTGGTGGTGGCGATCAGTACGAATAATAATAATGTGAACGTGAAGATCACGAGCCATAGTATGCATCCTTGCTAGCGACCGATATTTTGAAACACCAGAAACAACATGAACGGGAATGATGTCACGCAGAATCTATTAGCGCCGATAGTGCGTGCATTTGGCCAGCTACACGGCATTCGGCCCGTGCCAAGTAAGAATTGGTACTGGCAGGTCCCAGTGGTTTTGGCGTGTTAAAAAAACGCAACGGTGTGAGCATGTGTGATGTGTCAAGACAGCTTGGTGTGACGATTGAACGCTGTCAGCGTGCGACTAAGGATCAGCCACGGCGACCGTAAACTCGACGGAGTCGCACTCTGTCTTTTTTGGCATCAACAGCGCTGGTCAAGGTTAGGGAGTACTGCTGAAAACCAGCAACGGCATAGATTTGCACCAGAATAAGCTAATACCACGTCGATCAGACCGTTGGTGATGTTGTCAATTTCAACGCGTTGTTGGACACTGCATTTCAGACCCCAAAGCTCATCAAACATCCAAAAGCTTATGTCGAGTTTGTCTTGAGTGTCTCTGAAGACATAATTCTATTGACGCATTGCTTCCCGTCGTGAGCAACACCGTTGATAGCAAAAAAGAGACAACCATTTGAACGAGTATATCGTCTGAGATGATGTCTTTGTTGCTATGTTTGGATAGGATTCTGATGACAGGATGCGTACCATTTGAAATCTTAGTAGCACTAACGAGAGCTCCTTTTCATTGATTACTAGTTTTTGTCACAGCGTTGCAGACATTTCAGTACAAATTGACGATACGACACACATTGCAAACAAAATGCCAAAGTCAAAAGTCTCAATATCGAACACGCAACGACAATTCACTGCGTCATCTTCAATGTCAAGTTACTATATTGCCAATGGTATACCACCTTTATCTGTTATACCAACGCATCTGGAGCTATCGAATCAAGTAAGAAACGTATTGGCAAGACAGATTGCTGCTGCTGTTGAAGATGTACTGGACAGTATGATGCATGAAGAAACCGAGGATATTCATTGGCATGAAAAGATGCGGAAGGATGGAATCGTCTACTATGAAGACAAGGAGAGCGTGACGAAGGATCAGACACGATTTTGCTGCGTCAATATCACGGACGCTTCTGTCCAAGACGTCATTAGCCTGTTTGTTGTGTCCGATACAGACACGCTACTGCAGCGATGTCGTATCATGTACGACAACATTTTGGACGCCCGGATTCTTAACATGCTGGAACACCCATCGGACGAACGTCCGTTGCGTTCGTCCTACATACGCTACACTGCATTTAAGGCAAGAACACTGCAACGTAACCATCGCGATATGTACGTCGTCGTGTCCACCGACGTCATCCAATGTACGGACGGATCAACGTTTGGCTATTGCGTCTGGGACTCACTTAATCTACCTGATGTGTCCCAGTTGGATGTACCACATGGTTTCATTCGAACTCGCATGTTTCGTTCAGGATACTTTGTGCAAAACACAGGGCTACCTGATGCCCAGACTAAAGTAGCTTACATTGTAGGTATTGAGGCGGGTGGACTAGCCCCACGACTTACGACTCGATACTACATGCCCCGATTTGGAGAGGTTCTCAGCCGAGTTATTGCCCATTTCTATCGGAGACAGCTTGACCCCCTCGACATTCGTACGTCAGTCCGAATGGGCCGATAAACAAGCGGCAGAATTCTGTCAGTGCTGCAGTAAGCATTTTGGCGCAGTCAAGTTGTTGGACACTCGCCGATACAATTGCGTATCTTGTGGCGATGCGATTTGTCATGCTTGTCATCACATGGAGGAAGTTGACAACCCCAGGGCCAATAATACAAAAGTAGGGGTATGTGTTGGCTGTAAAACCGACAATAAGCGCAGGCTGTTGTCTCGTGTATTGCAATGGTCGAGAAGCTTTTCATCAGAGTCAACAGTGTCTTCGACGAGGTCTATGCTGTTATGAACTTGGACATGTAATGCACTATTGTAGCAAAGTAACTAAGGAGCAACCGGTCCCTACTTAGCACATGGATTCTTGTAGGAATCGCCTTGGACTAATTCGAAAAAGGAGCACTACAAAATCAAGTCGCCATCCAGCATGCGTCTTCTGATGTGCATTCACGTTGTGACTATGATCGCTCATCATGTTACTGCGTCATCGATGGTAGATCCCATGACGACCAAAACCTTGAAATCTGATTCCGTGTTTCTGTCTCAACCACTCTCTGCCAAGAACAGCGCACAAGACGAGCGACGCTTCATTTATCGGCGTCATGACAACAAACTTATTCCAGCTGGAGAAGAGCGAGGTTTTATCAGCTCGATCACAACATCCGTCACGAGTCGTGCTATTCTTTGATCAAATTATTATCGAAATGGAAAGCGTCAATTTTGGCGTCTTTTGTAGTGATTCTCGGGAATGTGTTAGGCTACTTTACCTTTATGATGTGATAGTAGTGATGTGGTTGTAAGTAGCGTCCAAGCGGCTGATTTGTTTTGTTTTAAAGATGCTAAAGCTTGGCTCAAAACATTTCGTGCTCGACCCTGTCTTGTTTGACAATCGCTTCATATGAGTACATGCAATGTCTTGAGAGTGGCATATCCTATTGTTGGTCTGGATCGGAGCCTGTTTGTTTCGCTAAGTCAGTATGAGCTGACCGTAAGAAGCTGGTCGGCTCAGTTTTGCCTTGACTGTACTGTAACTCGTATACAGGAATGAGTAATCCACATCAAAACTGCAGCATGTATGGCGATTTGTTAATGATGAACAGCATTGACGCAAGGCTATAAGGTCAGTTGAGGACACACGTATACGACTGCTGCTGGTGGTGCAGGTTGTGCGAGGTACTTGATTACATCCAAGAATCCATATACGTAGTCATCATCAGATGCGATGAAAACAATGGGCAGATATGGGCAGAGATTGCGGCTGTCTGGAGAAGTGTGCCGGACTTGACAATTCAAGACTTGTCATGTCGATTGAAACTCGATTTCTAGTAATGAATCACCCAATTCTTTGGTTCCAGAATATGAATTACATTTATTGTAATTCATATTCTTATTAAATATACATTTATTGTTCTGGAACCAAAGAATTGGGTGATTCATTACTAGACACATAAATATGTGTTTTAGCATGTAGCTTACAAAAAGTAGTCGTAAGTAGTGCTATTTTATAGTTATATTTTATAGTAAGGTTTTTTGAAATGATGACTCAGCTAAACAAAACCATAAAACCATCTTATGCATTTAAACTATTTTACTAGTGCTTATCTGCTATAATACTCACGCCCAAACTTTTAAGTTTGGCTTCAAATGTACTTGGTCGACTGTTATCTTTACATTCTTATACCTTTACAAAAAGACGTCCCTCAACCACATTTTATTATTGAAATACATACAATAGCTATCAGCTTTCTTCGCCTTGACAACATTTTCAAACACTTGGTAGACTCGTATACTACTTACATGATACAACATGGACCAGTTTGACTATTTTTGCTGTCAGAAGGTTCACGTGGCGATACTTGATACACTCCCGATTTAGACTTGAACTCGAAATTGCGTCCAAGATATCCACGTAACAGCCGCTGCTCTTTTGTAAGCAATCGGACCGAGTCGTCTACAATTTGCTTTGCAGCTAACGTGTCGGAGCCGTCACCGTTAGCTTGCTGTGCCATTAGATGTTCATACGCAACTTGGACACGAAAAGCGCACTTTGACACTCGGAGAGCAGCGACATAGGCCGATGATCCCTTGAGTGAATGAGCTTCACGGCGAGCGGTAACAAAATCATTGCGTTCATGAGCTTTGAGGATTCGGGACGTAATTGACTCGGACGTCGTTGCAAACTTCTCCAATAATGTTAAGAAAAGCTCTTCATGTCCTCCACACTGATCCACTCCCAATGAATAGTTCACCGGGTCACCTTCGGGAATCTCAATGCTCATGAGGTCGATCGATTGCGAGACCACAGCTACTTCTCGACTATCTTCGTCCACGGAACTATCAGTTTCCATACGCTCCAATACTGAAGGCATACCACTGCCACTACTGCTACTATGTCCTCCTCGGCTTGGATGGCTCCAATCAGAATCAAGGTCCTCATGGAAGCTGACCTTCTTTTTAGGCACGAGCCCACACCAAGATTCCGGTTCTTCAATCGGTAATTCCTTCTTGTTAAATGGCGGATGACTCCAAAGCGTTGGGTTTGTTGGCACTGAAGACCGCGCATCACCTAGAGTTGTGCCAATCAATTCTCCCGCTAATTGCGTTTTAAAGGAAGGTAGCGTCGCTGACGTCTCAGACGGTTGTTTCTCAGGCTCCGGCGGACTCGTTGTTGTAGAAGCACCGCTCGTGTTCCTCGATAATCTGAGTAAATCCGGCAATTCACTTGAGTTTGCTGTCCGTGAAGCATTGCTGTTCACAGAGGGACCCAAGCTGAAGATTGACGTCGTCGGTGTAGCAGTTCGAACAGCTCGGCCACTTTGAAGACCTATCGACATTGGGTCATCGAGCTCTAGATTTGAAATGGCCTGAGCAAGATCCAGTTGTTGCATATGGCGTGATGCAGGTGCAAGTCTGGCCGTTGACACAGTATCCATAAGTGTAACATCCTCAAGGTCACTAATAAACGATGGCACCGAAGTTGGTGCACCTGGTGAGGGCAAGCTTTTAGCTGTAGAGTGAGACACAGGCTCAAGTGATTCATTTGTAGAAGCAAGAACATGTGCCGCAGCTCCCAGAGAAGCGGTTTGCTGGCCAAGATAGCGAATGCGCATCCACTGCCGAATCGCTTTACGAAGACTCAGCTTTGAGATGGGCTTTACCATAAACTCGTCCATGCCACAGTCGAGACACTTTTGTCGATCGCCACTCATGGCGTACGCAGTTAAGCCGAGAATTGGGATGCGCGGAAGATTATGTGCAATCTCATATTCGCGGATTGTGGCTGTAGCTACATAACCGTTCATAATAGGCATTTCGCAATCCATGAATATTAAATCGAACTCTGTGTGGTTTTCACTGTAAGCCTTCACAGCATCGGAACCGTTCACCTCCCACTGCAGCAAGTGATCATCTTGCTGGAGGAAGCATTTTACCACTTCCCAATTAAACTCGTTATCCTCAACGACTAAGATTCGCGCCTGGGTTGGGACCTCTACTCGCACCGATGAATTTTCACCGTTTTCTCCGACAGTATCGAGCGACAGTGTTGCCACTAATGGATCCAGAAAGTCTTCTGACGAGTAGTAAGCGTGCTTCGGGTCCACCTCGTCAATCAACCTTACAACCACTGTGAAAAAGAAGTTACTACCAACACCCAACTCACTATCAACATCGATGGACCCATCCATAAGCTCCGCTAGCTGCTTGCAAATAGCAAGACCCAAACCAGAACCCGTTGGATTGTTCTGGCGTGTTCGCTCCAACTTCGTAAATAAGGAAAACAGACGCGTCTTTTCCTCTGCATCCATACCAATGCCGGTGTCGATAACTTGAAATAGCAATTTTTTGAATTGCTGTGGCAACTCAGGAGAACTCACCACGCTGCACGCGACTGTGATTGTGCCTTCATTCGTAAATTTGATTGCATTTGACAGCAAGTTCAACAAAACTTGACGCAAACGCACAACGTCGCCAATTACGGCCTTTGGTACATTATCACCGCACTTCAGCTCAAGCTGAAGCTTTCGCTCTCGAGCTTTGAACTTGAATATTTCGATCGAATAATCCAGCAAGTCATGCATTTGGAACGGTGCCGTCGATATTTCTAGATGTCCAGCCTCAATTTTCGACAAGTCCAAGATATCATTGATCAAATTCAGCAAAAGAGATCCAGATACATATGCCATGTGCACATATCTCTCAACTGATTTGTCAAGAGGTTGCTCCTTCAACAGCTCCAGCATTCCGAGCACACCATTCAGTGGCGTCCGCAGCTCGTGACTAAAAGAGGCCAAGAAATTCACCTTCGCAGACTCCATATGCTTCCTCGCTGTGTAATCTTGTCCGACGCCTATCACGCCACGAATGTTTCCGTGCATGTCTTTTTTGCTAGACGCATTCACAAGAAGCAGCAGGAACACGCCACGCTTTGTTGTCATCGGAAGCTCCATCTCGCCGACGTCAATACCGATCAGCGCTTGATTTAACAGTTGACGAACCTGCTGTCTACTTTCCGGGGTGATAAATGTGTGTACAAGCGAAAGCCCTAATACGCTTGACTTGTGATAGCCTGTAATCTCCTCAATTTTCTGATTCCACTCGTTGATGCGACCATTTGTATCGATACCAAAAATCGGAGCGTTCGCGGTATCAATCAGTCGAAAATACTCGTGTTCTTGGGCGATGCGATCGGTAATGTCTTGGCCAATACCGACAACGCCAACAATGTTTCCATTCAAGTCATACCTTGGTGTTGCGTTCAGTAAAATCTCAATTCTTGTGCCAGGTCGAGTAATTAGTGGAAATTCAAAATTCGCTGTTTCAACTCCTGTGAGAGCTTGCGACAACACTTCAGCAACAATAGGTCGAAACTCGGGAGATATAAACGTTTCTACAAGGTTTTCGCCCATAACTTCCTCAATCGAGTAGTTTGTGATTTGCGCCGCTTTCCGATTCCAGATGTTGACACACATGTTAGTATCCACACCAAAGATCGGCGCGTTGGCAGTGTCAATCAAGCGCGTATATTCTTGCTCTTGAGCAATACGCTCTGTAATATCCTGACCAATACCAACCATACCCTTCACTTCGCCATGCTCGTTGTAGCGCGGCGTCGCGTTCAGTAAGATTTCTACACGACGTCCAGCCTTTGTGATCAATGGGAACTCGAAATTCGCCGTCTCTACACCTTCGAACGCTTTCTCAAGAACGCTGCGCACAGGCACCTTGTATTCCTCCGAGATAAACTCGGCAACTAGGTCCTTGTCTAGCACGTCTTCATTCGTATACTGCATAATATCAGCAGCCTTGCGGTTCCAGATGTTCACACGTCCATTAATGTCCACGCCAAAGATCGGCGCGTTGGCTGTGTCAATCAGACGGCTGTACTCTTGCTCTTGAGCGATGCGCTCCGTTATATCCTGACCAATACCAACCATACCCATAACTTCGCCACGTTCATTGTAACGAGGTGTGGCATTCAGCAAGATCTCTACACGGCGGCATGCCTTCGTGATGAGCGGAAACTCAAAGTTGGCCGTCTCGACACCTTCAAACGCTTTCTCCAGCACACTACGCACAGGTACCTTGTACTCATTCGAAATGAACTCGGCAACCAAGTCTTTGCCCAGCACATCTTCATTCGTATACTGCATAATATCAGCAGCCTTGCGGTTCCAGATGTTCACACGTCCATTAATGTCCACGCCAAAGATCGGCGCGTTGGCTGTGTCAATCAGACGGCTGTACTCTTGCTCTTGAGCGATGCGCTCCGTTATATCCTGACCAATACCAACCATACCCATAACTTCGCCACGTTCATTGTAACGAGGTGTGGCATTCAGCAAGATCTCTACACGGCGGCCTGCCTTCGTGATGAGCGGAAACTCAAAGTTGGCCGTCTCGACACCTTCGAACGCTTTCTCCAGCACACTACGCACAGGTACCTTGTACTCATTCGAAATGAACTCGGCAACCAGGTCCTTACCGAGCACCTCGGCATTCATATATTGGGTTGTCTCGGCTGCCTTTCTGTTCCAAATGTTTACTCTTCCATTGATGTCCACACCAAAGATCGGCGCGTTGGCGGTGTCAATCAGGCGAGTATACTCCTGTTCTTGAGCAATACGTTCGGTAATATCCTGACCGATGCCTACTACTCCCATAACCTCACCGATCTCGTTAAAGCGAGACGTCGCATTCAGCAGAATCTCCACGCGACGGCCAGTTTTTGTGATCAATGGAAATTCAAAATTGGCGGTTTCGGTTCCAGCACAAGCTTTTGAAAAAACAAGTCGAACAGCTTCACGATAGTCTTTTGTGATAAACTTCTCCACCAAATTCTCACCCATCACATCATTGGATGTATACTGCGTGATTTCCGCAGCCTTCTTGTTCCAAATATTCACACAACCTTTCACATCCACACCAAAAATTGGTGCGTTGGCAGAATCAATCAACCTCGTGTATTCTTGCTCTTGTGCAATACGGTCGGTGATGTCCTGACCAATTCCCACAACGCCAACAATCTGCCCATGCTGATCGAATCGAGCTGTGGCGTTCAGCAATATGTTCACCTTTCTGTCGGTTTTCGTCGTAAGCGCTAGCTCAAAGCTCGCTGTTTCGTTTCCTTGCAATGCCTCAGCCATAATGTTCGACGTGATAGATTTGAAATCAGGTGAAATAATCGTATCAACGTACATCTCTCCAACCACCTCATCAGCTGTAAATTTGGTTATCTGTTGAGCTTTTCGATTGAAGATGTTGATGCGCATATTTGTATCCACACCAAAGATCGGCGCGTTGGCAGTGTCGATCAAGCGCGTATACTCTTGCTCTTGAGCAATACGCTCTGTAATATCCTGACCAATACCAACCATACCCTTCACTTTGCCATGCTCGTTGTAGCGCGGCGTCGCGTTCAGTAAGATCTCTACACGACGTCCAGCCTTTGTGATCAATGGGAACTCGAAATTCGCCGTCTCTACACCTTCGAACGCTTTCTCAAGAACGCTGCGCACAGGCACCTTGTATTCCTCCGAGATAAACTCGGCAACTAGGTCCTTGTCTAGCACGTCTTCATTCGTATACTGCATAATATCAGCAGCCTTGCGGTTCCAGATGTTCACACGTCCATTAATGTCCACGCCAAAGATCGGCGCGTTGGCTGTGTCAATCAGACGGCTGTACTCTTGCTCTTGAGCGATGCGCTCCGTTATATCCTGACCAATACCAACCATACCCATAACTTCGCCACGTTCATTGTAACGAGGTGTGGCATTCAGCAAGATCTCTACACGGCGGCCTGCCTTCGTGATGAGCGGAAACTCAAAGTTGGCCGTCTCGACACCTTCAAACGCTTTCTCCAGCACACTACGCACAGGTACCTTGTACTCATTCGAAATGAACTCGGCAACCAAGTCTTTGCCCAGCACATCTTCATTGGTGTATTGCATGATGTCTGCAGCTTTTCGATTCCATATATTCACGCGACCGTTGATATCGACACCAAAGATCGGCGCGTTGGCAGTGTCGATCAAGCGCGTATACTCTTGCTCTTGAGCAATACGCTCCGTAATATCCTGACCAATACCAACCATACCCATGACCTCACCATGCTCGTTGTAGCGCGGCGTCGCGTTCAGTAAGATCTCTACACGACGTCCAGCCTTTGTGATCAATGGGAACTCGAAATTCGCCGTCTCCACACCTTCGAACGCTTTCTCAAGAACGCTGCGCACAGGCACCTTGTATTCCTCCGAGATAAACTCGGCAACTAGGTCCTTGTCTAGCACGTCTTCATTCGTATACTGCATAATATCAGCAGCCTTGCGGTTCCAGATGTTCACACGTCCATTAATGTCCACGCCAAAGATCGGCGCGTTGGCTGTGTCAATCAGACGGCTGTACTCTTGCTCTTGAGCGATGCGCTCCGTTATATCCTGACCAATACCAACCATACCCATAACTTCGCCACGTTCATTGTAACGAGGTGTGGCATTCAGCAAGATCTCTACACGGCGGCCTGCCTTCGTGATGAGCGGAAACTCAAAGTTAGCCGTCTCGACACCTTCAAACGCTTTCTCCAGCACACTACGCACAGGTACCTTGTACTCATTCGAAATGAACTCGGCAACCAAGTCTTTGCCCAGCACATCTTCATTGGTGTATTGCATGATGTCTGCAGCTTTTCGATTCCATATATTCACGCGACCGTTGATATCGACACCAAAGATCGGCGCGTTGGCAGTGTCGATCAAGCGCGTATACTCTTGCTCTTGAGCAATACGCTCTGTAATATCCTGACCAATACCAACCATACCCATGACCTCGCCATGCTCGTTGTAGCGCGGCGTCGCGTTCAGTAAGATCTCTACACGACGTCCAGCCTTTGTGATCAATGGGAACTCGAAATTCGCCGTCTCCACACCTTCGAACGCTTTCTCAAGAACGCTGCGCACAGGCACCTTGTATTCCTCCGAGATAAACTCGGCAACTAGGTCCTTGTCTAGCACGTCTTCATTCGTATACTGCATAATATCAGCAGCCTTGCGGTTCCAGATGTTCACACGTCCATTAATGTCCACGCCAAAGATCGGCGCGTTGGCTGTGTCAATCAGACGGCTGTACTCTTGCTCTTGAGCGATGCGCTCCGTTATATCCTGACCAATACCAACCATACCCATAACTTCGCCACGTTCATTGTAACGAGGTGTGGCATTCAGCAAGATCTCTACACGGCGGCCTGCCTTCGTGATGAGCGGAAACTCAAAGTTGGCCGTCTCGACACCTTCAAACGCTTTCTCCAGCACACTACGCACAGGTACCTTGTACTCATTCGAAATGAACTCGGCAACCAAGTCTTTGCCCAGCACATCTTCATTGGTGTATTGCATGATGTCTGCAGCTTTTCGATTCCATATATTCACGCGACCGTTGATATCGACACCAAAGATCGGCGCGTTGGCAGTGTCGATCAAGCGCGTATACTCTTGCTCTTGAGCAATACGCTCTGTAATATCCTGACCAATACCAACCATACCCATGACCTCGCCATGCTCGTTGTAGCGCGGCGTCGCGTTCAGTAAGATCTCTACACGACGTCCAGCCTTTGTGATCAATGGGAACTCGAAATTCGCCGTCTCTACACCTTCGAACGCTTTCTCAAGAACGCTGCGCACAGGCACCTTGTATTCCTCCGAGATAAACTCGGCAACTAGGTCCTTGTCTAGCACATCTTCATTCGTATACTGCATAATATCAGCAGCCTTGCGGTTCCAGATGTTCACACGTCCATTAATGTCCACGCCAAAGATCGGCGCGTTGGCTGTGTCAATCAGACGGCTGTACTCTTGCTCTTGAGCGATGCGCTCCGTTATATCCTGACCAATACCAACCATACCCATAACTTCGCCACGTTCATTGTAACGAGGTGTGGCATTCAGCAAGATCTCTACACGGCGGCCTGCCTTCGTGATGAGCGGAAACTCAAAGTTGGCCGTCTCGACACCTTCAAACGCTTTCTCCAGCACACTACGCACAGGTACCTTGTACTCATTCGAAATGAACTCGGCAACCAGGTCCTTACCGAGCACCTCGGCATTCGTGTATTGGGTGTGTCTCGGCTGCCTTTCTGTTCCAAATGTTTACTCTTCCATTGATGTCCACACCAAAGATCGGCGCGTTGGCGGTGTCAATCAGACGGCTGTACTCTTGCTCTTGAGCGATGCGCTCCGTTATATCCTGACCAATACCAACCATACCCATAACTTCGCCACGTTCATTGTAACGAGGTGTGGCATTCAGCAAGATCTCTACACGGCGGCCTGCCTTCGTGATGAGCGGAAACTCAAAGTTGGCCGTCTCGACACCTTCAAACGCTTTCTCCAGCACACTACGCACAGGTACCTTGTACTCATTCGAAATGAACTCGGCAACCAAGTCTTTGCCCAGCACATCTTCATTGGTGTATTGCATGATGTCTGCAGCTTTTCGATTCCATATATTCACGCGACCGTTGATATCGACACCAAAGATCGGCGCGTTGGCAGTGTCGATCAAGCGCGTATACTCTTGCTCTTGAGCAATACGCTCTGTAATATCCTGACCAATACCAACCATACCCATGACCTCGCCATGCTCGTTGTAGCGCGGCGTCGCGTTCAGTAAGATTTCTACACGACGTCCAGCCTTTGTGATCAATGGGAACTCGAAATTCGCCGTCTCTACACCTTCGAACGCTTTCTCAAGAACGCTGCGCACAGGCACCTTGTATTCCTCCGAGATAAACTCGGCAACTAGGTCCTTGTCTAGCACATCTTCATTCGTATACTGCATAATATCAGCAGCCTTGCGGTTCCAGATGTTCACACGTCCAATAATGTCCACGCCAAAGATCGGCGCGTTGGCTGTGTCAATCAGACGGCTGTACTCTTGCTCTTGAGCGATGCGCTCCGTTATATCCTGACCAATACCAACCATACCCATAACTTCGCCACGTTCATTGTAACGAGGTGTGGCATTCAGCAAGATCTCTACACGGCGGCCTGCCTTCGTGATGAGCGGAAACTCAAAGTTGGCCGTCTCGACACCTTCAAACGCTTTCTCCAGCACACTACGCACAGGTACCTTGTACTCATTCGAAATGAACTCGGCAACCAAGTCTTTGCCCAGCACATCTTCATTGGTGTATTGCATGATGTCTGCAGCTTTTCGATTCCATATATTCACGCGACCGTTGATATCGACACCAAAGATCGGCGCGTTGGCAGTGTCGATCAAGCGCGTATACTCTTGCTCTTGAGCAATACGCTCCGTAATATCCTGACCAATACCAACCATACCCATGACCTCACCATGCTCGTTGTAGCGCGGCGTCGCGTTCAGTAAGATTTCTACACGACGTCCAGCCTTTGTGATCAATGGGAACTCGAAATTCGCCGTCTCTACACCTTCGAACGCTTTCTCAAGAACGCTGCGCACAGGCACCTTGTATTCCTCCGAGATAAACTCGGCAACTAGGTCCTTGTCTAGCACGTCTTCATTCGTATACTGCATAATATCAGCAGCCTTGCGGTTCCAGATGTTCACACGTCCATTAATGTCCACGCCAAAGATCGGCGCGTTGGCTGTGTCAATCAGACGGCTGTACTCTTGCTCTTGAGCGATGCGCTCCGTTATATCCTGACCAATACCAACCATACCCATAACTTCGCCACGTTCATTGTAACGAGGTGTGGCATTCAGCAAGATCTCTACACGGCGGCCTGCCTTCGTGATGAGCGGAAACTCAAAGTTAGCCGTCTCGACACCTTCAAACGCTTTCTCCAGCACACTACGCACAGGTACCTTGTACTCATTCGAAATGAACTCGGCAACCAAGTCTTTGCCCAGCACATCTTCATTGGTGTATTGCATGATGTCTGCAGCTTTTCGATTCCATATATTCACGCGACCGTTGATATCCACACCAAAGATCGGCGCGTTGGCAGTGTCGATCAAGCGCGTATACTCTTGCTCTTGAGCAATACGCTCCGTGATATCTTGACCAATACCAACCATACCAATGACAACACCATGTTCATTGTAACGTGGTGTAGCATTCAGCAAGATCTCAACGCGTCGGCCAGCCTTTGTGATCAATGGGAATTCAAAGTTTGCTGTCTCAACACCCTTCAACGCCTCAGACAGCACATTGCTTACAGCTTCCTGATAGTCTTTTGTAATGTACTTTTCCACGAGTTTCTCTCCCATCACTGCATCGGTCGTGTATTGCATAATCTCCGCAGCCTTTTTGTTCCAGATATTTACACGGCCTTCACTATCCACACCAAAGATGGGGGCGTTGGCAGTATCAATCAAGCGTATGTACTCCTGTTCCTGTGCAATGCGCTCTGTGATGTCTTGACCAATTCCTGTAACACCAAAGATTTGTCCCAGCTCGTCGTACCGTGGTGTTGCATTGAGCAGAATCTCAACTCTGCGTCCAGTCTTCGTAACGAGAGGAAAGTCAAAGTTTCCAGTCGGTTCTCCTTGAAGAGCTTTCCGGAGATTGAACCGAACTTCGCTGCGGTGGTCTTCAGCAACAAAACAGTTTACCAGATCTTGCCCTATCACCTCGTCCGATGCAAACTGGGTAATTTCCGCTACTTTCAGATTCCAAATATTCACTCGTCCGTCTTGATCTACACCGAAGATTGGAGCATTTGCCGAATGAATCATCCGATTCTTTTCCTTTTCTTGTGCCATTCGCACTGTGATATCTTGACCAATACCAACCATACCCATCACCTCTCCCTGCTCATTATAGCGTGGCGTGGCATTCAGCAAGATCTCTACTCGGCGACCTGCCTTCGTGATGAGCGGAAACTCAAAATTGGCTGTCTCGATACCTTCAAATGCCTTTTCCAACACACTACGCACAGGTACCTTGTACTTGTTCGAAATGAACTCGGCAACCAGGTCCTTACCGAGCACCTCGGCATTCATATATTGGGTTGTCTCGGCTGCCTTTCTGTTCCAAATGTTTACTCTTCCATTGATGTCCACACCAAAGATCGGCGCGTTGGCAGTGTCGATCAGACGAGTATACTCCTGTTCTTGAGCAATACGATCCGTGATATCTTGACCAATACCAACCATACCAATGACAACACCATGTTCATTGTAACGTGGTGTAGCATTCAGCAAGATCTCAACGCGTCGGCCAGCCTTTGTGATCAATGGGAATTCAAAGTTTGCTGTCTCAACACCCTTCAACGCCTCAGACAGCACATTGCTTACAGCTTCCTGATAGTCTTTTGTAATGTACTTTTCCACGAGTTTCTCTCCCATCACTGCATCGGTCGTGTATTGCATAATCTCCGCAGCCTTTTTGTTCCAGATATTTACACGGCCTTCACTATCCACACCAAAGATGGGGGCGTTGGCAGTATCAATCAAGCGTATGTACTCCTGTTCCTGTGCAATGCGCTCTGTGATGTCTTGACCAATTCCTGTAACACCAAAGATTTGTCCCAGCTCGTCGTACCGTGGTGTTGCATTGAGCAGAATCTCAACTCTGCGTCCAGTCTTCGTCACGAGAGGAAAGTCAAAGTTTCCAGTCTGCTCTCCTTGGAGGGCCTTACGAAGCAACAAACCTACGGACTCACGATGATCTTCAGCGACAAACTGATTTACTAAGTTCCTTCCCATTACTTCTTCGGAAGAAAACTGGGTAATTTCCGCTACTTTCAAATTCCAAATATTCACTCGTCCGTCTTGATCTACGCCAAATATGGGCGCGTTGGCCGAGTGAATTAGCCGATTTGTTTCCTTCTCCTGAGCCATACGTATGGTGATATCCTGCCCAATACCTACGACACCAATCACAATCCCCTTCTCGTTAAAGCGCGAAGTGGCATTCAGTAAAATCTCCACGCGACGACCGTCCTTTGTGATCAGCGGAAATTCAAAGTTTGCTGTCTCTTGCCCCTTCAACGCTTGGGATAACACTGCCCACACTGCCTCCTGGAAATCGTCTGGAATAAAGTTTTTTACCAAATTTACTCCAAGCACCTCTTCGTTCGAATATTGTGTTGTGTCAGCAGCTTTACGGTTCCAAATGTTCACACGCCCCTTTTCATCCACTCCAAAGATTGGCGCATTAGCTGTATCAATAAGACGTGTATACTCCTGCTCTTGAGCGCGTCGGTCTGTGATGTCTTGACCAATTCCAACAGCTCCACAAATGTTGCCAAAATGATCGTACTTCGGTGTCGCATTGAGCAAAATCTCAAGTCGACGACCACTTTTTGTGATAAGTGGAAAATCAAAATTTGCTGTTCCTGTTCCTTCAAGGGCTTTTAGAAAAACCTCAGCAACGGCATCCCGGTAGTCTTCAGATATGAACTTGAACAGATCCTGACCAATTGTATCTTCATTTGTGTATTCTGTAATAGCTGCTGCTTTCTTATTCCAGATTATCACCTTATAGTTCGAGTCCACACCAAAAATTGGAGCATTGGCTGTGTCAATTAATCGACTGTACTCCTTCTCCTGAATAATACGATCCGTGATGTCCTGTCCAATCCCAACGACACCCACTAGTTTGCCTGTGTGATCATATCGAGGTGTCGCGTTCAGCAGAATCTCTACTTTTCGACCAGTTTTGGTCACCAATGGAAACTCAAAGTTTGCGGTTTCCGTTCCCTGAAAGGCGCTATGAAAAACAGCAGCAACGGCAGGTCGAAACTCTTCCGAAATAAGTGTATCTACTAGATCCACACCCATAACTTCTTCCGGTGCGTACTCGCTAATCTGTGCCGCTTTGGCATTGAAAATCACGACCCGTCCTTCCGTATCTACACCAAAAATTGGCGCATTTGCCGTCTCAATAAGTTTTCTGTACTCCATCTCCTTCGTGTTCCTTTCGGTCACATCTTGTCCAATAGCAACGACCCCCATGACTGATCCCAGAGTGTCAAATCTCGGCGTCAAGCACAGCACAATTTCCACTCTCGATCCTCTTGCTGTTACAAGAGGCAGTTCAAAATCAGCACCAGGAGTGCCTGTCAATGCCTGATCAATCTTTTCCGACACGATCTTGCGGAAACTTTCGTCCACGACAGGTAGCAGTGGTTCACCAACCATATCAGCACTGGTATAACCCGTCATGGATGCTGTTTTGGTATTCCAGACAGTAATATTGCCTTCTTTATCCAATTCAATGATTGGTGCATTGGCCTGCATCATCACTGTCGCATACTGTTTCTCCTGACTCGCCCACTCTGTAACATCTTGACCAACACCATAGACACCAATACACGAGCCATCCTCAGCCAAGAGTGGTGTCATATTCGTCAGGACTTGAGCATTTCGTCCCTTTGTATTCCGTAGTGGAATACGTAGCTCTAACTCCGGTCTCTTGGTTTCAATACAAACTCGAATCGTTGCCATCACTTTCTCCTTGCACTGACCGCCGTATATAAAATCTTCCAGAGGACGACCTAGTACTCGTTCTGTATCAAAGCCTGTAATATCTACTAAGCGCTTATTCCAGACAATAACACGACCTGTACTATCAACACCAATGGCTGGTGCATTAGCATCTAATAGTAATTGTGCAAGTGCATAAACTTGTGACGAGAACTGATGGGTTGAAAACTGGTTTAAAAACTGGTATTTCTTTAACAATGCAGTTTCATCTATAATCGTTTTGTTCCTGTTCGTCATGGATAAGGCATTTTGATCATGCAACTGAGACTTTTCGTGCTTATCCATGAATGGGACGATTTGAGACTGAAGTAATACAAGAAACCCAAAACTCTTTTTCGAAGCTTCTTTATTCTCTCTCTCTCTATCTATATATGTATATGAGAGAGAATATGGCTAGGGGGTCGGTCCTTCTGATAGCCCAGTTGCGACTAAGAACCATGTCCTGGTTATGAGATACTTACAGTGCAACTGTATTGCAATTGCGCCAGATGGTACAGAGATGCGTCAAACGTATGAGTACATACTACCGCACTTTGTTACGATATCGCTGTTTGTTTGTACCGGTATCATGAGAACACTGTCACGTTTCTATTTTTTGTGTCGGTTTCATTCTATTTCTAGTCACTTTGATTTCAGTAAATAGACTGACAAGAATGTAGATACTACTACTACTACTATACTACCTTCCTGCTATCGATGCAAGACATTTGCCATTACAAATCTACTTATCATTCGATAGTTTATTACATTGTTGTTTGTGGTAAGGGATAATAAGTCTAGGCCACAAATCAGCCGACGTCATGGATAGACAGACGACTGGCGCTAGTCACTGGTCGGCGCGAACGTCGGACTGCGACATTTGTGCTGTATGCGACTAGCTTTTAGTTAGTCACGTCGACACTTGAACATTTAATGCGCTTAGAGTATTGATACTGGCTGCCTGTTGTAGATGTCGCAACCTTCGTTCAACGTTTATGGTCGTCCTCCTCTCTTGCAGCAACTCTTTTCGCTACTGTTACCCATATACAATCATCTTGTTTTTTCTATAGTGATTCAAAGCACGAAGAGGTCTCAAGTTGAAGAAAGATAATAATAATAATAATATCACATGACTCATTGACTAAAACTTGCAAAACTTAATACTCATGATGCGTTCTCATTGGACTGTGATTACTTAAACATCCTTGCCTTGAGTCTTTGTGATTATCAACCAATCAAACACTACTATCCTATAAGACGAACATCTACCAGGTCACACTGATTTCACGGGCACTAGGACGGTTCATTGCTCTCTCTTTACCATGATAAAAGACAAGGAAGCAGTAAAAGAAGACGAGGAAGAAGACATTCAACATCGCCTACAAGATCTTAAGATTTCTTGTCCTGAAATTCAATGTTTGAATGACTTAAATGCCACTCCAATGGACTTAAAAACGAATCTCAAGCTCCTGGAATTACAAGTGACACAGCTACGGACGCAATTACTGGCTGCTGTAGCGCATCGTGAAGACAATGACGTGGCTTTTCGACAAGCAGCAGAGTATGCAACAGCTAAAGGTTCAGCCAATGGGGTTCTCCATGCACTCTTTGATCAGGCAAGTGCTGGGAAAACAGCGGTTCTAACGGCCTATTTAGATACTGGTTCGATTCCTACACGAGACGGACTAAGACATTGTAAACTCGATCTTCGTACGATTCGTAATGAAGTTGGAGCTACGCTGCTTCATGTGGCAGTAGGGGTATCCACTGCAAGGCAAAATGTCAAGGTGAAGCTCGTGCATTTGCTAGTGGATAGAGTGGGTTTTGATCCGAATGTCCAGAATGTGGTAAGGCTGTGGACTTTTTAAACTTGATAGAGGGAGTAGGAGATTTGGTTGATTGGTTAATTGATTGATGACGAGCAGTTTGGACAGACACCGTTACATGTTGCAGCGATGGGAGGATACCCAGAGGTTTGGAGAGATTATGCAGGACGACATGAGTATTAGTACGATTAAGTTGTGTTAAATGATGGCAAACAGGTGGTACAAGCGTTATTGGATCGAGGCGTGAATCCCATAGCTCAAGACAGAGCTGGTTTTACTGCATTGTCGCTCGTTCGGACGTTGTCAAGACCTCCGCATGAGGTTGTTAAATTATTAGTGGATGCAGAAAGCGCAGCAATGCAGAGTACGGTGTGCACTTGTGGGACTTGTGATGTTTTAATGTCTACCCTGTCGCTGATTCTGCTCTTGCTTTGCACTATCTTACCTTGTACAAGGTATGCGCGTGAGATCGGATTCGGTCCACTTATCTGTGAGTATTTTTGCTGTAATCGAGCAAGTTGAAGGGCAACTAACGCCTCTGGTATGGCACGATTGTTATTGATAGAAAGCGCTTGCGTCAGCTTTATTCCTTCGAGGATTGTCTCCGTTCACTCTGCCACATCAATCTGGTGCATTTGCTCAGCAAACTGCAGCGCTGGTGAACATATTTCTAGAAGGTACTATTAGAGGATTACTTTCCAGCGTTATACGGCAATTGGTGACGGTGACGATGTATTTTACAGGTGAACAAGAAGGTGACGTGGCCTTTGACAAACTTCTCCAGGAGCGGGTCTCGATGCTGTTCGATGCTGTGCCTACTTGTCAAATTGTTCGTCTGGATACAATCTTTGCATGCAGCCTTTACTCGGACTCAGGTTTTGTTGACAATCTAAAACTTGAGGCAGATAGATATGGGTTTTCACTCGTGTTGCCAGCCGTAACTTCTGCTGCGCTTTTTGGACCGACTTGGGTGGGTGTGCTGTTAAAGCTCGTCCAGCGTTTCAAAGTGGAGATGGCCAAAGCTGCGTCAACTGATTGCCCAACGAACGACAATTTGGCAGCTCCAGCTACTTCATGCGTTTTAAACGACGAGGACGTGGTGATTGAGGAAGGTAGTAATAAAGAGCTGATAGCCTCGCCACTGCGCAAGTTATCGACGACCTCTTTGTCTTCGTCATGCTCGGTCGACTCACGTTCCGCATTGTACTACGCGGATCAGGAGACGGCTACTGCTACAGCCCGTAAAGTTTGGTACTACGCGGTGTTGTTCAAGGCCTCGACGTCCTCTTTTCCAGGAACGCTTTTGGTAACGCCCGAGAGCGATGTTGCAGTCTCATCAGAGGAGGTGTCCATGTATTTTCCGCTGGAAGACCGCCTTTTGATCGGCTCGGGAGAGTATTTTGCAACCGAATACAACCCACAGACACGCGAAATTCGGCTGGGTGGGATGATGATGACATGATGTTTGTCTACGATTCCATTTTACTAAGGACCCGTGGCTCATGTATTATGAAAATTGGCGCATAGATCGTAACTACGATGGAAAAGAAGCTGTCACCGTGAAGGCATATGTTACAGGAGCGTGTTCATCTCAGCGGCCTCCTTATGTTGCACTCAAAAGGATATGGGAGCGCCAGCCCGGTAATAAGTACGAAGACCAAATGAGCAGCGAGCAGGTATGTGTCCATGCTATCGTCACTGAAGCTTTGCAACAGCGTTTTTTGGATCTCATAGGGTCTACTGATCATGCTGTGCACAGGAACTCTTTCAAGACTACCAGTTTTTGGATCCAGAAAGTGAATACGAGGTAGCAATCAAACTCGGGCCAATACCGAGCAGAAAGGATGCGAAAGAAATTGTTGCAGAATGGAAGCGAGCTGCTAAGCAGCTTTTCGATTCTCGAGAGTATGTTTGATCCCGCCATGTACTTTCAAAACTGCAAGAATATACTATGTGCCTGACGAACGTGTCCGTTTCGGTGTGTGCAGATGCAAATCTGATTTAGCGTGCTGTCAATATTATTGTCAACAGCGTAATGGTCATTCCTTGGTACGTGTGTTGGTGGTTTACGTCCACCTCTGCTATGCAGTCACTCACTTCTGTGTCAATGCATGTGATGGTCTCAGTGTTTGGGTACGTTAGCTGTACTTGGACAAGGTCTTGCCAAAAGTCGTCTGGGACGCATAACATATTCCAAGTCTTTGAAACCTCGTGCCTCTCTTCAACGCCTTCAGAATCGTTTCAGAGGAACGGAAGAGTGGCCAGGTTCAGCATCTAATGTTACACCAGTGATGCTGGCAAGTCCACCGTAAATAGGCTAAGCTTAGCTAGCTACGATTGTAGCAACTTGATGTAGTCATCACTATCTTTTGTACTAGCACAAGAAACAAAGCGTATCATTTTTCAAAACCATTTGCAAATGTATGTTCACACCAAGTTAGGTGCATGACGGATACCGTCATGAATATCCCGCTTTATGTAGCTGTCGGTCGAATTCCACGAATCCGCAATGATAGCTGTATGTCCTTCACCTGGAGCGTCACACGCTTGCCATGAATAGCACACAAGTTCCTACATTTGAATCGACACACAACCAACCAACCAATTAATTAATGAATGCAATCAATCATCCTCATACATCTTCTCTAGCATAAAAAACCTTTTCGACGTACGCGTCTTCAAAGGTACGAACAAGGTACGTCTCAGCTGCTTCTTGCAATGCAAGCAATGCCTCAGCTTGCCAGCGGTAACCGACACCTGTAAATTCTGTCTGAATCTCACGCACAACACGTGCAAATGGCAGTTTTCGAAGCAGCAACTTGGTCGACCGTTGTAATAACCGAATCTCCCGTAACGCCAATTCGCCTGGTTTTCTCCGTCGTTTAACTGGCTGTGTAGTATTCACAGGACTACTCGGACGTCGACGTGGTGGCGTAGCTTTCCTTTTACGTCTTGGAGCTGTAGGAGTAGCATGAATAGCAGCCTGACGACCAACGGGGACCACGGACGGTCGACGTGCCGGGACATTGGGCGGAGGGGATGACACAGAAGACGTGAACGACGCTATTGCAGTCACTGGAGACGAGACAGGAACACGCTTGGAGGTGATAAAAGGAGGAGAATTTGGTGGTGTGGATTTGTCGCTGCCACTGTCAGTCACACTGCTACTAGAGGCATCAGTGTCAATTGCACGAGGTATTGCCGACATGGCTCTCCAAAACGTCCTTAAGATTTAAAAAAAGCAAAACACAGGACAGAAAAACCGAAGTATTGTTTTTGAAAAAAGCGCTTTTTAAGATAAAGGAATCTATTTTAAAAGTCCACGTACGACGACGTGCGGTATTTTTAAGCCTCACTTTTTCCATTCCATTCCAATTGGTGCCGTCCGGTCTTTTTCGTAGTTTTTACCCGACACTTCTTTCCAGTTGGTAGATAGCACTGTGCCACCAGAGGTTTGCTAATTTTTCATAGAGTAACCAACCATCCACATACCAGTTAGTATGCCTATCTATATCTAGTATTCATGCACGTAGTGCTTGCTGTACGTACAAAAGACTTGTTCATGGCCTTGCGCGTGTTTTCGTCGGCCTTGGCATAAATATCACGAAAAAGCTTTTGCATCGCTTCCTCGCCTTTGGGTTCCTCTGCCTCTAGCTCTTCATCAATAGCCTTTTCAATCTCGTTCCAGTTTCGGTTGCTCACGTATGGACGTGGTGTACATTCGGGTTTTGCCACTAAGACAGCCGGATGGCCCCTCATGACTTGTGCACCCGACACAACCTCTTTGAGTTTATTCCAGTACAGGCCAGTGCTCTTTTTCTTGAGCTTTAGCTCTACTTTTGTACCCAAAATCTTGTACGAACTCTCGCCAGGAACGACTTCGTCAAAGAGAGCGTCGTCAAATGCCTGTACCCATTCTCCATCCAGCTTCACCCGAACAATAAGCTTCTTTGGCTCAATACTTACTTCAACATCTTCTTGTATGAGTTTCTTCTGTAAAATTGATAATGTCACGTAAGTTTCTGACTGATACCAGTCATGACTTGCAAGAACAATGTACAATGTCAGAATCAATTCACAAGCTCATCATCTCTACCTCATTATTTCTCACCAAATAGTCGGCTTATCCGACAGCAAATCCACTATACCAGCAGTCTTGTGATTGTTCGTCTTAAGGCTTTGCACTATTGCAGGTGGCTTATCAATAACAACCAGCTTTTCATCACCTGGACACAGGAACAAGAGACAAGTAAGCACAAAACGTAACACCATTATCTATCCAGCTTCAGCGCCTTACGTTCCAATATTGCGTCACACTTGCGGATCCATATCTGGAACTGCTGGACCAATGTCTCGTCGGTCGTAGGTGCTGTTTCTTTCCCTATTTGAAAAACTTGCTTAGCCTCCGTGTATCTTTCCAGCTCAAATAATGCCATGCTGTAGTCACCAAATAGTTTTCAGTCTCATTTATATTTATCATATATATCCTGGCTATAGTAATACAATAAAAGACCCACCCATGACGCATGTACGCCATGTGCAGCGTCGCATCCAGTTCCGTAGCTCGTAGAGCATCAGCGGCAGCCTCTTGCAGCTTATCCAGCTTTAGAAACGCTGCTGCCCGCTTGGATAGTGTATCTGCTTCTTCCACATGGGTTTCAAGTGCGTGTGTGTAGCAAGACACTGCCTTCTCATACTGTTCGTCCACAAACAGCGCATTGCCCTGAAGCTTGAACTCCATCGTGACGTTTTTTTTTCTAGAAAGTGACAGGAAAAACCCAAAATTGGTTTCGCAGAACATGGGTGTTTGAAAAAAGTTTATCTATAACAGTTAAAGTGGGTTTTTTCAAATATTTCATAACGTGCTTCTTGGTCAAGCAAGACCAACAAGTTTCAACATACGTGTCGTCTACCGGACGCGAACATTCAGATACAAATGCACGTGGCACTTCAGCAACTGCTCAATCTCGTCTCGAGCTGCCATACCCACAGAGCGAATGGTATTTCCATTGTGTCCGACCACCATCTTACGAATTCGAGCAGCAGGAACCTATACCAATACAACAAAACAATGTCAGGAGACAGGATTTAAATACCATTGCAAGTCACATAACGTACAAAGATGTCTTGGTCAATACGGACGCTTTTGTCTTTAAACTTGGTCCAGCCGACATTTTCTTGCTCAAATGTGTACGGAAGCTCCTTGTTAAATCGGCAAAAAAGCTTCTCACGAATGATCTCGGTGACCAAGTCCAAATCCGACATATCGGAATGCATAGACGAGTGATAACTCCAAGGACGGTCAACTGCCAGCAAGAGCAGCGTCTTACGTAAGCGGTCCATGCCGTAGCCCTTCAACGCTGATACCTTAATACTGTTCCTACCAACGTATGCCAATGGATCGATCTGCAAAGATGCTTCATTAGCATCATAATGCGTGGCGTAAATCTCCTCAATCATCTGGGTTAGTTCCTTCACTTTAATATCCAGATTCACTTTTTCTCGCTGACCAACAAGATCAAACTTGTTCATTATGAGCATCGTAGGTGAACACACTTGTGCCGAAGTGGTCAGCACCTTTTCCAATGCATGCAAGGCTGACTCGTCGAGACGCTTCACCGAGTCTACAACCAGCATGGACACATCTACTCCTTGTAACGTCTCTGCTGCCGTCGTTACCAGCGTCTGCACATATTCATGAGTTTCTTTTGGTTTAATCAGTCCAGGTGTATCATAGAACGAGAGCTGAGCGTCGCCCGCGGTAAAGATGCCCAGGACCCGATCTCGCGTTGTATTGTACTTGGGAGATACCGCTGATACCGTCATATTCAGCAACCTGTTCATGATCGAAGACTTGCCTGCATTTGGTCGTCCAATAACCGCTAAATTCAAAGCCTTGGGCTTGGCCGGTTCGTCTGGAATCAAAAACTCGCGCTCCACCACATCGTCTGGTGCTAGCTGGATATTAGTAAACTGTTTATCCTTCATAGATACTCGTCGTCTCGCTGGCAAACGTCCTGTAGCTCTGTATCGTTCCTCGTCCGCTCTAATCTCCGCCTTAGATGATCGGCCACTACGATAATGCAGCGGGGTAGTCTCCTCACGGCCGCGAGAATGTTGACGGCCCACAAAATCTGTATTACGCGGGTCTGAGGCGCCCGCGCCCTCACCCTTTTCGTCTTCTTCTTCGTCCGGTAGTAAGCCAAGACGCCGCATGCGTCGCTTATTCTCAATATCCTTGCGCGTTCGTGCTGGCACTACAGCAGGGGGGACAAGTGTCGTCCGTGCACGCATCTTGGCCCATTTTTGTTCAATCTCTTGTAGCGTTGGACGTGGAGGCGCTTCAATGCGCGGCGGTGCTTCGCATCGCTTGCTCTTGCAAAGTGGTCGGCGCTTGTCCTTCTGCTTTTTCTTCTTCTTATCATCGACAGACAAGCCACTTGCCACGCGAGACGCTTCCCGCTTGGCCTGGCTACGCTTGGAGCGATAGGTGGCTACGAGAATATCAGTCTGAGGCAACGCATGCGCCAACACCACTCGACGAAACAGTAGCTTCATGTTGATTGACTGGCAAAGAAGAAAGACCCACTCACCCAGGCAAATTTGATGGACAAAATTAAATATATAAATGTGGGATAAAGAGTGTTGGTGGGTGATAGAACAATTACAACGTGGGTTATTTATTAGAAATTGACACTGTTCAAGCTTATTGACAAAAGATGATCAAATGATTCATATCGATACAGCCGTCCGTATCTCCTAATCGGTTTTATTCTCCTCTACACACTTTTTCAACTTGACTATGTGGGCATGTAATGATAACTTGCAGCAACGTATAAAGACTAAAACTTCACTCAACACTCGATCTCACTTCAACAGCGTCTTAGCCAGAGAGACTAACGCCCGACATTTTGCCCGTAAAGCGACGTTGTAGCGCTGCATGGCTAATCCCACCACGAGTCCTTCTACCACCGTGTGTATTGAGAGCCTCGTTCTCCATCACGCCCTTATCATTAGCCGTAATCATTTGCATAATGTCCTTGCACGAACGGGAAAGCTCGTCCTTATTCTTCAGTGCACGAAACAACTCCAAGCACTCGGACTTGGTCGGTGTATCTAAGCAGCAGTATAAACAGAGAGAGAAGATGTGAGCGTTCGGCACTCAAGGAATCAATAAAATAAGGGCTACACACCGGTGTCAACAGCAGCAGCAGTGGTTGACATTGTCACAATAGTAAGAAAAGAATACTGTGATGGCTGGATCGATTGATCTAGAAAGTGCGCAAGAGCAGGTAAATTGCAAACTGAGTCTTCGATATGCTTTAGTATCTGGAGAGACCGCAACTTCAACGTCGAATCCTCAGGATTTAACCCAAAATCAATGAATAATAAAGTAAACTATTTTCATTGGTTGGGAGTTAAAATGGAACCACACGATTGGGTGCGAACGCCTAACGGATCCCGCTTCCATGGAAAGAATCAAAGCAATCCTGATACTACGTTGTAGTATATCATTGACAAAGACTACTTACTGCGCTTCATTATTTCAGCCATTAGAGCACTGCACGATCCGTTTTCTACACACTTGGAGGTCGATGTGCAACAATTGTAGGGTGTCAATGCATTACTGGGCGATTTCAAACGTGCAACTTCAACGTGACGTGAGACTTTCGTGTGGCACCTGCATCTTTAAAGATACAGATCACGTTGCATGACCACCTGTCTACCTGTAGCCAACATCATTATGTGCAAGTGCTAGGCGATAGCATTATCAATAACTAAACCAAAAACGTTACTTCTACACGAGTAGAGCCAAACAAAACAATCACTACCTACATTCGAATTGAAAAGGCCATAGAGCTTAACCGATCATTCGTACTACACGTTAAATGGCTACATTTACCATCATTGCTTGGTCATACTAAGCTACGAACTTTGAGTGATCCAATGAGATGGTTTGTCCGATAAGATTCTCACTCAACTATTAGCCTAATAACTTTACACTCTTAATGCATGTTTCGTCATGATGAGCCAACGCAGTCTAAAGATAACCAAACGACACCAGCATATAGTAGTGCCTATCGACTTGTTTGATGCAAGTATCTAGTTCATTATATAATAGCCTAGAAACTATATGAGCTACAACTGGTCCTGTGCGCTCTGAGCCTGACCAAAAAGATCCTTCACGCTCTGCATGACAATCTCAAACGTGCTCGATGATCGGTCCTTAAGCCCGATAGCCGCCAAAATTGGCAAACCAACAGGAACACTGTATATAACAAGAAACTCAACCACGTCAATCAATATTCTTCCAGCTATATACAGCAACTAATTGCAAAAAGATACCCAAAATGCTCCAGAAACTGTCGTGCGTACACCAACAGCAGCGGGTCATCACGTCGTCCAAGACGAACATGAATATCTGACTGAAACTTGCCATTAATCGAATCATTCTGCTTTGCCTCCACCTTTCGCAATAGTATATAGTTCATATCAGCGTCTTATTCAAGTTACAATAAGTAAAAAGCAAATTATCTACCAAAGTGCCAAAGGTTCCTAGTTGAGTCACGACGATGAACACGCGGTCCACGAAGATCGAGACAGCAATATCCGTTTGAACTCCATTGATTTCCTGGCAAGAGATCAATGAGATAAGTACGTAATGCATTTCTCATATATTAAATCATTCTGTTCTTATTGCACCTTTCTGTCCTTCTTCGTATGTAATGCCACTGGTGCCGTTGTCGCTGCCATCATGTCAAGCAATATATATTGCAATGAATTTGATGTATTATTCAGCAAGAGAGTGTGCTGCATGCAGTAGTAACATAGGTTGATTCATCTTACTATTCTTATTGGTTAAAAACAAACGGATGCTTTGGACTTATCTATCTGGTCGAAAACAATACAGAGATTAGTTAGTCACTCGACGGGAGAAAGAAGCGAGAGAACGCTTTATTCTTACCCGCAGTTCCAGTCTGTTGTCCTCAGCTTTAAATTAAAACAGGTATAGGGTCTTGTAATGTAGAATAACCTTTCAGTTTCTTCTTTGCTTGTTCTTCTTCTTCTATAAATTCGCATTAAATGCCGTTGTTCTGAACTTCTGGGGACGTTAATATACAGAGCTCTTTATGTTTCTAACGATTTGATGTGTGTTATTTGTTGCAGTACCAGGTGCAATGGACGGCTATGATCATTTGTTTAAACTTTTGTTGATTGGAGATGCAGGTGTTGGCAAGAGCAGGTACGTGTGAGGTTTGCATAACTCACGACGTCTTGTGCCCCAGATGGTGACCATTGTTACTCTAGTATGCTGCTTCGATTTACGGACGATACGTTTGACGATAACTTGCAGAGCACAATTGGTGCGTTGAATGTAGCAGGAGCTGAAGAGTTGCCACTTTTGAGTAAGTGACACTGTGACACGTGGTGACAACTTGTGTGTGATGCGTAGGTGTGGATTTCAAGGTGAAGATGATGCAGGTGGATGGCAAAAAGATTAAAATGACTATTTGGGACACTGCTGGCCAAGAACGCTTTCGCACATTGACTAGTTCGTATTATAGAGGCGCACAGGGTATTGTTTTGGGTGAGCGAGCAAAAAGTGACGTGAACTAGTTGCTAGCCTAGATTCTTACGCTGCTTTTGTTGCCCAGTGTACGACGTTGCTCGACGAGATACGTTTGAGAATTTAGATCTGTGGCTGCAGGAAGTAGAGGTGTACAGTCCGGCTGGTGGACGCGATGTAGTGAAGCTTCTTGTGGGCAACAAGATTGACAAGGCACGTTTGGTTTCTTGTCTGGATTGCAAAACGTCAGTAATTTGACGTGAGGTTTTTGTCGTATCTCTCCATTGGTAGGAACGTGTTGTGAGCCGCCGAGAAGCTGAGAATTGGGCAAGATCCAAAGGCATGCTGTTTGTTGAAAGCAGTGCAAAGACCAAAATTGGCATTCAGCAAGTGTTCAATGAAGTTGTGCAAAAGGTGTGGTACAATGGGAATGTTTTTTTGGATGTGGCTTACGTTTGCGCTGACGAAAACAACCATGTGCTCACTCAGATTCTGGAGAATCCTGCGCTTTTATGCAACACGGCACCACGCAGCCGCGGACGAAAGCTCGACGGCAAAGTGGAGAAGGGTGCTGGCGGTAGCAGCGGCTGCTGTTAGAAGAGCCTGCAGTTTTGTTGTTGGTGTCCGATTGCACCTGCTGGAGGACCGGAGCAATTGGCATGGTTTGTTGCGACTAGCATGGTTGCCGTGGTTGCGTGACTGCTTTCTCATCTCCCGGAGAAGTTGTTTGCGGATGCACGATTATTGATTGCAATATGCTGCCGACGTGCTCATGCGTAGCGCTGGCACTGTAACTTGTGATTGACGTGGGAGGCTAAAATGGAAGCCTGCGAGGGATGGATAGCACGTGGAGAGCAACAGTCTTGAGCAGTAGTACAGTGGCAGAGCAGGAAAGCTAGCGAATATATATTTTTAAGACTTGCGTTAGTATTACAAGTCGGCACGGTCTAAAGCAGCCGCGTGCTGAAACGTACGCTGTTCTGTACAGCCGGGGTGGATTGTTTATAGGTTAACCTCTACATTATAGAGTGATGTTCTTAACTGGCCACAGTAGCAATAACATACAATCGCAGATCGTGATCCTGACAGGATCTTCTGGCAGACGGACCTATAAGATGCAAACCGTCGACTTTTTGACGTAGAAGGTCTCAAATAATAACTACAACACGTCGCCAGGTCCTACGTACATGACCATACGTACATTGCAGTTTCCTGATCCTATATTCCAAAAAACTACAACAAGACGTCAATGATCGGAAGCATTCCGATCATAAGTGCAAGACTGAAGATGTGGGTTCAAACTTTCAGCAGCCATTGAATTCTGAGTCTTGCAGCATATGTACAACTCTCTTGTTGCAACCAAGGAATTGATCTGTGACTCAAATCGCATTGACTATCCTGCACGAAATATTGGGGTAGAATAACAGCATAGTTTTTACTGTAAAGTAAGAACAGATATTTTAAATATTGCTCCTAGGCATTGACAGTGGAGCGAGTGAAGCAAATATGCTAGCAGGTAGTAGTAGTAGTAGTAGTATGTAGTATACTATTTATGCTACATAGCAGGGTGTAGCAGAAGTAGCAAATTATTAATATTAGTTATATGAACAGACAGTCCAATCGCTTTCTATGAACGGTCATCATGACCAGCATGACGATTAGACGGTAATTGGATCGGTTTTGTGATGAAGATTCGGTTCGTCATTGGTAGAAAAGTACAACATGCACAGTCTATTAATAGAGGCAGTTAGTTACAAGGTGTCCAGCGATTCACGATACAAATCTACGGTCAAGACTCACGTTTTTCTGCAAGATAAAACTGGTAAAGTCCACACATTATCATAGCGAAAGAGAGAGAGACACAGACAGACAGAGAGATAGATAGAAAGATAGATAGAAACATAGAAACATAGATAGAGAGAAAGACACTAGAAAAAAGACTACCAAGGTCTCGAATCTCGTTTGTCTTGTTTTCATAAAGTGTGACTGCTTTTCTTACGTGGGCAGACAAAAGCCCTTTCTACACGATTAACTCTTTTGATTCACGTCATACAACCAACTACTACTTACTTATTTTCGTTTTCATTACGTGAATCAGATTCATTTCATTGGTGTTGTTTATCTAATCAATGGATGCAACACTACCATATCAAATAAAGAATAAACCAATGCAACAGAAGTCGATAAAGACTACTACTACTACTACTGCGAAGAGGAAGAAAACTATCGGAAAACATAATAAGACAGGTACAAGACGGTCTCGTCGTGATAGTCCTTGCAGTAACGGCAACGATGCGGACGCACGTCGACCAGTCATTGCATCGGGTTCAAGTTCATTGTCATGTTCAGACATTATGACTTCACGTCTTTTTCACATTCTGAATGAGGCCAATGCACCGGTATTGGCAATGGACACATTCGGTTGCATCATATTCTGGAATCAGCAGCTTACAAAGCTCTCTGGGCTCTCACCGGCCGACGCGGTCGGACGACCAGTGATGGAACTACTGACGACGACCTGTAAAACGACAGAAGTGACGTATGGACTTGAACAAGCTCTTGCTGATACGGAAGTGACGGTACAAGACGTAGTGATGGAATTTAACACACCAGAGCTTGGACGCAACTTGAAGCTGCTTGTGAACTTGACGGTTGACGTAGAAGATAACAAAGTAGCGAGTATTGTGGCCATTGGACAAGATATTACAGAGTGGACAGTACGAGGAATACCGTCTGCTCAAGCAGCTCAGCAAGCAAACGCTCCCGTTGTAGAGCTCGATCGAGACGGACATATCACTTTATGGAACGCCAAGGCCGAGGCAACAACGGGTTACGCTAATGAACAGGTTCTAGGGACACCACTTGTTAATCTGGTGCAAGAAGACTACCGTGAACTTGTTGGTAAACTCTTGGCGCGCGTTGCATCGACCAATACGTCGGTTTCCAAGTGCGAACTGCCGCTCGAGACAGCCGGTGGCGCGCGCGTGGAGTTGCTGCTGAGTCTCACACCGCAGGTCAGCAGTGATGGCGTTGACTCAATTGTGAGCCGTATCGTGGCGGTTGGACAGGATGTGACGGCACGTAATGCAAGTGAAATGGAGTACAGTAAGCTGGTGGATTCCGCTAACGCACCTATCTTTGGCGTGGACTCGGAGGGCTGTATTGTAATTTTCAACAAAAAAGCTGCACAGATTAGTGAGTACTGGCCAGGCGAGGTCATGGGTGTTAATCTGGTGTCTTTTTTGATCCACGAAGACTATCGAGAGGATGTGGCAGCAGTTTTTCAAAAGGCGTTACGCGGTGTGGAGACCGCAAACTGTGAGTTTCCTCTGATTACTAAACACGGTCGAAAGGTGGAGATATTGCTGAGTGCGACACCACGCTATAACGATGCCGGAGCTATTGTTGGCGTAGTCGGCATAGGCCAAGACATCACGGAACGAATCGTGCAAGAGCAAGAGTATACTCGCCTCATTGACACAGCCAATGCACCCATCGTAGGTGTGGACAAGCAGCTCTGCGTGACAATTTGGAATAAGAAAGCGGCGACCATCACTGACTATTCGTATGTGCAGGCAATTGGCAAGAACCTACTTGAGTTTATTGCAGAACATGCGCGTGACACTGTAGCAGACGTACTTTCTAAGGCAATGGATGGCATTGAGACTGCAAACTTTGAGTTTCCTTTGATGACAAAAAACGGGAGACAGCTAGACATTTTGTTGAACGCTACACCGCGCTTTGACCATAGCGGCAATATCACTGGCATGGTAGGAATCGGACAAGACTTTACTGATCAACGCGCACAGGAGGAAGAGTACATCCGACTGATTGATACGGCCAATGCGCCAATATTTGGCATTGAAATGGGAGGTCGCGTGGATATATGGAACCGAAAGGCTGTGGCTATCACGGAGTATACAGTGCTGGAGGCACGAGGGACTCGGCTAGTTGAGAGCTTTATTCCACTTGACTACCGTGCTGGAGTGGCAGAGGTGATGTCGAAGGCCATGGAGGGGGAAGGCACAGCAAACTTTGAGTTTCCGTTAATTACTAAAACTGGCCGACGCGTAGAAATTTTGCTGAACGCGACACCGCGTTACAACCAGCACGGTGACATTGTAGGCGTTGTTGGTATTGGCCAGGATATTACTGAGCGTATTGTGCAAGAGCAGGAATATAGTCGTCTGATCGACACAGCAAACGCACCCATTTTTGGTGTCGACATGGCAGGCCTCGTAAACATTTGGAATGACAAATCTGCAGAGATCACGCAGTTTACAGCTGACGAGGTTATTGGAAAGGACTTGGTGCAAGAATTTATATCGGAGGGCTACCGTCCTGCCGTGGGCTTGGTGCTGTCACAAGCATTAAATGGTGTCCAGACTGCCAATTTTAACTTTCCGCTTATCACTAAATCTGGGCGTCGCGTTGAAATATTGTTGAATGCCACTCCGCGGTACAACGAACTGGGTGAGATTGTTGGTGTAGTAAGTATAGGGCAGGACATTACGGAGAGAATTGCTCAAGAACACGAGTACAGTCGGTTGATTGATACAGCCAACGCCCCTATTTTTGGCGTAGATAGCGAAGGTCGTGTAAATATTTGGAACAAGAAAGCAGCTGAGATTATGCAGTATTCTACTGACGAAGTGCTGGGGGAGAATTTGGTGGAAAAGTTTATTACGGAAGATTACCGTGACGCTGTTGGTGCAGTTTTATCGAAGGCTCTTGATGGATTTGAAACAGCGAACTTCGAGTTTCCACTGGTCACAAAAGCAAACCGCCGAGTTGAAATTCTGCTCAATGCCACACCTCGGTTCAATGAGCATGGAACGGTTATTGGTATGGTAGGTATTGGCCAGGACATTACGGATCGTATTGCTCAGGAGCAAGAATATGCGCGACTGATTGAGAAGGCAAATGCTCCAATTTTTGGTGTCGACTCGCAGGGTCTAATCAACATCTGGAATCACAAGACAGCTGAAATGACACGGTTCTCGAAGGAGGAAGCGGTTGGTAAGGACTTGATGAGCTGGGCTATTCCGGAAGAGTATCGCGATGCTACGGAAACTATCTTATGGAAGGCCCTGGAAGGCGATGAAACGTCAAATTTCGACGTTGAACTGAAGAAAAAGAATGGTCGAACTGTAAATATTCGAATGAATGCAACTGCAAGGTTTGACCAGCATGGTGAAATTGTAGGCGTGGTCGGCATTGGTCAGGACTTGACTGATCGTATAGTGCAGGAGCAAGAGTATACACGCCTGATCGACACAGCAAATGCACCAATCTTTGGCGTGGATGCAAACCTCTGCGTAAACATTTGGAACAAGAAAGCTGCTCAGATTACAAAATACTCCACTGCAGAAGTAATCGGCGAGAATTTGGTGGAGACGTTCATTTCGCCAGAGTATCGACCTATCGTGGCGGATGTGTTCACGAAGGCTTTGAATGGCATTCAAACTGGGAATTTCGAGTTTCCATTGATCACACGGCCTGGTACGCGAATTGAGATCCTTTTAAATGCGACGCCACGAAATGACATGCATGGCAATATCGTTGGTGTGGTAGGCATTGGTCAGGATATTACTGACCGCATTGCACAGGAACACGAGTACTTCCGACTGATTGATACAGCAAATGCCCCAATTTTTGGTGTGGACACTTTTGGGTGCATCAACGAATGGAACCAAAAGATTGAGGAAATTACGGGATTCCACAAGTCGACGGTTCTGGGGCTGTCGTTGGTGGATGCATTTATAAATGTTGAAAACCGACCCGAAGTACGAAAACTACTGAATCAGGCATTAATTGGCATCGATGTTGGCGAAATGGAACTACCCATGACGACTGTTGCTGGACGATCGTTGCTGCTGCTCGTCAATGCTTCCAGTAAGAAGGATATGCACGGTAACATTCGTGGTGTAATTGGAGTTGGTCAAGACTACACCGCGAAGAAGCACATGGAAGCGGCCAAAGTGAACTTTCTTGCTTCTTTTAGTCACGAGCTAAGAACACCTCTGAACGGCGTGTTAGGTATGTTGGAACTATTGCGCGACCAAAAGTTGGAAAAGACCCCTGAGCGCTACGTGCATATTGCGTACATTTCTGGGTCACTACTGCTGAATTTAATCAATGATATCCTCGACTTGTCAAAGATTGAAGCAGGACACATGGAGATCTCAGCAGATCCATTTCAAATGCAAGATCTGTTGGAGTACTCCGTTGAGATTTTCAAGTTTAAGGCTCGTGAGAAGCACATCAAGCTTACATTAGAGTGCTCTTCGAAGGTTCCAAAGCGAGTAGTTGGTGATGTGAGTCGGCTTCGGCAAGTCCTACTAAACTTGCTATCGAACGCTATTAAGTTCACAAACAAAGGGTCAATCACAGTTCGCTGCAACGTGGTACCATCACCAGACCTTCCAAAGCATTGTGTAAAGTTATTGTTCCAAGTCGTTGATACTGGTGTCGGCATGGACAATGAAGAAAAGTCGCGGTTATTCTCATTATTCACAAAGCTTGAGCGTACACGTAAGAACAATCCTACGGGATCTGGATTAGGACTTGCAATCTGCAAACAGCTTGTGGAGCTTATGGACGGTGATATTGATGTCGACAGTGAACTGGGAGAGGGTTCGGAGTTTTTCTTCACTGTCGTCTTAGGTCGGATTGATGATGAAGAAGAAGATCTTGTCCGAAGGTTTCCAGCTATTCTGGCTGCTGATCCAAGCATTGCACCCTCCATGACACCCAGTACGGCACGACATAACTCGTCTATGCCGGAGCTAGTGCCGAAGCATGCTCGTATTTTGGTGGTAGAAGACAATGAGTTTAACTGGGAAGTCGTCAAGAGCTTTTTTATGGAAGACAATCACCTGCTGCAGTGGGAGACAAATGGTCTAGATGCGTACCAGATGTATCAGGAGCATCACGATTCGTATGATATCGTGCTAATGGACTGCGAGATGCCAATCATGAACGGGTATGATTCCACTCGCAATATTCGCATGTTTGAAAAACAACATGATATCCCTCGTATTCCTATTATTGGCGTCACAGCATATGCAATGAGTGGTGATCGAAAGAAGTGTCTTGATGCAGGAATGGATGAATTTATTGTCAAACCTATCTCGAAAACTGAGCTGCGCAAGGCTATTCGTAAGTGGATGTGTGTACGCTTTTCAAGTCAACATTGTTCTAGACCATCACGTGCAGAGTCTCTGGATACTACGTGGAGTGGTGTCGATATTTCATCATCGACCCAGAACGCCGTCAACTTGGTAGCGGCGTCAAAGCACAAGGAGAAGCTTGATTTGGACCGGGCCATTTCGGACCTAGAACTGGAGGACCCAATGATGATTGGTCATTCTGGCGGAATCCAAACAGCAGCAGGCTCGGAGGCATTGCTGATGTCGCTCACTACTATCAGCGAGAGCAGGAGTAACCAGTCAGCAAGTTCGGAAACTCTCGGACACACAACTGGACGGGTAGATGCTCTATCTGCGACGGTCGTGCTGTCCGACTCGACGACACAAACGGTTGGGCCAGTTAAAATGCATCCCGAAACTCTTGTGAACGCCTCGAACATTATTGGTACGAACTTGTTTGCTGCAGCCAAGGCAGCCGGAATCTGCTCGATGAATGCGCGTGAAGCTGCGCCGCAGTCATCATCATCAGATGACAGCAACCATCAGCAAGATGCTGATGAATATTCAACAAATTCGGCAATAGTGACAAATAAAGCTGCTCGGGCATACTCTACAACAATGGCCCCTGAAGATGTTGTGATACCAAGTGGCGATCCAATCGATTACGCGCTTGGTGTCGAACAATGTGGTACGAGCGAAAGCCTATTCATGAGTTTGCTTGAGAAGTACGCGGGGTTGAGCGAAGAATTCATGAAACGTATTGAGAATGCTTATTCAACAAGAGACTTTGTTGTGCTTCGCCGCGAAAGTCACTCACTCAAAGGATCTTCAGCATATGTCGCAGCTATGCGTGTTTCCAAGGCAGCATTCCGTGTACAATTAGCTACTGAACACGTGATGGAAATAACTGCTACTGAGGAAAACCATTCTTCTCTGAAAGATGCGTTTCAGCTTCTAAAACGAGAGCATCGCGCTTTACGCGGCTATCTCCGACGTAACTTCTCCTTCCGCGCGAGTACTGCCGGGGGAACTCAGGACACAAAGAAGATGAGCAGTGGAGGAGGAGATAACGCCTGTGTTATCATGTAAGCAATGGGATGGGTCTTGGCGGTATATGTGCTTTTGTTATATGCCGTCCGAATAACGATGTGGAGACATTGAGAATCGTAGAGCGTTTGACTGCAGCTTGTCTACCGCCTACATCATTGCGCCGCAGTAAAAGTAAGTTATGATTGGCTTTGCTTGGTAGATGTCGTTTGTTTTCGCTTCCCCTATCGAGGAATGCATGTCGGATAAAGATGGATGCGCGCAGCCATGTGGACTCTTGATTGGCGTAATTGAAGAGATTTCCTCGATATTATTGAAGAGGGTCATTATCGCCCATGGCGACGTGTGGAAATCACGAATGCAAACCCAACAATAACTTCCACCTGACTGCATCGTCAGTCGCAGTTGGGTCTACACCACGATATCGTCCAGCCTGTGCTCGTGTTCTTGATACGTTGTTTCTCATGGTCAGCCACTTTCTCACAATCTCGCCCAATCTCATCTAAGCATCGTCGTCCGTGTTCCATGCTCCTCGTATTGTCTGGGCAAAGATCATGATCTTTGTCTCCACGCTGCTCTATCTCTTGACATGTCTTGGAATAGAATACACATGAAAGGGTGCAGGCACTTCACTGCTACCAGCAGTTTATCGTTATTCTAGTTAGTATAGACAACTTGCTAAGCCTGACAATAGCAAACTGGCTGCTAGTCAGATACACCTTTGCCTGTCTAGCACTCAGTCGGCGAGACTAAATAAGATGGCTACCATTAGGAGATAGTTGTGTCAAATGACAGTGCTATCATTGAGTGATGCAGGTTCAAGATACTCTAAGCATGCAACGATCACAAAATGAGCTAGCACGTCAGTTTGCCTGCTTGCTTACATTTGTGCAAAGGTTCTACCGTACCATGCGTTGACTGCCAACCAAAAATTGTACGAGCGGTGGTGCTGCAACTTAGTGTGACGTTACAATTGGCACACGGACTACCTGTAACGCACGAAGCCAACAGGTCGAATGGCTTCGTCCGCACAAAATGGTCCTGATTCTCATAGCATTGGACATCGGAGAATTCAAGATCCATCACACTTGCAATGTCCACGAACAGCCATGCGAATCGCACGTAGCAAACCAATCGCTGTGAACGAGCAATTCGAGACTCCATTCCTTGGTAATGCCTTGGCTTCAATCAGTCCAATTTGATTGTCGTGGTACTCAACATACTTCACAAGACACAGCAAGGCACCATCCTCTACAATTCGAGCGCAGCTCCTTGGATACGACGCCATTTTTGCCAGGCAGGGGAAGACAGGCATTGAGATGCTATGGATACCACCTATGTTTCGTGGCTGTAATGTTCATCAGAATCCGCTGAAAGGGGGGGCAACATTATGCTGTTCTGTCGGTGTACACGCGGCACCCGCGCACAATCAACTGCACAAGCAATTGGACTGCCTGACTGGTCAGGGTAGAAAAAATATGAAGACACTTGAGTTTCTTGTGCGGTCTTTGAGAATCCAAAGGCATGATGCACGTCTTGAACAATTCTGGAAGCCGTCAAATAAATTAGGCATGAACGCATGTTACTCATCCATGCTTACCCCCCGTGAGATTTTCACGCCATTGTTAGTACCTATACATGCTGTCCCTACTGCTCGGTAGGGTCGCCAAACTCCTCTTCAATACGTCGGAGGTGGTAACTTCTGGCGTCGGGAGCATTCTTGCAATAGTAGCTCGAAATGAATGACTCGATCTACACATTGAAGAATACAAAACGATTATTATAGTGATCAGTGTCAATGAAACGTATTGCATGAGAGAGTGTACCTTCGATCGGAAAAAGAGCAGAGAGGAGCTTGTAATGTGCACGCGGCAAAATTGGTGGAGATCCGTCCTGTATATACAAAGAGGACATCGTATTGGATCAAATTACACCCAAAGAAACACGACGAGCGTGCGCACCACTGAGGTTTGCCGGTGTGAGCGACGAACACGGCGAAGTCTTCTAAAATACCCAGCGACTGGTAAGACTTGTTCTTGACATAAACGTAGAATCGCTGGAAGAATAAAACAAAACTTGTTAAGATCCACGACGCAGTTGCAGCGTTCCACAAGACCACACTTACGCGATTTTGCTTGTCCAGCAGTGAGTCTTCAATATACTCAATGTAGTCAGAGCTTGCAAACCGCTTTATCATAGATGGAGCCTCATTCCTGCGTCAGATGAAAACATGAGGCACATGCAAAGTTTACACATAGGAAAACATCGCGTTATGTACCGGAATTTCAAGAGTCGACGTTTAAAGACAGCACCAAACTCATCCAAATGTCGTTCTTCCAGCACCTGAATCGAATCCAGCAATCGACATGCAGGGTCTGGTAGAGGCTCTTTAAATTTGCGGTAATATACATCAGCAGTCTGCAAATGTTCATGTCAGAACACGATTAATTGATACTACCGTCATTTGATTCCTTTCAACGTATTGAATATACAAACCTGCTCGACAGCATATGGAATCATAGTCTTAGAATCTCCAAACTGATATGCTTTGTAATCTTCGGGCAGTGTTAGCTCTAAACAAGGAGTGACAATTGTCTCTCCATTGAGTAATTCCGTTGAATTGATCACTTTGATCCTGTGGTTTTGCAAAAAAGTGTCACGTTCTGACTTGACTAGTGCAGGACGTCGATAGCGTCGTCTTGTACGTTGTGAATATACAGGCGTTTCAATCGTCCATAGCCCCTTTAGCCATGGAAAATGCTATCACATTGTACAATAGAAAATACGCTCATTGTGGTAAGAAAACGATGACCACCGGTGACCATTGACATAGAAACCACGATAACCCTTAACATACCTTGGATCTGAACAATAGGACAAGACAGTAGCCCATTGAAAACCACAATAACGGTGACAGAATGTGTCGTAGTTCTCGATATCGTTGTATGATCTCCTCATCGAATACCATGTCCGTAGTAAAGTGTCGCCTTTACCAACCTTTTGTGATGATAAAAATCGTTGTTGAAAGTAACACGTACCGGTATATACCGACTGTTAACACAGTTGATTATTAAGTATTCATCATGTTCCATAGTAAACTGGACCAGTGTCAAGCAAGTATTAATAGATCATCATGGACTCGCTCCATTCAAGTCTACATCACCCGACGCAACGTGCCTGGAGTGAGCCACATATCCATCCATCACAACTCATGTATCCATTGTTTGTGACATTGCGCATCGAAGATAAACCAATTTGTGGTCTAGAGCCGGAGATGCAGTGGGGACAGGGTTCTGACGGCAGCTTCTCGACGCTCGTGGCCCATCTTCGCGCACTCACAGTCAAGGGCTTGACAAGCGTTATGCTCTTTGGTGTCGTAGAGACAAAGGATGAAAGAGGATCGATGGCTGACGATGAGGCCACACCCGTTATCAAGTGCACTATGGCGCTCCGCAAGGCGTTGCCGGAGCTGCTCGTAGCTTGTGACGTGTGCATGTGCGAGTACACGGACCATGGACATTGCGGTGTCCTACGTGACGTGGACGGTGAGAAGGTGCTGGACAATGCAAAAACCCTGGAGCGTCTCACAACCATTGCATTGGCATATGCCAAGGCTGGCGCGCACATGGTGTGTCCATCCGACATGATGGACAACCGCATTGGCGTGATTCGACAAATTTACAACAGGAATGGCTTTGAGCACGTATCTATTATGGCTTATACGTCCAAGAAAGCCTCAGCCATGTACGCGCCGTTTCGCAATGCCGTCGAGTCGACGTTCCAAGGCGATCGCAAGCGCTACCAGCACCCAGTAGGCAGCACGAGTCACGCTGCGTTGGCGTTTGATCGCGACGTCAATCAAGGTGCAGATAGTGTGATTGTCAAGCCTTCTCTTTTTTACTCGGACATTGTGGCTAGCTTTGCTGCTAAGAAGATGGTGCCCGTGGTCTGCTACCTCGTGTCTGGCGAGTACAAAATGGTGAAAGACTACGGCGACTCGACCAATTCGCTCGAAAGCGTCGTGCGTGAAGCTCATTTGTGTCTTTTGCGTGCTGGTGCTAGTGTGCTTATTACATACTTTACTCCATATATTCTCGACCACTGCGCTACTTGGTAAAGCTGTAGTATAAAGCAGTAACACGAATGGCTTCTAGTGTCATGATGGCTACAGTCTTGCGTCACCTCAGTTTTACATGTGATCTGCGACGTGTGTCAGGTTTTATACGTGACATATCATTTTATCCAATCAAATATCATCATTTCATTGTATGGTTCGCTGTTACTTAAAAAAAGTAGGAGGGACCAATATGGAAGCACAGGAATTAATAGAAAAGATCGTGGCCACGAGTGACTCCATACGCAAGCTCAAAGCAGCAAAAGATGTCGAAAATGCTACAGAAATTACGGTCCAAGTACAAGATCTGTTGGTGCTCAAGAAGCAGTACAAGACGTTGACAGGTGCTGACTATATGCCGTCTTTCCAGTCTAAAACAAAAGTCGAGTCGAACGCTGGTGTTACAATGAATAATGAGACCGCGGCGAGGTCCAAGAGCCAGATGAAACAAGAAAAAAAGATGGTGGAGCAGGCAGCAAAAAAAAGTGGCTGGAGGCTCAGTCAAGACCACTAAACAGAAGCAGAAGAAAGCCAAGCCATCCGAAAGTGCCAAACCAGTTGAATGTGCTGCTGTGCCATCGGACATCGACTTGCTACTACGACAGAATGAGTTTCAATATCACGTATTGAGCTCTGGTGCAGTTAGTAGTGCTCAGGTAGTAACCCCGTGGGACGTAGAAGCGGAAGACGGTGTGGATTATGATAAGTTGGTTGAGCAGTTTGGAAGCACCAAGATTCCACGCGAAATGATTGAGAGGATGGAAAGATTAACGGGTCACAGGGCTCATCGCTATCTACGTCGTGGATACTTTTTTTCGCATCGTGATTTGGATGTGATTCTTGATGCCTATGAGAAGGGTGAAAAGTTCTTTTTGTATACTGGTCGTGGTCCATCGTCGGGCAGTTTGCATATGGGCCATCTCATTCCATTCACGTTCACGGCGTGGCTACAAAATGTGTTTGATGTACCCCTTGTGATTCAACTCACTAACGATGAGAAGTTTTTGTTTAAAGATCAGACACTTGAGGAGAGCGAGGTCATGGCTTGGGAGAACGCAAAGGATATTATTGCGTGCGGGTTTGACGTCAGGAAAACCTTCATTTTTGCCAACACTGACTACATCAAAGAGATGTACCCGCAGATTCTCAAGGTGCAAAAGTGTGTCACGTACAACCAAGTGCGTGGCATCTTTGGCTTTACGGGATCCGACAACATCGGCAAGTCAGCATTCCCTGCTATTCAGGCTGTGCCGTCTTTTTCAGAAACATTCCCTGTGGTGCTCGGTGGACGTAAAGGGTTGCGTTGCCTCATTCCCCACGCCATTGATCAAGACCCGTACTTCCGCATGACGCGTGATGTGGCCCCGCGCATTGGCTACCTAAAACCTGCGTCAATGCACTCGAAGTTTTTTCCTGCTCTGCAAGGTAGCACTACCAAGATGAGTGCTAGCAAGGCGAGCACTACCATTTATATCTCGGACTCTCCGGACGACATTGCTAACAAGATCAAGAAGTACGCCTTCAGGTAAATTCTCAAATGGCTTTGTTCTTGTGCTATTGCTGAAGACAAAATCTTACTTGAAATGGTGCATGCTAACTCTTTGTTACAGCGGTGGAGGTGAGACAAAGGCCGATCACGAAAAATACGGCGCCAACTTGGAGGCCGATATTCCGTACCAATATTTGTCATTCATGCTTGAGGATGACGTCGAGCTTGAGCGCATTGGCCGCGAGTATAGCGCAGGTCGCATGATGTCAGGTGAGGTGAAGCAGATGCTAATCGACGTCATGGCCGAGTACACGCTGGACTTCCAGAAGCGTCGTGCTGCGATCACAGACGACCTGGTTTCCGAGTTCATGAGCGTGCGTCCTTTAGAGTTTTAGACAGCGACCTAGCAGTTTAAATGCTACAATAACAAGTGTTGCATCTTACGCAAACACAGAAACGGCGATCTCTGCGTCATGACAACGTTGAAAATGTGCTCATTAAGGGTGAAACCGATAGTATCTCACAGATAATATATGTACCAACGTACTTGTCTTTCACCCAAGCGGACGTTTTACGGCAGACAGATCTTGGAGCTCTGGCGGGTCCTCAAGGATGTCACGTATAACGGCGAGCAAGTTGTGTAACCATCTCCACTGCAGGATTGGTGCGGAAGGCTTACCATGGGTGGAGGGCGCTGGGACGCAATAGAATGTGACGAAATCATCCTTGTAGTCCAGCGATGAGGTGCGTTCAAACTTGAAGATAGTGCATCAAACTGAGAGCGTTCAAGGTTGTTACCATGGATATGCGGCATACCACCTGAAAGATGTAACATGCAACAATGTCTAGAAATGCTACAAGTAGACGCTACTTTGCATGTGTCACCGGCCGATGCAAACGAATTACGTCTAAAGCTAGGTGCCTCCTACCTCCAACACGTAAAAGTCTGAAAATTTACTAGCCAGTGAGACCAACTTGATAGCTGCCTGGCTGTTACATCTCACGGGGCGTCCCCCGTAAGTTTGCACTTGAATAAATACCTGTGTCATTCAGATCTTCCAGTACTTTTGCATCCAGGAACCTGGTACCTTTCGCATGAAAAGCTTTGCCTTGTCCGATGTCTTGATATCCTCAATTGTCTTGAAAACAATTGGAAATGCGCATAAGCAAAAACAAAAGCCTTCTTAGCAGATGTTGACTCCGACCAATCCAAGCTAGGCTTGTATACACCAATGTCATTCTTGCATTCGTCTCCTTTCCATATTGCACTTGAGTCTGCAAGTTCTTTGTCCAAGACACGAGCGTGCACGATTGTCTGCGTATTTATGCAGACAAATTTTACGCCCGTATGAAAGCGAAATATCTAGTTCTGGTGGTGATACAAACTCCTCATCTTGCAAATACCGAGGTTGTCGGCCAAGTCGCTTGAGCGCGTGGCATAATTGCAGCCGCGTGTGCTGAAGGATGTATTTCCGTTGCAGCAGCTAAAAAAGCTACTGCAATGATTGTTGTTGTCATACTGGTGGTATCGTTACAATCGAATTCATTCTTATCGATTGCTTATGGCTTCAAACTTATTGCTCTTCAATCGCGCGGCTACGATACAAAAATTGCCTTGTTTCGTCCAGTCATTTTCTATCAACGTTTCTGCACGACAGATACCATTCAATTGGTACATGTGCTATACAGCGGGCTCAAAAATAGCATTCCTACAAAATTGGTCAACTACAAGAGACAGTAAATTCGTAGCAATTGCAATAGACTGAGACTCACCATGAGCAGCACCAAAATGAGTCAAAACGGGCACACCGGGTCGGTCATTGCATTGTGATCAACTGATAAAATCTTAAGTAAGGCTTGAAACGCTGCGCCTTGCAGCTCAAAGTCATCACTCATGACAGCAGCGTCACCTTCATGTAATCCAGCTGCAATTTCTCAGTGAACACGTGCTTCACTCGAGGTTTGTATCTACTTTGTCAATAAAAGCTTCGTCCTTGATCGATGTATGACACGTTGATTCTTCCTCGACAGACTCATTCTCAGGAATGAGTGGCTGCACATCATCTACAGCCAACTAGTGCGGTTGGAGAGGAATTTAACTAAAGGGGTGGTTCAGTACTTTAGAAAGCTCTAGTTTTTCTCCTCCATGCAAACAGTGAGTCGCTGTCTTCACACGGCTTGTAGTTGACTTTATTAGGGGCTGAAAACATATACTAACTCTCAAATAGAGCAATTGGACTGAGTCAATACCGCTTTCCCTATTCATACACAGGACCTTACACAATTTGTGAAAAAAAAAGAAACGAGTACTTCTACAGCTAACAATACATTAAGCTACGAGATGACAATGTATGAAGGACGGTTAGGGAACAAGGAAACGAGGTGCAGAGATTCAAAACACCATTTTATTAGCTGAAACTTAAAAGGCAAGTGGACTGTTGTCGATGACTAAACAAAAGCAGAATGGCAACTTGATCAGTCCAAATGAAATGAATGTTTATATACTCGTAGTGCCACCAACTGCCTTAACCATGCAGACGGCTCTGGTGAAATTCAAAGGAAAAAAGGTATAGTGCAGCACCCCCTCCCAACTTTTACAGAAGGTCAACGTACGGTTCTTCTCGAATCTATTTTTTTGCAGAAATCACGGCACATAACACTCTCTGGATTAGTGCACTCCATCGCGCAACCATTCGAGCAGTCGCAAGTCTTTTTGTATCGATCTTTACATTTTTTGCAGGCTAATGTTTCTGCGGAGACGCGCAAGTGCCGTTCAACATCGGCTAATCTCCACTAAAGAGCTTCCATTGCGTTGTCGAATTTCTTACCCATGTCCGGAACCGCCAAGATCATGGTATGAAGACTGGATGCAGCGAAGATGGCGAGCATGGTAGAGGAGCGCATCGTTGTTGGAGTTTCGAAGAAGACGGCTGGGACAGGGAGTTGGAGAATGGTCGCTACGATGCAATTTGCCGAATGAGGAATAATGTTTTGTGGGTAGTGCACTGTTCGAACTCACGTACTGAAGTGCAAACCTGCGACGTCCATCAAAATTTCTTACGTCATTCGACGAAGGCATGCGAATCTTGCGTCAGTTAACGGAAGCCAGTAGCCTTTAAGATATATACATTTCAGTATAACTTGATAACTCGATTCTGCAGATCGTATATAAGAGACAAGCGTACAATATTGTTGACCATCTATTCTTCGTGGCATTTTCAACAGCTTGGCCGCGCTATGCAGTCTTATTTCCGCCAATTACAGAGCGTTGAAGTTGCACTACATAATGGCTGCAAGACGAATTAAAATGATGATGTGGAGGTCACATCAAAGGATAGTTGCTTGCATATCATATGAAATTTGATCCCACTTGATTATCACGTACGACAAGATTGCACCACCACGTGCGTGAGATGAGCATACTATTGATGACTTATCTATAAACTGATTTTTTGCAAGTAAAGAATCCAGCGAAAATATCGATTCAAGGTTTAAATATAGGAAGATTAACAAAGCAAAAAAAATCAAGACATAGCGATCGTAGTAAGACATAGCAAGCAAACTAAGGACTGTATTTATCACTTCATATGATACCTCATAATATAAAGCTACTCGACTTTGCAGATAAAGATGGCATAGCAATCTCAGTGCCGCTGAATTTAAGCACTCCGTTTCTTTTGACATATTGTTTAGCGTGTTGTCGAAGTGGACTGCCGCGCTACGCAGATGATCGAGAGGGAACAAGCGTAAACGTAGGCTTCTAAGAAAATACGCTTGCGTGACGTATGGGGTGGGCAGTACGTCTTACACCATCGTTGCGTGCTGCGCGACGTTAAACCTATGTACGTCGCGCAGCACGCAACAATGGTGTAAGAGCAGAAGTACAGGGACGAGTCGCGCACCTCTTGGTGGATTTAGATCGGAAATGATGGGCAAGAAGCTCGAGCACATCATGGCACTGTTCTAATCTTAGCCTTATGATTCCCTGTGTCCAACATCACTATGTACTGTGTTGACAAAGTGTTGCTTACTTTGATTACAGCTGCTTGTCGTACGCTCACGTTTCACGATTCCCAAGTGGCTGCCAATAGGTGAGCAGCGTGGGTACATTTTTCCTCCCGTTGCTTTCTTAAAGTGTGTGAACCACCTCTTTCAAACGACCGTTGAGTTTGCTTAATAGCGGCTTGAAAAACACACCAGCAGCTCTACCAGACTTGGTCAAATGCAAAATATGCACCATCCGACAGATGTTGAGTCCTGAACACTGAACGCCTCAAAACAAATCCGCCTTGTTGCGCTTGAGTTCTCGAGAACATGAAGATACGTCCATCTTGCCATTGCCAGTATAGCGCGCAGACAAACTCAAGGTAGCAAGCACCTCGAACCCCTGTCACCAAGGACATAACGTCACCAGCGCCTAGATCCGCTGCGAATGCGCCCATGCCTATAACTATTATAAGCACTTTACTGCTAAATGAAAAGTTATACACTCTGTTTGACTTAGACCACATGTGATGATATGAATTTTTCAACGACTACGAGATATACAATGAAAATATGTCGTGCATGTCTCTAAATTCAGACTTAACTAGCTTCCAAGATCAAGAAAGGGGGAAATCCATGTTTTCAAAGTCGAAAAAAAATCCGCATACGTAACTGTGTTTAAATAAAGTGATATGTTTATTGTATGCGGACATCAACTCGGCTGAATCACTACTAACGTATTGGCATCAACGGCAGGGAGATAATTTACGGAAGTATTGTAGAGGAACAACAAGAGTCGCAGCGATGGCTAGCAGAAGACCGTTTTGGTGCACAAAGGACAGTAGCGCCGAGACAGGGGGATATGCTGCGCTGCCTGTCCGACACATCCTTCGGCTTATTGACTGGCAAATTCTGCATGCTTGCATGCCGCTAGCACTCTTTTAGATCAGGAGAGTTACATTAACTTCATGGGGTCAAGCCTCCACCAATACACGCTGTTACTGGGACTCCAGCTAACAGATTTTGGTATAAGCCATGCCACGATTGGATCACCTGCCACGAACGCGTCCATTAAATACCCGACTTCACAAGGAGCGTACAAGAAGTCATTAGCTCACCTCGTGCATACGAAAGCAGTTGCAAATGCTTCGTCCAGGCTTAATCGGATCTGCGACGTATGGAATGACAACGGAGCATTGCATAGGGACCGCTTTATCAGGTGGAAGCAGGAAAAATTCTCTACAGCGCAGTACCAATACACCATACGTTTTCGTTTTGATACAACACACTCAGAGCAATTGATGCTATGTCAACGAACCCTTCTTTGTCAATCGAGATACCAAACCGACGATAATCAAACGTAATATACGTTTCCAGAAAAAGCAACAAGAGGCTACCAACACCAGTACGCCACGTAATACGTCCATTACGGGAAAATGTGTAGCGCCATCTTGGATGTACCACGGCGTCATAAAGGCTTGAGATGTAGGCAAGCTCTTCTGGTACACCGTATACTGTTGCATTATCTGAATAGCTCCTTCTTCGATTTCCGCTGCGAACCCTGCACATGTTCGACTCTGCAAATGACTTGCAATGGGTATTGCCGCATGCCTATAGGAAAATCGTTGACATGGCAAGTGGATACCGGTACGACATTATTGTACACAGTTTAACCACACACATACCTGCAAAAAGCGAATCACCATAATCACCAATACGTAGGATGAGATGCCTCCAGTAAAGGCACAATTCAAGTCTACAGTTGAGCAGTGGCAAAGCACGAGTCAGTGCTTGCAAATGACACAATCAGTGTAGAACACCTACCATGGCTGACAAGATGGCTTTTCAAAACTAAAACAAGAGGACGCAGTGCTGGCATCTCTGCTTGAAGCGAATAAATAAGGTTGCGTGCATCTAAACCAGTGTGCCCAACAGAATGACCGCAGGTAACGTCCAGTAGCACATCTAATTGTGTCGGGTCCAGTGAATTTGTCATCTTGAGAACAGGAATTTTTGCACTTCCGAGTAGCTCGAGTCTTTTCGTCCATGGCTGCCGCTCGACTTTAGCCAATAAAGTCTTTAAAATTGCCAAAGGCCGCTCTCCTACCAACGACTTCGAAACTAGTACGCAATCGATATCACTTGCCGGCAACGCTAGATGCGTATAGCTTGACCCGTAAACATCAACTAAAGCGTCAGGCCACAGGGAGCGTGCCAATTCCTGTAACAAGTCAATGGCCTGTTGTTGATGCATTTTCATCGATGCCAGCTTTGTGTCGATGTAATCAATGAAAGTTTCCACTTGCCTGCTGACATGGCTAGTATTGATAACAACATCGTTAGAGTTGCAAACATAAACACAAGCCACAAAGCTACAGTACCTGTGAAATTGCTCCTCCGCCAGGTATCGGGCGTATGATGGACTCATTGGATGCATTACTTGTGCTGCTCTTGGCGGATGCAAATATATTTGCTGTTCTTTGCGTTGAGGCTGTTGCTGCTGTTCATACTTTGTTCGTGCGACGTTGGCATTACTTACTTCACTGAGTAAATAGTTTGGATCGCGATGCAACTCCGTTAAAGTGCCATCAGCAGAGTTTAGCATCCCGCACTTACGCGGACAAAGGTTTTTGCGTCGTTGATGATGGCGTGAAAACGGTTTGTCGGGAGACTCTGTTCTGTCCGTCACTTTCTCATTATTAAAAAGACTGCTCGCGTCATTAGATTTGTTTTCTTGTCGGCTTTCATGTGTTACTGAGTCATGGTGTTTCCGCTCCAATGGGTGCTTTGCCTTGCTTTGCTTGACAATGGCTTCCTTATATAGCAATTTTCCACGTGGTGATACAGAAACAATATCAGACCGGCTACCATATGACTTTGAATAGTTTGCAAACGAAGATGCTCGTTCACGTTGGGGTGTGACATGAAATACCGCTGAGTGTTGAGGTGAGTCGTTTTTAGAAACCCTATAGACATTATCATATACAACAGTAGAACTATGAGCAGGTGTCGATAAAAAACTAACGGTAATCATGATCTAGCCCTCCCTGACAGATGGGTACAGGCCGTAATGACAAGCAAAAAAGCACACATATACACAACAATAAGCATGACTTACCAATGAGGATTCATCATTTGTCGTTGTGTATAGTTTTGATGAGGCATAGCATAGGTGGTCGACGAAATCATGTCATCATAACGAGGAGATCTGCAATTTTTAATCCACATTACAGTAGATCATTTAACACATTTTAATCCGTTATAAAGAGAAAGAGGAAGGAAAAACATATGAGCTACTTACTCATAGTAAAAAGGAGAAAAAGCTTGAAGATCATGTGAAAAACGACATTTGGTACCATATGAGCAGCCATAACCCGATCGAAATTTCATACATGGAGCAAGTGATTGTCGAGACTTTCTTGCTTTGTTATTGATATTGTAATTGTAATTGACTGCAGAAGAATGAGACTGATGAGATACAAACGGGTTATAGTCAGTCGAGTCAGATGAGTTGAATGATTTGATACTTCCATAAGGTGATGAAAACCAATGTTTCGACATTTCTTTCGATTGAGGACGTTTTGTTTTGTTAAGTTGATTATAAAGTGATGGATAGTCACGTGTGATTGTCATTTCTTGACGTTGCATTGTGCCAAGTGCGTTCTTATCAATCAAAAAGGGCTTTTTTTCCTTATTACTACTGCTTGTTTGTTTGCTATATATGTATATGTTAGGCAGTTAATAGATAGAAAGACTGATAGTTAGTAGAAACTCAGTGAGTCAGTCTTTCTCTTTTTCTCACTCACTCTTTTTCTTCGTAATCGAAGTTTCTTGTTCTTATATGATTTAGAAAGTTGAAATAGAAAAAAGGACGTTGTAATAAGTCGCTTTTTCTGTTGAGAAACGATCAGTACAATTTGGTTGTTTGTTATGAAGAGCTCACGAATTGCGAATCGAAGACATTGAATCGGTTAGTAAAGGCAAGTGATACTAGGTGATATGTACCCCCACCTCAATATGTAGCCAGGTTACACTCAAAACTCTGATAAGTTACAGGTTGCCTGCACGGTACTCTTCAAGTTTCTCAAGTGTCCCCAGTTCAAGGAATTCATCAATCTTAGCAGCTGATGACTTGCCTACGCCCTTGAGTTTCAACGCGTCTTTGCCACATGTAAGAACAAATTCGCAGTCGCGAATGGCTTTGGCTACTTTCGACCATGTGCCACCTTTAAATTTCTCGCCACGCTTGAACTCAAAGCTCGATAGCTCCAAGAAGGCGTCAGCTAGTTTTTGGTTGGCGTCGCACGTGGCCTCGGCTGTTTTTCTAGGCTTCTTCATCATTGTCTTGTCCTCTTCCTCGTCTCCCTCTTCGTCTGTGACGTGGTCATTTTTACGCTTCCTGCTAGTCGTCTTCTTGGTCTTGGCCTCATCTTTGTTTTGCATTTTCGTCTTCTTAGGAGACGTCAACTTCTTGACACCAAACTTTTTGATCATTTCCTACATTGTTTAACAGAAAGAAAGAAAGAAAGAGTGAGTGAGTTTGTGTGTGTGAGAGAGTATGTGGGTATAATGTATCATTGAGAAAAGCTGTAGCCATCAGTGCGACGATCCCCCCCCTCCCTACCTTTAGCGCTGCATCCAATTGAAACTCACCCTACAAATACAATAATAACCACACAACAAATGTGTTAAAGATCAGCTACTTCAATTATCATTTGCAGCTTCTTTCGCTCTTTTGCTTCACCTCCTCCCGTGTGGCGTTGAGCATCGTACCAGCCACGACGGCAGCATTTATAGGATCCTGTAGTCAAAAAATATTTATGGCAGATGATCATTGTTATTATACAATCATTATATCAAGTTAAGCGATTGGAATATATAGATATACCGTTGGAACCATGACACTCTCCTTGACACATAGTGCCAGTAATTCCTTGGCTGCTTTTTGGCTCTTCTCTCGATTTGACATTGTCAAAAATAAGCAGCGACATCCTAAAACCTTGCATCTGGCATATGTAGCCTGGTATATGGCATATTTTGTCATATGACATGTAAGGAATGTAGCCATCTACGACAAAGAGGATGTTGAAGTTAAATGGATGACCTTGACACACTCACTACCAAGATACTTTCCAAAAAATATGACGACTATGACAATTATTTATTGCGTTTATATTTTCTTCCGTTTGTCTTTTATACTTTAAAGCATTATTCACTTAGACGCGTTTCGGTCTCACGCTCTCCTTACTTACTCATCCACGTTTCGTCTTGGAATCGTTATTACCGTGACGTGAATGCTTTCACAATGAAACAGCACAAGTAGCAATTGTTATGTAGCCAATAGTCAACGGCACTTGGAACTGTGTCGATTGGCGTACTTGTCGTTATTATAGCGTCCTGTGGGTCAATCTTTTCCAATCGAGCTGCATCGCTGAGGTAACTTTATACATAGGCTGCGTTTTTTATGGCCAAGTGCTCATTACCTCAGCAATGACACCTGCAAACCATTCAACAGCAGACATAGCTCGGTCCATGAGGGTGGATACTTGTGCCCATATCAAGTCTGTAATTATGTCTACCACTTCGGCGCAATCCGATCCTTTGCGTTCCAGTGGAAAAGGATCACGTCTTCCTTCAATTTTACCAAATCGTTGCTACAGCGCACCAACGTGTGCACTGCAGAGCTGTTACTCTTCATCTCCGCCTGCAGCAGCCGCTGGGTCTCTAGGATCTCGCCTTGAGAAATAGCAGGGATCTTGTTCACAGGTACAAACACCACCTCAATCGTTGCATTCTCACGACCCTCTTGATAGAATCCCAACAGGTTCATACTCACGTCAAATGCTGGAAAGCCAATTGCATTGCTGGCGTTTAGCGTAACCATTCGTGCAACCACGTAGAAGACTTGCATCTCAATCGCATTGGCGATCTGGTTGCCACTGCCGCTGCTGTTGTTGTTTCCATTACCAGCGAGGTTCTGATAAAACATCGGGTCACTTGAGTCTTGGTCGTCAAGCGAGCGCATAAATTCTGTGAGCCCACCCGAGTTGTTGCGAAATAAACCAGGAGGACCATCCATTCCCGCCAAACCACTCATAGCCCCTGAAGTCGCCGTGGCCATTCCCAACGAGCTATTGCTCATAGAAAACTGGTTTGAAGAGGCACTAACTTCCATAGTAGAATTCATCATCATAGCTGAACTCATCATTTGCTGATTGGACGATGCATCGTCCGTCAGCGAATTCACATCCAGCATACCTCCATTCTGTGGGCTCACAAGTGACGGCCCTCCAGTGTTTTGGTTTGACATCTGTCCCATTGGCTTCACTGCTGCTTTTTGAGCAGCAGCCTGAGCGCTAGCAATCATCGCTGGAAACCGCTCAATACCTTTGAGCACAAAGTCAAGACGGCCCATTGTATCCGTGGCGTACGTGAGCAAAAGATTCGCAATCAGGCATTTCGTATCATGCTGGGCTGTTTCGTATGTCATGACATCTTTGTAGCGCCAGCATGCTGGGCAGCGATATATAGGTCGTTCCGGGTCGGCCCTGCCATCGCTCTTGCTTTCATAGCCTACCGTTTGCCATTCTAATTGGTGGAGTCCATTCACAACCCCACCAGTCCAGGTCAAGATGTTTTCCATGGCACCAGTCAGCGAATTACTAGACTGTGGACTCCCACCTACTCGTGGTGTACCCGGGGACGCGCTGTCTCCCGTGCGCATCCTTTTGCGGCGATCATCTGCTGTAAATGCGGTAGCTCCAAAAGCACTAGTGAGCATCATTTCATTATCTGCATTTGAAGCAGGCGATGACGTCGTTGACATTGGTGTAGACGCACCATTGATGACGTGGTGTGTGATCTGTGTCGGGGCACTCTTGCCTGGTCGGCGTTTGTTGCGCTTGGAGCGCACAGAGATGGACGAGCTGAGATCGTATGCTACGTCAAAGTTAAGCGGCGACTGTGCTGTGTCGGCTTCCACCTTGAGGCGAAAGGCTTGACCCTGATGGTTCTTGGACACGTCTTCAATTCGCAGCTTTAGCACGGCTTTACCCGTCGAATCAATGGTGCGTTGGCAGTCCGGAGACATCTTTAAAATATCCTGCTTGAGCACAGGATGCTCATTTTCGTAGAGCAGTGTCACGCGTAGTGGCACGGGGCGGTTACCTACGCGTTCGTTCTTGGCGTTCACGAGGTAGATGGGCAGCGTCATGCACTTGTCACGGCCACCCTCGTCCTTGTACCAAAGCTCGGGCAGCTTCTCCTGGATGAGTAGACGGTGCTGGATTACCGTCATCTCGGACGTGACGGCTGGTGTGACGTTCAGATTAATATTTTCCTTGGTCGTAGAAGCCGAGATATGAAGCACAAACTTGCGATTCCCAAGTGCCATGGAGCACTCACTAATACTCATACGTAGCTTACAGATTCCATCACCATTCATAATAGGTTTTGTACTTGGATCAATATGCAAAATGTCCTTTTCCACAGGCATCATTTTCTCTGCTGAGTACAATTCTACATTGAGTGGTACCATTACACCCGATTTGAGGTGATCAGCTGGATCTACGAGGTAGACTGTAAGTTCAAATGGATCATCTCGGTAGGGAAATTTAGGTGGACTTGGTTGAATTTTAAGCCGTAATCGTTCATGAAATGCATCAGTATCGGTATCCATGAGATTACTATGATTAGACGAGGTACTGACACCTGCCGATGTAAATGTCTCGGTCATTAGCATCAAACAATCGCGTTACGAAAAGATTGGTTCTCTTTTATTTTGAGACAGTGTTTAATGTGATTTCGTGTTTGTACAGACTATTTATTAGTGTCTTGGTTCTTCTATATAGAGAGACAATCGAATTCAAATGAGCTTTTGATCGTTCAACTAAATCTTATTCACTCAATTTCTAGCGACGTTCGTTTGTTTTCGTCGCGACTTCGGCGCAGCGTTTTCGCTTGTGCGGAGCAGCTAAGGAAGGGTGCTAGTGAAGCCTATGATCAATCATATTTCAGGCGAAAAGAGAGTCTAGGATGTTTCATAGAGACTTTAGGTTCGAGGTGTACACTTTCAATGTCGATTCAACAGATACGTTTAAACAGAGCCACTTTTAAGATACGTGCGTTTGTTCGATTGCGGCTGCTGACAAAAAGAACAGTTCTTTTGACTTTATTTTAGTATGGTAGTTTCCTACAGTGGAACCTTGAGGCAGCCGCGTCAAAATTTCCTGAATCAGGAACCTTTCTGCGTTCTTCAGGGAAATCAGACTGTCCCAAAGAAGACAGGATAAAGTACTGAAATAAGAAGAAGAAGACTATTATCCAGTAATCGTAGTACATTGAAATTGTATTGCAGCATACGAATCAGTGAGTAAGCGAGCGACTCGATAGGGTGATAGTATTAGGTTGCAATAGGGTTGAAACCTGATTGTAGCTACTACGTCTTCGATAAACAAAACATGTATGATTATATGTTTGCGTATGAGGAAATAGCGACTACTTCTCATGTAGCCGCTATATGTGAAATAGAAAGAGCTCGTATCGTTGACATAGTTACTTCACGACTCTATATCTTATAACATTTCATGTCATTATCGAATGGATATGGACTTTCGTAACTATATTGACGAATGAATTACATCTAAACGCCAGCAATGCAATTGGCTTTCCAGCATTTGACGTGAGTATGAACCTGTTGGGATTCTATCAAGAGGGTCGTGAGAATGCAACGATTGAGGGGATGTTTGTACCTGTGAACAAGATCCCTGCTATTTCTCTAGGCGAGATCCTAGAGACCCAGCGGCTGCTACAGGTGGAGATAAAGAGTAACAGCTCTGTAGTGCATACGTTGACGTGACAGAGCAACGATTTGGTAAGATTGAAGGAAGTCGTGGTCCTTTTTTACAGGAACGGGAAGGGCTGGTAAGACAAGAGAGCGATACAGACAGACAGAAAACATCGGATAATACAATTGTACTATCAAGCATCACGATGTGAACGCGATCAAATGTAACGGACTATTTGCGCCTCGTGATCTTTTCTATACACCAAAGCCCTTCAAGAAACCTCAATTCCAGTCGGAACAGCGCTCGACCAAGAGTCGACGAAATCCTAAGGTGACAGGCTGCGAAATATTAATTAGCGACTGCATCGTTTTCTTGAAGCTGTGCTTTGGTGGGAGATTTCGACCGTTGATGCTGCAGAGAATGTCACCGACGGCAACAAACTTGGAGTTCCGGGCTTGTCCTGGCCCAATGCTTTTGACATAGACCACCAGGAGATTGTGACAATCTGCATCTTCGTAGCACCCAAAGACAATGCCTAGCTTTCCTTTGCTCCAGAGGATGCTATAGGCTGACCCAAGTGTTGCTTTTCTGTCCATGTAATGCTCGTCTGTACCGCACGAGGATTTCGACAAAAATGTTCGTTGAAAATCCGGCAATCCGTCTTGTCTGCGAAAGCGTAGTAGAGCAGGTTTTGACGCAGCTCCTAGAAGCGTACGAAGTTCTTCTACGCTCAAGCCAGATGTATGCCAGTTATTGATGGACACGAACAAATGCCCTACAGCGTCACTCGGTAGTCCAAGCGTAGACTCCTTGAGAATTTTGCGGACGATTGGGTAGTGGCGACGAGTGGGCAGTTTATCAGCCTTGTCCTTCTTTGTTGGTTTGTGTGATATCTCGAGTTGCAATCCAAGCCGGTTCGAAGTCCATACCACCTCGTATTCGTATTGTTCGTCAATCGCAGGTACTTGTTGGGAGTGACGGCCCTGTGCTACCGGTGCCGTGACCAACGCTCTGTGAGCGCCTTCATCAAGCTCAACATCACTTTGAATCGAGATCGCTGGAGCAATTGATGAAGACGAAGACAAAGAACTAAGCTTACGATGAGACTCGCTGTCTTTCTCACAAATACCGTTGGAATGAGCAGGACAAAATACTAGCTTTAGAGGCTTTGGTAGCGTCAACAGATCACGGTGGAGATCTTGTAGCAAGCGGCCTTCCGTTTTAACGCCATTTACCGAGTAAAGTTGGAACCCGTGTTGAAGGCGCTCCATATTGGCCGATGAGCCTTTTCCAGTCAAGCGATTCACGATTGGTGCTCCTGATATGGCATCTTCAAGCAACGTCAAACCAAGAGGTCCGCTCGTCCATTCTACGACGACGTTGTCGCGCATTTCAGGATGTCCAGCGTGATTTTCAGCTTTTTCTTGTAAGATTGACGAAGCCGTATGAATACTTTTTGGTGTCATTGCTTTTATGAAGCTCTTGCAGCGATAGCTTGCAGAACTTCTTAGATCTCGAGCTTGCATACCATTTGCAACAATCATATCGTGCTGATAAGATGATTGTCGCTGGTGCTGTCCAGATTCTTTGCTTGGGGCTTGCATAGTAAAGCATCTATTGGTGAAGTCATCGGTCATAAAGCGCTCAAAAGTTAGTTTTGCTGGCCGTGGGCACGTTTCCAGGTATTTTGTCGTCATGCTCAGTCCAACCGCGACCGCGTCGTTGCCATTTACTGCTACAAGTACGTCACCAAGACAAGCCCCCGAAGCGGATACCGAATCACGATTATAACCCTGCAATCTTGGTTGACTGCCAATTCGAGTTACAATTGGGATATCGTGACCTCCATCTCCTGTAAAAAACACACCAAGCTTTTGACGCCCAAGTAAAACATCAAAGCGCACGCGTGTACCGCTTGTTGACGACCGAAACCGAATGATTGACGGACATTTGGCCATTTTGACCAACACCAAGGCTGCCTCAGTGTCCATAGTATGTACTCGCTTATCTGAGACCGTTTCCAAGATATCACCTGGTCGAATGCCAGCGTCCCAGACCTTTAAAGCCGTGACACGATCCACTCGAAGCTCGGCATCCTCATCAAATGCTATAGAGTAAACATTATCGTTCGACTGTGGAGATGTTGTGAGCGTAAATCCAGGATCTCCACCAGTATAGACAAAAAAGCGAAGACTTGTAAAGTCTTGATGGGTGGAGCTCCATGACTGACAACTATGTGTCCGCATATCCATTAACGTCGCAGCAGAGCATGAATGTTGTTGGTAATTGGTCTGTACGTGCCTAGAGAAGAGAGCATTTCGTAATCGATCAAGTGGCATTCGTAACGTGTGATTCCACAGACTTTGACGAAATGTATCAGCACGTGGAAGACACAAAAGTGTCAGGAACCAGATATAAAACACAAAACCTTTCATTCAATCAGCTGATGATGTGCTGAAACAAAATCACACTTGTGTATACATCGATACCGAAACAAGTTGGGTAGCACGAGACTTTCAGTGATGTTTCTAGCTCTGTTTCTCTCATAATAATGCATCTATCTATCTATCACTCGTCTTTCAAGTGGCTGATGATGATGACGATGTGTATTATTATCCTGACTAGACGTACCGGTACATTGTATACATTGTATACATTGTATATCCGTCGTTTTTCCAACAGTGAATTGTTAGATACGCATCAGCTCTTGTAGGATTATTGTTAAGAAGAAAGTGTTCCTTAAGTAACTAATGAAACGTGTAGCCACTCAACCAATTACTGCATTCTTTCGACAGAAGCAGATAAAGCGTAGGAGTATCGAGTCCATTGAAAGCAGTACAGATGATAATAATGATGAAGACCATCATCATCATCATCACGTTCGAAACGATAACATTAAAGACAAGAAGAAACGCGTTGAAAACAACGTCGTACGTGTGAAGCGAATTTCTTGTAAACGTGACGATCATTTCATGACATCAATGCTACACTATCGAGAACTTGTGGGATGTGCTACAACTACACAGCAATTAATTGGTGGCATTCCAAGCTTACGACGTCGTCGGAAACAACAATTGGTACGCTGGATTTTATCACAATTTCAACGATTACCACTAAAGCTCGAGTCAATTTCTTCTAATTCGATACAATCTGGGAATGAATCAACGAGACGTCAATTGTTCTATACAAGTTGGTTAGAGTTTGATCTCAGGGGCATTTTACTAGTTGCAGGGACATCAAATGGAATGATTCTTCTCTATGATTTTGATGAAGTATTTCATCATATTTTAAATCTTGGACAACGTATGGATGAGGAAAAGATAAAAGATAAGACAGCCAAAGATACAGAGCAAGGAGAAGACCAAAGGAGAGAAGAGAGATTGTATCCAGTACGTAGCGGGTGTTTTATATTGTTAGTATTTTTTTCTTGTTGAGACTTTTAATGGTTACGTTTTGCACTGACTAACGGTCTAAATGTGTGGTAGATTCATACCATTTTTACATCCTTTGAGGTAAAGTGTATTCGATGGAACCCTTTGAATGAGGTAAATGAATGAGGCGTCTTTTGCATGAGGATGGAGATCAAGTAACCATGTAATGTTATTTGAAACTGGTGGTGATTCAGGACGAGATTGCGTGCTCGTTTACGAATCGCAACGAAATTCATATTTATAATCTGAGTACATTTCCAAGCAAACCACAGAAAATATTGAAGAGCTCCAATCACCCATCCAGTGGCTACAATGACTTACTCTATGTAAGTGTGACTCAAACGACGTCTAAAGTACACTCAAAAGTAGTTCACGTGATTGCTGGAGATATGGATGGAGCTGTTCGCATGTGGGATTGCCGGTTCCCTTCACGCCCTATGTGGAGCTTTCTCACAGGATCACTGAAAACATCGATAAACGCTTTGCTGCTGTCATCGGACAAGCAATTTCTCATTTGCGGCAATGAAGCTGGAATGCTCATGGTACGGTATAGCACACTGCTTTTGCAAACTATATAAACGACGTGCATTCGGTTACTTGACGTATTGTTTCTCATATGCAGACATACGATATTCAGCACAAATTTATTCCTGCGTTTGGCTCAAAGCCTGTACCGCAACGAAAAGCAGTATTTAATATTATGGAAACAATCAAGCGTGAGTGCAGCTGTTTGATGCAAAGTGCTAGCTGTTGAATAGTCAATGTCACGAACTGACGGTTTGTCCTGCTCTTACCAGCATATCTATCGCCTGCTTTAATAGAGGGTGTACTCATTACAAGTCGACATGGATCCCCGGGAATTATGTCACTACACCTGGTACCAGAGTCAGAAACATATGTGTTATGCCAGTTGCGCAATGATTGGGTTGTAGTTATTGATTACCTTCTCGGATCTGTCGTAAAGTTGCATACGTTCCTTAGAGGTATGTATTTGCCCGTGCACCGTGGACGATGGTCAGTAATGTTTGCTTACCGATATTTTAATACATATGCTCCGATCTGGACAGGGTCAATGCCAAGAGATAAATCAAAGTCAGATGCATCGCCATCAGTGCTCTCGATGGTTTCAGAAAGTGAGTACCAACGAGACTTCGTATCGCGCTCACTTCGTCATTCGTGGCTATCTTGCCATCGTTGCACGGGTACATTCTTGTTTGACAAGTCTATCTTGTGTACGGGAATCCATGATGCCAAGAGTTTGACAATGATTGACTTGCACCAACTACGGGTTGCTACAGACCAAAAGAGTGATGCAAGTAAGTTTGGAGCAGCAAGCTCTGACATTTCTGAATTACCGGCTGTCGAACGAATCCATCGGTTCCGAATTCCCATGAACGGTGTCGTTACTGCTGTAGCGTCTCACCCGAATCAGCATTTGGTAATATGTGGAGGTGAAAATATGAGACTGCAGATTATGGGGGCAATGGGCTAACAACAGAGTACCATAGCCAGGGATTGTCACTGAACAAGAAGGTTACGGAAAAGCATCAGATGCTAACAGCTAACCTACTGGTTGCTACTGGTACTGTGGTTATGAAAGACACATGGTTTTGACCACGTAACCAACATGAGCTATGACACATTTCTTCCCCAATTAGACTGAGTTGGTGTGATGATCTGGGTGACAGCTGTGACTGGCCGGTCGTACGAGGGAAAAGGATAGATTGAGCGGCAGTATGCAAAAGACTCAGTGTCTTGAGTAACGGCTTTCGCGTCTATACGAGAAAAAACATGTCCGAGTATGAGTCAACAACATTCTGACGTGATTGTATTTCATTTCTTCTGTCTATTACGATTCATAAATATTAGAATCATTGCACGACACGAGATATTCAAAGATACGAATAAACGTACACTGCATCGACCATGTCTCTCTTACCTCACCTTCCAGGCCGGACTGTAGATAAAAGTAATATCTCGTGGTTTAGCTACAAATGACGTGGACTTGGCACTCGTCCAGGTTCGTGAAAGCTGGAAGCAGAGGTCATGCTAATTGCAGGCACCTGTACGTATCCCCTTTGACCTCTTTGTTCTTCCACCTTGCCGAAAAGGGATTGGAAAAAGTCCAACAAGATACTAAATGGACAAGAGATAATGTGTTTGACCTGCTGCAGCCATTCACTACGTAGCCACGCCATATAATTGCCCCTTGTTATCGTCTGTACTGCCCCTTTGGGTGTTCCAAATAGCTGGACAACGGATCCAGGCCACACATCACCCTTCTTAAGCACTTTTCCTTGATGAATGAGTCTTGCACGCTCTCTGAATGGACATTCAAATAAAAAAATCACGTTCGACACGTCGGTTTTTCAAATATCAACGAGTAGTAAGCGACTAAGAGACCACGTACAGATTAAATAGAGATGCCAAGACTTTTACAGGGTCATTGAATGTCCATATCGATACATTTAATACGTAAATAACATTACAATAGCGCACAAAAGCTGGTTTCGGGGTCACTTCATTTTGCAATTGAGTCACCCGTTTTACTTGAATGTAACAATTAGGACAATGATTTTTATAATGTGACAAGTATTGACACAAACAAGAGAGACAAAACTCATGGGAACAGTCGGTAAGACATCGCTGTGTCGGGTCTAGAGGCAGAGGTTGGTCACATACAAGACATGGCAAGAAAACGTCATTTGTCATAATGGAGTTTTGCAATGACACATGTTATGGGTCTTTTCGTGAACACATGTTATGGGTCTTTTCGTAACAAACGTCTTGGGTTTTTTCGTGACAAATGTCTTGGGTTTTTTGTGTCAAACGTTTTGGGTCTTTTCGTGACAAATGTTATGGGTCTTTTTCAATGACAAAAGTTATGGTCTCACTATTCGCTTATGCGAAAAAATTCCTTTTACATTTTCTCGAGATTTTTGTTATTGCGGTTTCAAGTAAAGCTAAAAAGAAGCTCACACGAAATGTACTGATTAAGCCCTAAGCTGGTCGTAATTGATTATTTATGTCTCTAGATGGATATCTAGTTTACTTTATACATGTTACGACAATTTGCTTTCTTATAGATAAATGACAAGTTTATGGTTCCTTATTACAGTATGTATATATATATGTCTTGTTGCCGATGAGTAACCTCTATTACTATGCTTTTAGCAGTGCTTCAGGTGCCTAACGTTCGTTCGACAAAACGTACAACCTGGTGGAATTGTGGCGAGGGAGAGAGAATTTTCCACAACGTACATGCATTGCGTCTCTATGGTCTTGACCAGAGCATTACAACAACAACAACACGACGAGATTTCTGCTGGTTGATGCTGAACAGGAAGTAGGTTTGATTAGCAACTTTGCTGAAAACAGTCTATTTCCAACTCATTTCCAACTTACCATATGGGGTTGTGAATAAAGACGAAAGATTCGAATGCGAAGAAGCAGGAGAACTCGAAATTTCGTAGGATTCACTTTGTTCTCTTTTTTAGATTGCACAAGAGAAGCATGCAAATCAATCAACCTTAGATCCAATATGAATTGATCAGGAGCATGAGTGAGGGACCAAATTGGAGAAGTAATTTAGCAAGTCGAATTGAGGTGAAAAAACAAAGATCGTTGCTTGTGTCAGTCCTTATAGCTCCATCAATATCTGTACAACTATACTAAGCGCTTTGGCTACTTCACTGCACTTTAGAAATGACAATTATGCGACGGTATGTCGTCGTCGTTAAAGTTCTTTACGATATTGTGAAGACATATGTATGCTATTTGCTAATAGGATCCCGAAACACGTCTCAAAAGCATTACACGATTGAGATACGTGTTGGTCGAACTCGATACCAGTAGTAAATGTTTAGACCTGTCACTCAAACTGTGGGTTGAATATCGTGCATTACACACGAAAGTGTACAGTCATAACGTAGCCACATTGCATGGTCCGACGTTGCAAAGGTTCAGGGAACCAACTAGTCATACATAGCGTTTTGAAGGCTGCCATGAACTCTGAAAAAATGGAAATGTCGTTATCAATTGAAACTGCCATCGAGCTAGCTTCTCCACTACAATGTAAGACCAGAAGGGTACAGTATTTGTTCGACCAGACTTAGTCTGGTCGAGGGTATCAGTTCAGTTCGAATCGGTTTGAACACGACTACCCTTCCGTTCAGTTTCGAAGCAATTCCATACAAACTTCAAGTATTTAGGCAAACCACCTTAAACGTCTTTTTTCACGTCGAGATTCATTCGATAAGTATAAATTCTGCAAGACTATCTGTTTCTCACAATATCGCAACATATAGGGCAAATTCCGCCTGTTTTTTTTCCCAGTCGCGTGGTCAGTACATCAAAGTCATCGTCAGTCCGACTCTCGTTCAGTCTAGTAGCTCCCACACATATATACACAAATACTTTTACTTCTATCTAGAGTCTCGTACTTGCGTGCAACCTGGTTTCAATGCCTGCTCTTGTTGGTAGACGTAGTGATGATGATAATGAAGATGATGTTTCTTATAGCGTAACGCTTGATGCTGTAATTGCTGATCCTCATTTACATGCATTATACCTTCAATATCTCTCTACGTCTGACAAGAAAAGTTTTGCACGACTGCTGTTTCTTGTAAGCGTTGAAGAGTTTAAACGAGTGTTTGTATCACATGACAAACACTCGACTACGACTACAACTGCTGCTGCAACTACTACGACTGGTGCTACTTCTTTTGAGGATGAGATTGACGATATACAAGCTCATCGTCGTCAATATGCGAGTAAGATTATATCCAAGTTTATGAGTCCAGGCTCGTTTCTCGATATTGCGTCCGAGAATCTTTGTATTCTGAACAAGTCCGTCGCAAGCTTTGGGAAATTATTACGAAATGATCTCATGTTATACGCTGGTTTAGCAGCTAAGACTGATCTTTTTCAAGATGCTGAAGTAGCTGTTAAAAAAGCACTTCAGCCTAGTTTTCGACAATTTGCAGCAACGTCGGAATTTGCAGCCTTAGTTGCAAGTTCTCGACTTACTTATGCCGCTTTGGACGAGTCCGATACAAGTTTTGAAGAAACAGAGATGATGCAGCAACACGTGGAAGAAGAAGATTCTCCTGGATCCTTGTCGCAGGAGATTTTGACGTCACCGGTATCGTTGATCACTAGCACATCAATGCAAGACTCTCGTGTCCGAAGACAACGCACAGCGACAACATTCTTGACATTGGAACGAGTGCTTAGTAATCGAAGACTATGTAGTGTCTTTTGGGTCTTTCTGTTTAAGGAGCGAACGCATCAGCAATTGAGTTTGTGGATGGATTTCCGATATCAACTGCTGCCACTTTTGGAAGACCTTATCTATACAGCTCAGGCGGGTTCAGAGGAAGAGGAAGACGGAGATCAACAGGACAAGGAACAACAGAAAGATGCTAACGCAAAACAAGCTGAAGAGCTCATTGAGCAGCTTTTAACAGGAGGCAGTCGCATTGCAGCCAAGTACCTGACTGCGAGTGCGAGTACGCGCGTCACTTTTGTCGGTGAGATGGAGCAGGATCTACTACGTGGCTATGAGTTGCGTGTGGCGCACTGTCTAGCAACTGGTAGCTTTTCGCTGGCTGACGCTGTAGTGCTACAACGAACGGTAGAGCGTATTCTAGCCGTCATTGAAGCGGATCTTAAGGTCAACCATTTCGTGCGCTTTATGGATAGCGAATCGTTCAAGTCGTTGGTAGCATCTTATCAGAGTCGTTTGCTCAGTCCGTCCGGATCCACAAATGTTGTTACATCTGCGGCATGCGATGGCTCAAGCACAGCTTCTGACAGCAGCATGACGACGCTGCAAGAGTTGTTTCAGTGCATGAATGTTGCGTCACATCAACCCCAGCGAGTACGAAGTACATCATTTACGTTGCGAGACCTCTATCAATGCCAACGTCGTGGCGACTCACAGAGCAAATCACTTATCAGCTCTGTGATGAGCTTTCGACTTGACGTAAACGACCGGTCCCACCCCGAGATTATCAAGGAGGTGCTACATACGCTTGCAGACCCCAACAACCATAGTGAGCACAGCAGTGATTTGTACCACCATCACGCAATTCCGGACCATATTGAAGCTTTCTTTCGACCATCAGGGACTGACGTCGTCCACTCCACGACCCGGCCGGAGCCCTCACTTTTCCATATGACGATTGGAAACACTGACAAGGCGTTTTACGGTGCCTGTCTCACACGATACGTGCCACTTAATGACATGACCAAGTTAGGGCCGTTGGAGCAAGTGTTGCAGGAGACTGAGGGCCTTGAAGTATACGTTCCTGTAGGAATTTGCATCATTAGCCGGTATCCAATTCTTGACACGCTCAAGCAGCGTCTGGACTTGCTGCACACTACAATGCAAAACGACGAAGCGTATCTCTTTGATGTAAACTGGTTGCCTTCTGCAGCACAAATGGCTGATTTGCTTTGCCCATTTGACTTTGGTGCTGTAACACCCTCCTCAGACGACACAAGATCCCTCTCGGCACTGGACAGCCATGTTGATTTCAGCATGGAGGAGCTGTTTAGCTGTTTATCAGTCGAGCACGTGGTTGCTTTGGTCACTTGCATGCTTCTTGAGCGACAAATTGTGCTTGTGAGCTCGCATTATTCGGTGCTTACATCAGTTGGCGAGACGTTAAAGAGTTTGATTGCCCCGCTGGAGTGGAGTCACGTGTTTGCACCCATTCTTCCAAAGAGTATGCTTGAATGCTTACAGTGTCCTACACCGTATCTGTTTGGCGTAAATGCAAGTTACCGTGCGGAGTTGCGTGAGATGCTTGAGAGAGAAGGCTGTGGTGATGGTATTATCGTGGTGGACCTAGACGCGGATACAATTAGCTCTCCGGTGCGACCACAGCTTCCCGAGCCTGTCCGTGGTCCCCTCACCTCACGGCTTCTCCAATTGCTCAAGCCAAAAGTTTACTTCAGCGACTTTGTCCCCATGCTCAGCAGCAAGCCTGATGCTTTGATCGCGCAAAGGTTTCCACAAGGTCATGTGCGCATGTGTTTTCGGGAGGCAATGGCAGCTCTGCTACGCACAGTAGAAGAGTATCGATTCGTACTGTCCGACGATTTCGATTACGTGGTGGTATTTGATCGAATTGCATTCCTCCGGCACCTTTCGCCTTGTGAGCAACCTTTCTACCGCAGCTTTCTGGAGACACAAGTCTTTTCTCATGAGATTGCGTCAGTTAATATTTAAGCGCAGGAGGGAAAGTAGTTTAACAGTACTGAAAATGCAAAAAAGTAGAATTGCCATTAGTACATTTGTCTTTGTGATGATATGCTACAGTACATGAATGCAAAGCTTTCACACGCAAAGTTGTAAGTCTTACATGATCCCGCAGGGTCCATTAGCACGGTCATGCGTTGAATTCTGGGCATGCAAGGTGGCAACAGAAGAAGCACTTCCGCTACTTCGGAATTCAAAGTTGCGGCTGAGATACCCACGCAAATGTCTGTGCTCCTTCTTGAGCAATGTGATCGCATCATTCAGTGATTGCTTCAGTGAGAGCGCATCAGTTGGACGTGAGCCAACCTCTGATTGCTGCTGCTGTAGCTGCTCACAAGCAATTTGAACGCGAAATGCCGCCTTTGAAACACGCATTGCTGCAACATACGCTGAGGACCCCTTTAGCGAATGAGATTCTCGCCGCGTAACAGCGATGTTGCCTTCATTGTAGGCTGCTACAATACGTGACATGATTGCATCACAGCTCACTGTGAACTTCTCCAGCAGACTCAAGAAGAGCTCTTCATGGCCGCCGCATTGCTCCACACCCAACGAATAGTCGACTGGGTCGCCCTCAGGAATGATAATGCTGGTAGGATCCATCGTTACGCGCGCGGCAGCTTCGCCCTCAATGGTTGCACTTGTTGCGTGGTCAACGCTTGGTTGGCCTCGAGTGCCACTTCTAGCGGCTGGGCTACTGATATTCAGACGCTCTAGTATAGCAGCAACTGGGTCTCCTGATGGATGCTCGTCCAAGCTTTTATCGAAGTCAAATTGTTGCGAGCTCAAGGGAGAGCTTCCATTCCGACCTCCTTCAGTAACAACTCGAGAACTCTTGCCATCTGAAGCACCACTTGGAGACATAGGCTGCTGCGACGGAGATGGTGAGGTCGAGGAGTCCTTTTTGCCTCCCATAAAAGGTGGGTGGCTCCATAATGTCGGATTACTAAGGGAAGACACCTGGTCCGAAGTCTCGGCATGATCTAGTAATTTGTCCTTCATGTTAGGCAACGTTGCAGACGTCTTGTTGATTTGCTTCCAGTCCGGAATATCAACAATAGCCCCGCCCGTGTCACGCTGAAGATTCAAAAGGCCGCTAGAACGAGTACTGTTACCAATCGACGAGCCCAAACTGAAGATCGACGTCGTAGGCACTGCGGTGCGCACAGTAGGACCAACCTGACGTCTTATAGCCATTGGATCATCCAGCTCCAAATTCGAGATTGCGCGCGCCAGATCAAGTTGTTGCATATGACGAGAGGCAGGCGCCAGTCTAGAATTGGAATCCAGTGATGCGCTAAAGAGGTCCGTATCTTCCGCATCGCTGTCAAACGACGGGCGCGGGGTCGGTGACGTCCCCGGAACAAGATCCGACTCGTCTACTCCGAGGCCTCTCGATGACGCTGGTGAAGAGACTGATCCTGGTACGGCATTATTTGCGCTAGCACATTCCGAGCTTGCACGATTACAATCATTCGACCCAACAGTCGAAGGAATGGAAGATTGAGGTATAAGATAGCGAACACGCATCCATTGCCGAATTGCTTTGAGTAAGCTATTCTTCGAGATAGGTTTTACCATGAACTCATCCATACCGGAGCTCAAGCATTTCTGTCGGTCTCCACTCATGGCGTAGGCAGTCAGGCCTAGAACGGGAATGCGCGGTAGGTTATTCTCTAACTCAAACTGACGAATTGTTTTCGTAGCGGTGTAGCCATCCATTACAGGCATCTCGCAGTCCATAAAGATCAAGTCAAACTTGGTATGATTCCATTTGTAAGCTTTTACCGCATCACGACCGTTCACTTCCCACTGTAGTAGATGATCCGCTTCTTGAAGGAAACACTTTACTACCTCCCAATTGAACTCATTGTCTTCCACAACCAAAATTCTTGCCTGCCTCGGAATCACAACTTTCGCGTTGTTTGCCGCACCACCGGCAGCTGCGCTTGTCACACTGTCACCCGAATTCACATTCGATGTGTCCATGGAAGGTGTAGCGTCAGATGCATCCGTTAGCAAGTCATTTGCTGTATAAAATAACCCCTTAGCATCGGTGTCATCGAGCAAACGAACCACAACGGTAAAATAGAAGTTGCTGCCGACGTCAAGCTCACTGTCAACACCAATTTGGCCATCCATAAGCTCCGCAAGCTGCTTACAAATAGCAAGACCTAATCCAGAGCCCGTGGGATTGTTCTGGCGTGTGCGTTCCAGTTTCGTAAACAGTGAAAAGAGACGCATCTTTTCCTCTGCATCCATGCCAATTCCTGTATCGATGACCTGGAACAGGAGCTTCTTAAACGTTTTTGGCAGCTCAGGAGTGTACACAACACTGCACGTGACGGTAATCGAGCCTTCATTTGTGAACTTAATCGCATTTGACAGCAAGTTCAACAGAACTTGACGAAGGCGCACAACATCGCCAATAGCAACTTTCGGTACATTATCGTCATACTTTAGATCAAGTTTAAGTCCGCGTTCTCGGGCCTTGAACTTGAAAATCTCGATCGAATAGTCCAAAAGTTCGTGCATTTGAAACGGAGCGGCAGAAATTTCCAAATGTCCAGCCTCAATTTTTGACAAGTCTAATATGTCGTTAATCAGGTTTAAAAGAAGCGATCCCGACACATATGCCATGTGCACATAGCGCTCAGGTGCCTTGTCCAACGGCTGTTCCTTTAACAGCTCCAGCATTCCCAGTACACCATTCAATGGTGTCCGCAGTTCGTGACTAAAAGAGGCCAAAAAATTTACCTTAGCAGCCTCCATATGCTTCCTCGCCGTGTAGTCTTGTCCAACACCTATCACACCACGAATGTTTCCGTGCATGTCTTTTTTGCTGGACGCATTCACAAGAAGCAGCAGGAAAACGCCACGCTTCGTTGTCATCGGAAGCTCCATCTCGCCGACATCAATACCAATCAGTGCTTGATTCAGCAATTGACGAACCTGCTGTCTGCTTTCCGGGATGATGAATGTGTGAACCAGAGAAAGGCCTAGCACGCTTGACTTGTGATAACCTGTGATCTCTTCGATCTTCTGGTTCCACTCGTTGATGCAGCCATTTGTATCGATACCGAAGATGGGAGCATTTGCGGTATCAATTAGTCGGAAATACTCATGCTCTTGGGCAATACGATCTGTGATATCTTGACCAATACCGACAACGCCAACAATACTGCCATTTGAATTATACCTTGGTGTTGCATTTAGTAAGATCTCAATTCGCGTTCCTGGACGAGTAATCAATGGAAACTCAAAGTTTGCCGTTTCAAGACCTCTTAAAGCTTGTGATAATACCTCAGCTACAATTGGCCTGAACTCGGGCGAGATAAATGTCTCCACAAGATTCTCACCCATAACTTCCTCAATTGCATAATTTGTGATTTGTGCTGCTTTCCGATTCCAAATATTGACACACATGTTTGCATCAACACCAAAGATTGGGGCATTCGCTGTATCGATCAAACGACTGTACTCCTGTTCTTGAGCTATGCGTTCTGTGATATCCTGGCCAATGCCAACCATACCCTTCACCTCGCCGTGCTCATTGTAGCGCGGTGTAGCATTCAATAAAATCTCCACGCGACGGCCAGCCTTCGTGATCAATGGAAACTCAAAATTTGCCGTCTCCACACCTTGAAATGCCTTCTCTAAAACGCTTCGCACAGGTATCTTGTATTCATTTGATATAAATTCAGCAACTAAGTCTTTGCCTAACACGTCCTCATTTGTATATTGCATAATATCGGCAGCCTTCCGATTCCAAATGTTTACACGCCCATTTGAGTCTACACCAAAAATCGGAGCGTTGGCCGTATCAATGAGTCGACTATACTCGTGTTCCTGCGCAATGCGGTCTGTGATGTCCTGGCCGATTCCGACCATACCAATCACTTCTCCGTGTTCATTAAACCGCGAAGTAGCGTTTAATAAAATCTCCACACGCCTTCCAGCCTTTGTCATCAATGGAAACTCGAAGTTTGCAGTTTCAACGCCTTTGAGAGCTTCCGATAGAACGAGGCCAACTGCCTCACGGTAGTCTTCCGTGATGAACTTTTCTACCAGATTTTCACCCATCACAGCACTGGGCGTGTACTGCGTGATTTCTGCGGCTTTCTTATTCCAGATGTTTACGAGCCCATTACCATCAACACCAAAAATTGGGGCGTTCGCTGAGTCAATAAGTCTGGCGTATTCCTGCTCTTGAGCAATCCGATCAGTAATATCCTGACCGATACCGACAACACCAACGATGTCTCCGTGTTGATCAAAGCGGGCGGTTGCATTCAGTAAAATGTTCAGTTTTCGACCGTTCTTTGTAATCACCGGCACTTCAAAACTAGCGGTTTCATTTCCTTTCAGTGCATTTGACATGATATCATAAACAATTGCCCGATACTCAGGCGCAATAAACGTTTCTACGTATTTCTCCCCCAAAACGTCCTCGACTGCGTAATTTGTGATCTGCGCCGCTTTATTATTCAGAATATTTACGCACATGTTGGCGTCAATACCAAAAATCGGGGCATTTGCCGCATCGATAAGTCGGCCATACTCTTGTTCCTGCGCAATACGATCTGTAATATCCTGACCAATACCCACCATGCCCATCACTTCGCCCTGTTCGTTATAACGAGGCGTAGCATTAAGCAGAATTTCTACTCGTCGGCCTGCCTTTGTAATTAATGGAAACTCAAAGTTCGCTGTCTCTATACCTTCAAAAGCTTTTTCCAGAACACATCGAACGGCGACTCGATACTCTTCAGAAATAAACTTCGCCACAAGGTCCTCTCCTAGTACGTCTTCAGTCGTGTACTGCATAATGTCAGCAGCCTTCCGATTCCAAATATTCACCAAACCATTTGAGTCTACGCCAAAAATTGGGGCATTTGCCGTATCAATAAGACGCATGTATTCCTTCTCTTGCGCAATCCGGTCAGTAATATCCTGTCCAATGCCAACCATGCCAATCACTTCTCCATGTTCGTCGTTCCTCGGCGTAGCGTTCAAAAGTATTTCCACCCTACGACCAGACTTTGTCATCAAGGGGAACTCAAAATTTGCCGTCTCGACGCCTTCCAAGGCCTTCGACAACACAAGACCCACCGCTTCGCGGTAATCCTCTGTAATAAATTTTTTCACCAAATTTTTGCCCATTACATCATTTGGTGTGTACTGCGTAATCTCAGCTGCCTTTTTGTTCCAAATATTTACGAGACCATGGGCATCAACGCCAAAAATTGGCGCGGTGGCAGAGTCAATTAGTCTCGCGTATTCCTCCTCCTGTGCAATTCGATCAGTGATATCCTGACCAATCCCCACGACACCAACAATGCGTCCATGCTGATCAAAACGAGCTGTAGCGTTCAGCAAGATGTTTAGCTTTCGGCCGGTCTTGGTAATCACTGGCACCTCAAAACTTGCCGTTTCATCTCCATGCAATGCTTTCGACATAATGTCATACACGATAGCTTGGTACTCGCGAGCGATAAACGTTTCAACGTATTTTTTCCCATGACTTCTTCGACGGCATAATTTGTAATTTGAGCGGCTTTTTTGTTAAAGATATTAACGCACATGTTGGCATCAATGCCAAAAATAGGGGCATTGGCCGTGTCGATCAAGCGGCTATACTCTTGCTCTTGGGCAATGCGGTCTGTTATATCCTGCCCAATACCCACCATGCCCATCACCTCACCTTGCTCATTGTAGCGTGGAGTAGCATTCAACAAAATCTCCACTCGTCGGCCCGCCTTTGTAATCAATGGAAACTCAAAGTTAGCTGTCTCCACTCCTTCAAATGCCTTCTCCAAAACACTGCGAACTGGTACTTGATACTCTTTTAAAATAAACTCAGCAACGAGGTCCTTACCAAGTACGTCTTCAGTAGTGTACTGCATAATGTCTGCAGCCTTTCGATTCCATATATTTACTAGACCATTGGAATTAACGCCAAAAATTGGAGCGTTGGCTGTGTCAATAAGGCGCATGTATTCTTTCTCTTGGGCAATCCGGTCCGTAATATCTTGACCAATTCCAACCATACCCATCACCTCTCCTTGCTCATTGTAACGCGGGGTCGCGTTCAGCAATATTTCCACTCGCCGGCCAGACTTTGTAATCAGCGGAAACTCAAAGTTGGCCGTCTCCTCACCTTGAAATGCTTTCTCCAATACGCAGCGAACGGGAACCTTATATTCCTCGGAGATGAACTCAGCAACAAGATCCTTGCCCAACACGTCCCCGTTTGTAAACTGCATAATATTCGCTGCTTTTCGATTCCATATATTGACGTGTCCATCAGAGTCCACTCCAAAAATCGGTGCGTTGGCAGTATCAATCAACCTCATGTATTCTTGCTCTTGTGCAATCCGGTCCGTGATATCTTGTCCGATACCAACCATGCCAATGACTGTTCCATGTTCATTGTACCGTGGTGTAGCATTCAAAAGGATCTCGACTCTTCGACCCGTTTTTGTAATCAATGGAAACTCAAAATTTGCAGTTTCAACACCGTTAAGAGCTTCAGAAAGTACATAACTCACAGCCTCCTGGTAGTCTTTAGTAATGAACTTCTCTACAAGGTGCTCGCCCATGACGGCATCGGCTGGATACTGCATAATCTCAGCAGCCTTTTTGTTCCAAATGTTCACACATCCTTCCGAATCAACTCCAAAGATCGGGGCATTGGCAGTATCAATTAAGCGAATGAGTTCCTGCTCCTGCGCAATTCGCTCTGTAATGTCTTGACCAATGCCCACAACACCAAAGATCTGGCCAAGCTCATCATACCTGGGAGTTGCGTTCAGCAAAATCTCAACTCGCCTCCCCGTTTTGGTGATAAGCGGGAAATCGAAATTGCTTGTCTGCTCTCCTTTGAGGGCTCTTTGCAGCTCCAACTGAACCGTGGCTCGATATTCTTCCGCAACAAAGCGGTTGACTAGATCCTTTCCCATAACTTCTTCGGCAAAGTACTGAGTGATTTCTGCTGCTTTAAGATTCCAAATGTTCACCAAGCCGTCCCGATCAACACCAAATATTGGAGCGTTTGCCGCGTGGATTAGCCGATTTGTTTCCTGCTCCTGAGCCATTCGAATGGTGATATCTTGCCCGATACCAACAACGCCAATCACAACACCTTTTTCGTTGTAGCGCGGCGTAGCGTTTAGCAAAATCTCCACACGACGGCCGTCCTTTGTGATCAGCGGAAATTCAAAGTTTGCCGTCTCTTGTCCTTCCAGTGCCTGAGATAATACTGTCCACACTGCCTCCCTAAAATCCTCTGGAATAAAATTCTCGACTAAGTTGGCCCCAAGTACTTCTTCATTAAAGTACTGTGTTGTGTCAGCGGCTTTACGGTTCCAAATATTCACACACCCTTTTTCATCCACTCCAAAGATTGGCGCATTAGCTGTATCAATAAGACGTGTATACTCCTGCTCTTGAGCGCGTCTGTCTGTAATGTCTTGACCAATTCCAACAGCTCCACAAATGTTGCCAAAATGATCGTACTTCGGTGTCGCATTGAGCAAGATCTCAAGTCGGCGACCACTTTTTGTGATTAGTGGAAAGTCAAAATTTGCTGTTCCTGTTCCTTCAAGGGCTTTTAAAAAAACCTCAGCAACGGCATCCCGGTAGTCTTCAGATATGAACTTGAACAGATCCTGACCAATTGTGTCTTCATTTGTGTATTCTGTAATTGCTGCTGCTTTCTTATTCCAGATTATTACCTTATAGTTCAAATCCACACCAAAAATTGGAGCATTAGCTGTGTCAATCAACCGACTGTACTCCTTCTCCTGAATAATACGATCCGTGATGTCCTGTCCAATCCCAACGACACCCACTAGTTTGCCTGTGTGATCATATCGAGGTGTCGCGTTCAGCAGAATCTCTACTTTTCGACCAGTTTTGTTCACCAATGGAAACTCAAAGTTTGCGGTTTCCGTTCCCTGAAATGCGCTATGAAAAACAGCAGCAACGGCAGGTCGAAAATCTTCCGAAATAAGTGTATCTACTAGATCCACACCCATAACTTCTTCCGGTGCGTACTCGCTAATCTGTGCTGCTTTGGCATTAAAAATCACGACCCGTCCTTCCGTATCTACACCAAAAATTGGCGCGTTCGCCGTCTCAATAAGTTTTCTGTACTCCATCTCCTTCGTGTTCCTTTCGGTCACATCTTGTCCAATAGCAACGACCCCCATGACTGATCCCAGAGTGTCAAATCTCGGCGTCAAGCACAGCACAATTTCCACTCTCGACCCTCTCGCTGTTACAAGAGGCAGTTCAAAATCAGCACCAGGAGTGCCTGTCAATGCCTGACCAATCTTTTCCGACACGATCTTGCGGAAACTTTCGTCCACGACAGGTAGCAGTGGTTCACCAACCATATCAGCACTGGTATAACCCGTCATGGATGCTGTTTTGGTATTCCAGACAGTAATATTGCCTTCTTTATCCAATTCAATGATTGGTGCATTGGCCTGCATCATCACTGTCGCATACTGTTTCTCCTGACTCGCCCACTCTGTAACATCTTGACCAACACCATAGACACCAATACACGAGCCATCCTCAGCCAAGAGTGGTGTCATATTCGTCAGGACTTGAGCATTTCGTCCCTTTGTATTCCGTAGTGGAATACGTAGCTCTAATTCCGGTCTCTTGGTTTCAATACAAGCCTCCAGTATCTCAATCACTTCCTGTTTCCGTTGCATACCGTACACAAAATCAGCTAATGGTCGACCAATCACATAGATCGCTTCAAATCCCGTCATATCTTCCATACGTGGGTTCCAAAGGGCGACACAACCATCAGTATGAACACCCAAAGCAGGCGCATTAGCATCATTCAACATACGAAAAAGCTCCTGAACACGTGGCCGTGCATCAGTAACATTGTCTGTATCTGATACAATGCGTGGCAGTGGCACTAGTGACGCTGGAGGTGCGACGCTCGACGTGCGGCGGCTTCGTTTCCCTTTCCCTTTGGATGGCGCCATGACGCAAGATAATGCGGAATGGAAAGAAACCCCTAATCTTCTACTATCTTTACTATATTTATGCGAAAATTTGTATGGCCTGATAAATTAATAAAGATAAAACACACCCGATACTGTGGGACAACGTTGCATAATAAGAAGAAATGTTTATGGATTGAGATAATCAACATGGAAAACATGTTGGTTTATGTATGGAACGGAAAAACACGAGTTGGTACCGTATTTTTTTACGCGGATTTACGAGCTCATATAAAACAACGTTGTGCTTGGACACTAAAAATATTAAGTAAGAAAGGGTTGACTGTATTCAATTGATTGCAACTAGTGCATGTATTGCTATACATTTAATGCTTCCAGCCTTGTTTCATAACTGAAAAAACGTTTCTCTTAGCTATTAGTGCCACAACAAGACCAGGGAAAAAAGTAGTCGTACCAGCGACAACCCTTGATCGACACATTGGCTTCATATAACGAGTTTGCAAGTGTAGCATCCATTGACGTCGTTACTTTTAGCAAGCGTTTGTCGCTAGTGGTTCAAGGGTGCTGAATTGACGATATGTCGTCGGTCGCTTTTGTAGGATCAATCATAAGCAGAACGAGGGTGAGCGAGACAGCAGATATGGACTTGAACATGACGGTTAATGCGCTGGTTGATGACTTGCGTTGTTGCTAGTGAATTTGAGAGTAAGCTTTTGACAACTTGGAAAATGACAATGGCATTATACGCATGGATCTTGTTCTATCGACCAAATTGCTGGAGAATACAAAGGGACTAGAAGATCACAGACACGTTAAAAAAGAGAAGAAAAGAGAGTAGCAACATTTTTGGCAACGTTAGCTACACTACAAACGTATAATGCCAGATAGTCGAAGAGCTGAATTAGATGACTGTTGATTGAATGAATGTGCATACTAATAATATTCCTATGAATGTGGCATTACCTGTAATAATATGTTATATGAGACTTCAATCACACAATGATTATATCACTTCAATATAGCCATTTTGATGACTATCAGGTAATTTTGTTTTGTCCAATCAAATTTATTGTCTCAATATGAGCGAATTCCGACAAGCAATCGACCACGTAGAAGCGCTTGAGGCGTGTTTAACACTACTGCAGCAATTAGTTACCAACTGCTGTGATCGTCAACTGTTAGAAGAAAAGCTTAGCTTCATTATGGTGCGTTTGTGGTCTTGTAGTATGCAATATTTGACTCGAAACTCGTGACACCCTCTTCTTTTACTAATTCTTTAGTTTTTCAATATCTTCACCTATACAGACCGCAATTAATGGTGAGATTGATGTCATTATGTCAAAGTTTCGAGCCAGATGCTCGATGGTGGATCCTGTGACGAAACAGGCGCGATTTGGCCCTAAAATGCTGGCTAAAGTGCAAGATCTGCTCCAACGCTACGATGACATCACGCTCAGAATGAAAGAAGACGCGCCGTTGCGTCTAGATATCGAAGAAAAGATTCATAAGATTGCAGAAGAAGAAGCTGCAAAGGAGAGCGATGAAGTTGCTCGGAAGAGGGAGACAAGGATAGCCCAACAGGCTGAAGAATTGGCAAGGAAACAGGAACAACAGAGACAGCAGCAAGCAGCTCTGGAACTGAAAGCGGAGCATCAACGAGTCGAACAACTTCGGATTGAAGCTTTGGCTTCTGCTGCGCAGGAAAAACGTGAGCGACGTGAGAAAGAACGCGCAAAAGAGGAACAGCAGCGAATGCTGGAGGAGCAGGAACGCGAACGCTTAAACGCGTTAATCCCGCACGGAAAACAGGGACTTGAAAAAGCTATGACAATGTTAAAAGAAAGCACTGGCGAAGAGGTACGTTACTCCATGTGCTGATTATGAAATGACGAAAGGTTGACTTGTGCGCAATTAGGCCCTGTTTCGTCAGTCACTCGTAAAGCTCCTAGGGGTGGTGAGCAATATCTGCTCGGCACCAGAGAATGCGGCTTTCCGTCATATTCCCAAATATAACGCCAACTTTCACGCTGATCTGGGGCAATATGCTGGTGGTCATCAGTGTCTGCTTGCGCTAGGGTTTAAAGAGCTTCAACAAGGAGACGAAGCGCAACCGAGAGCTGTTTTTGTGTTAGAGGCAAGATGGTATACACTTCACAAATGTATTGCAGTTGGCGCTTACTTACTTCGTTGTACTGCTGACGGGTGGTGCGAGTGTAGGAACCAAATTTATCGGAAGATTTTAATGCCTGGAGCAACTGGTTTGACGAGCTTAAAGAAATGCAATGTTTAGTGGAGTCTAAGCTGTGATGGATCGATTCTAGTGTTGGAAATATGCTTCATAGAAGTGGATGCATAACTGGGGTCAACTTGCATTGATTGAGCTGTATGTAAGTCGTCTAAATGCATTAATATCGTTGTTTGATAATTGGTACGTGAGTTTGCAAACACGGCAAAAAAAGTATGAGCTGGAAACACTTTACTTAACATAAACGACACTTATCATTGCTCGAGATGTTGATGTGTTGTTAGATGCGGCATTGCGCAAGTCTTTCATATAGCAAAGCAGTGTCACAGCCGTTGATTCGGCTATTCGTCGTGGTCGTGAACATGAGGCTTGTAGATGGGCTCAAACTGGACGAGGTGTTGCCATGCATTCATTTGTTATCCTGGATAACGAGCTTTGTCTTCCAATTGAACATCCACTCCGTTCACAATTGCTTGCTCTGTCGATTTAGTGACCTTGAGATTTTCAAAAACTTTGTTCTTTGTAAATGACACGTTCCAGTTGGCTCGCTAGCGAGCATCGCTATCACGAGATTGCAATTCGTGGTCTTGCACTGCATGTCGCTGCTGGTTCTAACTCTCACCTAGAGTTATGAGGCGATATGTCCTCAAGACTTCAGATAGGAGTTCTTGGTTTCGATCATAATCAAAAGGAATCTCTTTCGATGAAATGTCACGGACCTCAAGACAAGATTTTCGCAACGGCCGACAATGCTCTGAAGATGGCGACGAGATGGGGAGTGAACCAGTAATTTCGTTGCACAGATCATTATTGACAGTCAGACCTACGAGGCCTTTGCTTTCACGAATGGCATGGACAAAGCTGTAAATGTCGCTCTTCACGTCGACAGCCTCAAACATTGGTGCAGCCACCTGCCAATCATACTAGCAACGAAAACCAAAATCCAACAATATCGTCAGAACAGGGATCAAAGGTTTGATCTACGTGGTGCTTGGGATTACCTGCTCGTTTGCAAGAGTTGATGATGCGAAGACGACATGCTTTCGAAGGTTTGTGGTGATACTGGAGATACGATCTTCGGCTATCTGCTGCTTCATCCAACGATAACCATCAGAATATACTATGATCGGCAAAGTATTACGTCACAGAAACACAAACGTTACCTGATAGTCGGCGAGAACGGTTTGGATAACACGGTACATTTTGAGTCGATGCGTTTCTACGGCTTGCCAAGAATGCTGGCATTTCCTTCTGGCCTTCTCAGCAGCCTGCCATACAGCATCATTAGACACTCATACCTCATTGTCGAGCAACTTGCTTTCTTACCTCCATTAGCTTAACGGTGTTCTTAGCCACGTCTTTTTTGCGATAAGTTTTGGAAGATAACAACCAGCTGACAAGTTTGCTGTTATTGATCGTTGTCATGGCAATCATCCCGGTCTTTTTATCAAAGCAAGACACAGTAGCGTCCCAGCTGTGAGTTTCTGCTGGGCTTTCTTCAGCATCCATCTGCGAGAGGCGTCGATAATATTGGTCCTCAAGAAGTGTGCTAGAGAAACCAGAGGCTATTGCAGCTGAAAATGAAGCAGAAGCTAACCGAAATTTTTTGTCAAAAGCACTGTAGTCTTTCCTGTAAGCATCTTCTTGAATCTAGAGCAAACGATACAAGCTCTTATCATGACATCGTTCGACACGAAAGGTATTACAAACATACCTTGATATCTTTCTTTGCGCTGGAGATCTGACGAGTTAAACTTTTCGATTTCTCGTTGTTGAGCTCGTACAAAGTTTCGATCGGTTTCAAAACATCTTCCTCAAGATTTTTGGCTAGTTGTTCGTGCTGCACGCTCGTGTTCAAGTACTGCGCTCTAATACTCGCCATGGCGCTTTTCATCGTTCTATGCTCCATTTCATTACCATGCAAGCAGCAAGCCATCTTGCTCAGTTCTTGGGCGTACGTCCTTTCCAGTTTAATTCGGCTTTGGAGCATAACAACCAAATTGACGTGAGATGCAAGACCAGCTGCACAGTTGGCACTGACAGCGTCCAGATCGAAGAGCAAATGAGTTGCAAAGGAGACATTAGGACCAGAACAAGTGACGTTGTCATTAACATCAGCACCAGCTGCTTGAGTCTCTACTATTAAGCTCGTCATTGTAGCCCTCAACTAGAGACTCTTTGGGTTCAAAAAGACTGAAATCACTGATAATTCTCGTCTTAGAATCAAACAGAGCTGCGTGATGTCTTTTCTCCGATCGTGTGTGAGCTCTTGGCTTCTACAAAGAGTGAATGTATTAACGCTTGTACGACATTCATTCCATCAAGCAGTTGCCATTTACTCGCTCGTAGCTTTAGATGTACGGGACCATGAACACCACAGCGTCCTTTGTATTCGAGTCATAGACAATACACCATTAGCGTCTCATGAGTTCAAATTTAGTTATGCCACAGAAGCCTGCAATCATGGCAGATTAGTCTTTCTGGTAAACGTCATGATACACCACAGTCCATACAGAACATCTCATTCTTCTTCTCCAATTGTGTTGCTGAAAGCTTTACCGGAGAAGATTACCACAGCGCATTACACACGGGCTCTTGTTGTCTTGATGACCACTGAGCTGTACAAGAACATGCGGTGCTGATACAGAGCACACTTTCTCCACGTCGTTTGTCTTTACGAAAACAACGGCACGGTGATATACATATACAGACAACGTTGCCGTCACCTTCATGGTCATTTTAACTGCTCCAATAGTGCTAAAACCTGATTTGCCATGTGCACATAGCGTGTTTCTGGCAGATTGTGCAGCTCGTGAATCTTAGTGGCTTTCGCTATGCATTTTTGAGACATAAGCGAGCGCACCACGATTGACATAATTGATCCATTAATTCCAGGCATCGATCCAGGATCAAGCCCGACAAAGATTTCGAGATTTTTTGTGACGATTAGAAGTCCCCAATTATTGACAACCGTGACCTTATGGAATGAAAGAGCTGCAAAACGAATCAATTGCCGTCATGCACAATAAAGCGTGGGTGTAGAAACATGTGTCACGCCCAAAAAACACTCGAGTGCTAGCAGCACAAGACCGACACAACTCCGCTTGAAAGACAGCAAAGCAAGCTCAAGTCGTCTCGAGCTAAGTCCAAATTCTTGCAAAATCTTGAAGCTGTCATTGCAATCATGAACTGATGCTCAAAATGCTGTCACCCGCGGCACAGACAGAGAACATCATAAGAGTCTAAAGTGCCGACTGACTCATGCGCTCATCAGTCGTCGACAGCAAACAAAACTATCTTCTTTCAGCTCACGCACAGCCATGATCGTGTTGCAAGATGCGCCTCGAACGCTAAGCCTCCCACCTCACATCGTCACTAAAGACATCATCGTCACTAAGATACCTTTACAAGATACTATAATGACTCATTAAACGCATACGCAGTGTGGTTGTACTTGCCCATCCAAACTGCGTCGCATGATAGTCGGTGCCGTCTCCAAGATATGATCTTAGCTAGCATGATACCTTATACAAGGAGCACTTCTAGTCAACACAATCAAGATAGAAGAAGCTTCAGTGTATTCTACCTGACAACTTTTATCATCCAGTCATCATGGTAAGCATTCCAACTTCGACAATTCGACAGTCGATTACAGCCTCCGATTCTAGCACAATACCAGGCGCTAACGCTCCTTCAACCTCTCCTCCATCCTCAAAACTTCCCGGCCAAAACGAGGTCGATTTGCGTTTTGTCTGCAACCATCCCAACTCCTTCCACGCCGATGCTACCAGGCTGGAACAAAAATATTTGCGTTTCGCATCCTCACACTTGGTGAAAATAACCTCGTCTCTCATAAAAGATGATGGAATCGAGCAAACGCTACTACTGGAACTAGAGTCAATATTCTCAGCGTCATTGTAGCCGACACTTCCAACATGTACATTGTGTAACATGCTCTGATCCGATTCACTGGCGGAACGAAATATCCCTAAAATGCTGTAGGGATTGCCCTCAACACGGCGGACAAATTTTTCCAGTAACTCAACGAGCTCCGGAGTTCTTTCAGTCTTAATGTTCCGCAAAACAATTGTGTTTGACACTTCGCGGGCGTAGGCTATAAGTCGTGCTTTCAGCGGGTACACATTTATACCTACAGAGGTTGCCTCCATTATCCGCAAAATAAATTTTGACTCACCTGGTACTACGATGCCGATGTGATCATACTTCGAGCCTGTAAACTACAAGAAAACACGAAACAAAAACTCAGACAGATTGCTTTAGTAGCAATGCATGGTCGTACACACCTTGCGTTGTAATCGACTAGCTCCAAATCGACATGAGAACAGAATGATGTCACCGCAAGAAACAGTATCATGTAGTGATGTGACATGTATCACACTCTTTCCACTAAGGCCGAGTTCTGGATCGCTCGCGACAGACACAACGCCCAAAAATGACATTAGGAGCACATCGGTGCTGGCAATAGGATACAACAACAATTGCTTCAAGAAAGCTTCAAGCTGTTCCTTGCGATAGTTGATAAACTCGCCATTTACTGGAGTGAACACGTGCTTCGAAGGTAATCCAGGTAGCTTGGCATCACGATACTTGCGCCTCAGATGGCTCTGTAGGACATCAAAATCCTTATAGCGTCGCGTGATTTGCCACTTCGTGCCGTTGAAGATGATGTCAATTACGTAACAAGTGTACGGGCGCTGCGACAGATCGCTGATCTTCGTCTTCGTCCCAACGACTGCCAGATCAATTGTGGGTTGCGGCATTCTGTCCACTGGTGCCAGTATGAGATGTATGTCGCAAGTTTCGCAGTCAAGGATGTAGCGGCCAATAGATTGCTGTTCTTCACTGAGCCACTGATTTTCTGATTCAAGGTACAATACAAAACTGTCTGCTTCACACCATAATAGACTCTGCAGACGCCCGCGTTCAGATTTGGTAGACCGGTGTACCTCAGCTTGCATCTGCCTGATCGCATCCAGCTTTATCTGGTAAATGCTCACACTCTCTTGCGAGGCCGCACTAACCGAAACAATAGTTGACACGCTGCGGATGCGCGATGATCAAGAGGAATATGATATAAATGTCAGCATAACATGAGCTCACAAATAGAATTCCTTGTCTCGATCACAGTACCGACCTGTCTCTATGATCATCTGTCAAGGTGATGTTAAGAATCGCAAACGACAACGGACTCCACGCGCTCTCTGCCTGCTTTACACTCGACTACTAGCAACAGATACAAATATCCACCTCCTGTCAGCTCTGTGGTCTAACTTTACTATCACTTGTCCAAGTCACAGACCTGCACAGCCCTAGATAGGTCGGGTTGCGATAAGAACTGGACCGGCCGTCGCGTGCTTTCTTCCGACCAAGACGTAGATAAATTCGATAACCGGTGCTCCTCTTCCTCATCAGTGTCTTCTGACCCACTGGATGCAAACCTAAGGAATGCTAAGATAGAAACAATCGATTAGCTATCGCCTTCCGTACCATCTTCATTTCATATCAATCAAAAACTCAATCACAATCTTTTCTCTACCACTTTGATCACTCTTGGGCTCGTGCATTATACGCTTGTGCAGTAGCTCTGTAGCCAATAATAGACAGTGCACCCACTCGTCTCTTTGTTCCATTGTGGACGTAGCAAACTCAAGAGTCAATTGTTGCTTCGTTGATAGCGTGAATTGAAACTTTGGACGTCTCTTGGAAGTTAATTGACTATGATTGTAGCTAGCACGACGATGTATAACGCCCTCTCCTTTTTCGACGTGAATAATGTCTTGCACTAGACACAAATCCATCCAGAGATTCACAGAACCATGACGTTTGCGACGACGAATGTCAGATGTATCTGCATCCGGATCCACCACAAGTGCATGGCTGTACAACAGTAGCTTCACGCTCAACCAGCCGTCGTATTGGGCACTAAATTGCCACACCTCACCGCGGTGCAAACATTCTGGTAGCTCCATTACAAAATAAGTGACTTCAAGAAAAAAAAGATAAGAGCTATTTTTTTTGGGCAATATTTATTTTTGAAGGTTGTACCATTTATTTGTTTGTTTTTGACCTAAAACTCAACGACGTCGTGCATATTCCTTTCTGTAAAGAAAGCAGCACGTATGGCTGCAGGCTTAGCTTTCTTTTTCGAACCTGTAGCAAGGAATGACGTGATGGATTGGGTTCCTACTGAAGCATTGGCCTGACAACATATACAATAGGAAATTCAGTTGTATAAAACTCAACTTTTCTAGTCATTGCAATTGTCTCGTTACCTTATCAAACTCCTTCTCGTGGGGCCACTCAACCTTCACAGCTTTCTCAAAATATGGGTCAATAGTGCCCCAGCTGAAGCGGACTATGTTTGGAAATACAAACACATTGTCCATGTAATTCATCAGCCAGGTCTTCGTCCTACCACAAGACACGACCGTTAGCACATCTCATCCCTCTCTTTCGATCTATTTTATATGCAGCGTACTTGGGATCACTAGGATACCCGGAGCCAAAGTCCGTTGGAAGATCAAGAAACGATGACTCCCACTTCCAATCGCTAATAACACGGTCGCGCGTCACTTTTGCAGCAATACTCGCAGCACTCACCACCTTTCACAAATGAACATATGTCAATAATCTCTACTAATACAGTACAAAGAACGAAGCAATCAGTCTGGACCTTGAACAGACTGTCAGCCTTCTTTTCAACGCGAAACTCGATCGTTCCGTTATAGTGTTTGGTCAGAAAACTCTGATACCGGCGTGGGTCACCCACTGTATCCACAAACACCTTCTTTACCACTGCTCCTTTCTTCTGCACTTCATTGATCAATTGAATGGCTGCATCACGCGATATCTCGTTTAAATTTCGGGTCTGACGCTGCATCTTGTCCGAAATCTCTGCGGCCGAAATAAGTCGCACGATCCATCTGTCAAGGTAGTCAGTCAGCTACATGGAAAGCATACTACACCATAAAAATTGCCAGAGAAATGCAACACACCCAAGTCCATCAGTAGACCGCATCTTTTCAAACAATTGCGCTCTGCTCTCGGCGCTCAGCGCTTTCGAGTCGTCAAAGCCCAAGGAGCACATGGCGTCGTTATCTGCAATAGGCCAATAGGCAGCACCATAGACCATGGGACCCATCACAGGACCTCGACCAGCTTCATCAATGCCCAACATGACCGGGACCTCATTCAAACAACTGGCGGGGCAGTCACTGGCCAGCAGCACGCGCTGCAGATCGGTCGAGACATTTGCATTGTGTGGGCAGCAAGAAGTCAAAGATTAGTTGATTTTGCGTCTGATTTTGACCAGTTAAGCACAAGTTAATGGCAACGTTTACACCTGATTCAATCTGATCTGAATCAACTCCAGCAAATGCTGACTCCTCATAAAGAAGCAGAATGGCCTTTCCCAATGTGTTTTTCTGTGTGTGATTGTCACAAATAGTCAATTTACTGAGCGTTTGGTTGCTGTCGGTTGGAATTTCTGGTATGATCTGAGGAAGGACGTGTAGAATGGATGAGCGTGATGGCAAAGCTTAAAAGTTGTCGATGTCCTTTGATTGTGTCGCACCACGAGATAAATGGAAGATTGGCGAGCTGGTGAGAATAATTAATAGAATTTTAATCACAAGCGTAGCAGAAGTGCCATCGTTCCATGTTGCTTGCACTTGGATAGCGGTATGTCCAGCGTAAATAGACAGCCCAATAACTTGGTGGAAGATTTGCAGTGAAAAAAAAACGGGATTGGCGCCTGTAATCTGTACATGAAGACTTTACAACAGCGGGACGAAGCAGAGGAAACGGGAGTTGGAGAGTCACGTTGTTAACGTTATAAAATAGTCCGCCAGTGGGAAATATCAGCTGTTTTTTCATCTCGCTGGAATAGAGAAGACAAGGGTTGTGCTGACGGTCACTGCTACTTGTTATTATACGTTTTGTGATGCCCGTTACTCGAGACACGCCGACCGAACAAAATAATTTGCTGAAGAAGCTCATTGGGCTAGAAAGTATTTCGGCAAGGATAGCCGGTAGAAACAGCTGGTCACAACTGAAGTCTTGCATCCTGCTCAGCAGTGGGCAAATATTGCCAGCTAACTAGATTCAATAGTGGCAGAAGCGTGTATGAGATTACTACAGACAATGTAAGATATGCAATCCACTCATAATGCTGCTCCTATACAGTAAGAGGAGCACTCCAATTTTATTTAAGCGTTCGAGTGAATGCGCCGTTACGTTGAACTTTAACTATGGAGTTTGACCAATCATAAAAAGCACGGGTATTAAACTGCCAATCATATCTCATTACATAGCTCTAAATGCGGAATTCAGACAGAAAAAAGACAAAACAAAATAAATAAGTAATGATGATCCCGGGGGCTGTGCCTACAAAAGCCAGCGTGCTCCTCGAGCTCTATTGCAGTGATGTTGCAACACTGCATTTGTAAAATCTTCGAGCAGTAAGTAGCAAGGACAAGTGGCGCTCAGAACCAAGAGAATAATGCCCAACAGCAAAGTATCAAACTTGGCCATACGGCGCCGTATGCAGCCAATTTGCGCTGCACCCGATGAATTGATAGAGCAGCCCTCACAGCATGTGCCGCAGCTTATGGTACGCCCTACAAATCGAGGTGGTGAGACGCTACAGGTAGCCATGGGCGGTACCGCTATTGAGCGCTCGATGGTCAATGTTGGCTCCATTGCCGTGTACCTTGTCAAGCCTGTCATGTCCACCGACAATAAGCTCGGCAAAAAGACAACCATCTTTGCTGTGCACGTGCAGAACGCTATCACCGGTCGTAGCTGGGTCGTACACCGCCGTTACTCGGACTTCATGATGCTGCGCGGCCTCATCACCGAGCACTTCAAGCTCTTTGACGATGAGTTTCCGCGCATTTCGAGGCATGTAGACGAGCTCTACTTTCCCAAAAAGCACAAGTTTCGTCACAAGACGGGCAAGGTGGTCGAACATCGATGCGACGCGTTCCTCGAGTTTCTCATGGGTCTGCATCGACTTCTTCTTAGCCAGAACTACCTCGCGCGACGTGACGTCAGCCCCATTGGACTGTCCATTCTTCGTGGCTTCCTCGGTAGTGCGATCGTACAGGACCCAAGCCACAGAGCTTACACATTCCACAGAGCAATCCTTCCGATCGAGCTGAACCCGGCCGAGCGGACCCCAATCAACCAGTGCGGAACGTTGACCACCGTGATAGAAGACGATGCCGAGTATGAGGTGGAGATCGAAGACGTTGAACCAGAACCTGAGTCAGAGGCAGATATTCTCTCTCGCAACGGATCGTCGGAGGGCAGGGAAGACTCTTTGTCTGAGGATATGAGCGACGGTGAAAATACCGAGGAGGATCTTTTGTGTATGTCGGAGATTGTTGACCGAAGACGCTCATACAAATACGCCCGTAACCGTCGTGTGCTGCTCTTCTTGCGCAAAGACGGCGTGTCTACAGAAGTGGAAAGCCCAACTAACATCAAGCAGAAGGACGTTTCCCCCCTGCACACCTCGTCCCCATGACCGAATATATACTGAGAAGATGTACGTGCGGGCATCGGAAATGTTACGACCGTCCGAAATGTTAAGTGTCTCCGAGTCTTCGAAGCCAATCTGGGCGTGAGTGACAGAGATACATACGATATCAAGTTTACTGCCGACCTCCGTCGTCACTGCAGCTAGCACCTCAAAGAAAGCAATGGAACTGAACTGAGAGATGATTCAAAGTGACGGTGGAAACGCAAACGCAAAACCTAATGAATGACACGAACTGCGAGCGAAGACATCAGTCATGCAGGGGATTCTACAGCTCCGCGCAAGCTTCGACAAAACTGAAGTTACACGGACGTACAAGAAACTCGCTTAAGTATCCACAACGACATTGACTTGTTGTTTTCAAAAGTGTACAGAAACTATTTAATATCATAAGTTTTTAACAGTGTTATTTCTTATCCGCGATTTGTCTGCATTTACATCGCTCGATTTAATTTTTATTAACCAATCATTTTGTATAATCAAATTCAAAACGCGCCAGTCATCTTTTATCTTTGATTCCAATGGCCCTCGGCGTGAAGGAAAGCGTTAGTGGGAAGCTGTTCCAACTAAAGCGTGACGGATCAGAAGAGCGTGTATGTGGTGGCAAAGGTGCTATATATCTGAGTAATAACAAGGTTGCACTACGTTGCTGTGGTAAGACAAGTATTGTAGCTACACGTCAGACTAAACAGAGCGTCTTGCGCCATGGCGACGTGCTGCTCTTGGGACTGCGTGACGCTTTTTATGCCAATGGAACGCTTACTAAGTATGAAGTGGTTAATATGGATGTGGTACCATCGAAAGTGGCACTTCATGTGTTACCCACACGCGTCCCGAGCATCACTATGAGCTCGTCTACCTCTAGTTGCCATAAAAACACGAGAGTTTCTGCTGCTTCAAGCACGCGACTTGTGTCTTCATGCTTTTCTCGACAAAATACTGCTCTGGATACTGAGAAATACGAGAAAAAAATGGTACAAGTTGTAGAAACTGAAGACGCTACAGCATCCAGTACACCAGAAGACGCTGAAGAGGAAGAAGAGGAAGAGCAGCTGACTCCAGTCAAGAGGCGGCGAGGTAAACGAACACGAGCAATTGTGGAGTCGGACGACGAAGCAGGTACAAAAGAGGTGGACAAGATGCAGTATTTGACGGTAGACTCGGACATGTCGTCGTCACCTGGAGAAGACGACGTCTTTGAGAAAGAGCTAGAGAGCTCGACATCTGCTGCTCAAGACTGGATGGCGGCGTTTGGACGCAACTCAGTCAAGAAACACAAGTCAAACAAGGTTTGGGTGGGCTCGGATGGATGGCGCAGTCGCTCAGGTGAATGTAAAAGCAAGAAAGAATCTAGCTCAGCAATGAAGTTTACGAACGAAATCAGGAGCGAATGCGACGACTCCGACGAAGACGAACACTACTCTCGATCTCATGATGAAGTCGGTCGATTACTGGCAGAGTGTGAAGGGATTGCCAGAAAACTACGTCAGTCGGTGCGGAATTGGTCGGGTAATGCGACCAAATCGACAGCATTGAGCCCCCCGACATCGTCTGTGGATGCTACAGATGAAGATGGGGTGGTACACATGTCGCTGGCATCGATCAATGGTGGAGATCGACGAGTAATTACACAGGCCGATATTCCGGATATTTGTGAGACTCTCGAGCTGAAGCCGTACCAAGTAGTTGGAGTTAATTGGTTGCTGTTGCTTCATGAAAATAATGTGTCGGGCGTGCTGGCGGATGAAATGGGCCTTGGCAAAACCGTGCAAACAATCGCGTTTTTGCTGCTGCTTAAATCGCTAGAACAGTTAAACGACCGGGCTGTTGGACCTCATCTAATCGTTGTACCAGCAAGTGTGCTGAGTAATTGGACGCGAGAGCTTGCGTGGATTGCACCAAAGTTACGCATTGCCACGTATCATGGATCGAAGGACCATCGTCGTGAACTGGAGGACGCTCTTGACAGCAACGATTTTGAAATCATGCTCACGACGTACGCTTACTTTGAGCGTGATACGTGCCAAGAGGAGCGCGCGTTTTTGCGTAGCTTTCAGTTTGGCTATATGATTTTGGATGAAGGCCACAGTATCAAGAACTCAAACACATCGCGGTTTAAGCGAATTACAGCACTGCGCGCACGATCCCGCTTAGTCCTGAGCGGCACTCCAATCCAGAATAAGCTTAATGAACTGCTGACATTGCTGAGTTTTCTCATGCCACGCATGTTTGATCATGGCTCCGATGAGCTGTTGAGCTTTTTCGATGGCAGCGAAGAGAAGAAATGCGAGAAAGTGCGTAAAATCTTGGCGCCATTCATTCTTCGGCGAGAAAAGAAATACGTGCTAAGTCAGTTAGTACCTAAGATTGTCTCGGTCGAGCTTGTCAAGGCGGGCGAGGATCAGTATAATGCATACACTAGCTTGCTTGAAAGCGTCATCGAGCGACGAGAGGCACACGCGGCTCTGAAAGCTGCTGCAAAAGAACACAAGAAAAACAAGAGCAAGGAGCACAAAGCTAATCGTAAGTTGCGAGACTTGATAGGCTCGTATGCCTCGCCACCTGGAGGTGAACCTAGCGCGATATCCATCTTTACGCAATTGCGCAAGGCTGCAAACCACCCAGTTTTGCTGCGCAGACATTTTGATTCTGATGAAGTGTTGAAGACTATGAGCAGATGTCTGCATCGCGCTGGAGCCTTTGGTAATCAGTGCTCTATGAGCAGAGTCCGCCAGGAACTTGAGTCTTACAGTGACTTTGAACTGCACGATCTTTGTGTGCAGTACGAAGCGATCGATGAGTTACGGCAGTTACAATTGCCTATGGAAACATTGCTGTCATCTGCCAAGTTTGCTTTCTTGCAAAAGTTACTCCCCAAACTTCGAAAAGAAGGCCATCGCGTTTTGATTTTCTCGCAGTGGACGAAATTGTTGGATTTGCTTGAGGTACTCATGGGCCACATGGGATATCGTTACCTGCGTCTTGATGGCTCCACCGATGTCCAAGAACGACAGGGACTCATCGATACGTACACCGAAGAAAAAGATATCTTCGTTTTTCTGCTGTCCACGCGCGCGGGTGGGCTGGGTATTAACCTTACTGCTGCAGATACTGTGATTCTGCACGACCTTGACTTCAACCCAACCGCTGACGAACAAGCATGTGACCGTTGTCACCGAATCGGCCAAACTAAGCCTGTGTCTATCTACAAGCTTGTGTCGGAAAACACAGTTGATCACGATATTTACAAACTCGGCGAGTCCAAAACGGAGCTCAACCACAAGATTTTGGACAAGCTCAATGCACATGGCGATGGCAGAAAGAAGAAGTCGGATGCAGTAACCGTCGAAATGATGCTGGCATCCGTCATTTCGAATTATAAAAAGTGCTCAGATGGATAAATGCTGAAAAGCAGTGAAAAGGATGAGTTATTGCTTAGAAAATGAAAGGAATAAATAGAGTGGTGCTGTCGTTGATATGTGAGTAGATGTATGTTGTATATTTTGTGCTTGAGGAGCATACCAATAGTTGTCTGCGGAGCATCAAAGAAACTTTCAAACACTGCAATTTCATGATCAAATATCCATACGAGAAAATTAGCATACTCATTATTTTGTGAGAAGCGATTGACACAGCTCATGATGATGGCAAAGAGATGATATGCAAAGAAAGTAAAAGTGATCATGTCGTGTAGCCTTACACTGATGAACAAAGTTAAGCCCGTTGAGGGATAGTCTTCCGCACAATAACAAAACGCCGCCTAGAATGTATCACGATTGCAGTCGAAACTGCTTGCCCACTCAATTCTAAATGTCCTGCTATGGGATCTACAACACACACTCGAACCATTTCACGGGCTTTTTTGCGGAACTAAAAAGCCCGTCACCATAATAAAACGTCGCGTCGGCATGGTTGAGACGTGCCACGTAGAATCGGTGGGTGTAATGATCGTGGAACTGTTCCCGTGGGAGGCCACCAGCACAGCTCTCAAACTCGACCAAGCCATCGTTTTCGTTCGACTTGTGAGGAAGTGTAGCACCAAGCAGCGCATACAAGAACTGGTAGCGTGAAAATAAACCAACGTACCAGTTGCTGCAAAGTGCTGCATGAACATGAGTCCGGTAGACTTTCCGCGCTGCTTTGTAAGCATCGTTCAGCTCCGGCCAACTCATCTTACCGCCTTCATATACAAGCGACTTTGTACCACCCAGTACGGGGCATACACCAGTTACATTGCCAATTTTCTCCATGACAAATTTATGCTTACCAGCACAAGCCTCCTCAGCATAGTCAGAGCCCATGCTTCCTGACATTGGGGCACTCGTCGCAATCCACGAACTGCTTTCTGCGAATGTGCACTTTCCGCTAGCGATTGCACTTGCCAGCACGAGTCCGCCCATGGAATGCGTGACGACAATCGTGTCTGCAATTTCGTTTGGTGAACCAAATCCAGATAACGAGGTGGCAAGGTCGCACATAATTTGCTGTTGAGTTTGGTTGTTCCAACCAGTCTGTATGGAATTCCAAATCATGTACTTGAAATCCGTGCAGCATGGTGCATGGTCTGTGAGATTGCCCCAGTAAAACGAGAATGAGTCTTGGAGTTCTGCTTTTGCAAAGTCAATTCCTAAGCCATGAATGAAAAGACACGGACGCGGCGTCGACATGCAAGAGCACTTGGTCGAGCTCATATAAACAGTGGAGCCAAAGTTGTAACTTTCTGACCTTTCCGAAAGCTCCTTGCCAGTAAGTAAAGCAACTGTTGTCGCAGTCACTACAGTAGCATTGACAACGGTCTTGCACTCACTTGCTGCGCTTGCAGTTAGTTTTGGCGCTACTATTTGTACAGGAATCTTCAAATACTTCACTTCAAACTCCATATCGCTCCCGTATACGTGAAAACCGGAAGTATCGGACACACAAATTACAAAGCTGAGTCCTTGCAACATGACTTTGAAAAAGTGTCCCGTTGTGCATTTGATCTCAATACCTTCTAAGTTGGCACTTGCAATCGGAGTCGCGGCATTAAGTGCAGGAAGCATCTCGTTTAATGGTGGCAGCATGTTTATTGGTAAACACTGCGACATGGTTGATAAGAGTTGAGTCTGGTTGGGCTCTAGATTAATGGTAGAGTAAGCAATACCATTGACCAGAGAATACTTGGCAAGTGTATTCCTGTTGCTAAAATCAACATAGCCGTCGTATAGTACACTGGCACTACCATCATTGTCTGACTCATCCAATACAACTGGGTTGAGATATACATCAAATTCAGTGTGACCGTAAACATGCATTGAGTCACGTTTCAGAGTAAAGTGAACCTTTAAGGATGGCCAATCCGTCTCACTGGTACGTAGATTAAAATCAAACGTCTTGTTATCCGTCGAGACTCTTGATACTGACATTGCAAAGAAGACAATAAAAAAGAGACTGAACCTTATGGTGTCATGAAGTGGAGATCGTAGCCACATTCAAGTTCGTCCTGAGAAGAAACACTTGGCAAAATATCAAATGAATGAGTCTAACAAACGTATGCAGTGTGCTAGAAGTAACAAGTATCAATGACTAGGTGAAATGTATATCGTTATGATCTGATCCATTTTTCACATATCCAGATGCTAATCAACACCTTTAAGTTCATTTTTACAATGATGAACTTCTATTACTGCGTGTCTTTCACGCGGAATTTGACATCACAATACCTTTCTCTTCCTATTTGCTTGACTAGGGTGTTTTATATCAATGCATTTTTCAGCAATGACAATATCCATATTATCAAGTTGAAAGTCCATGTTGGATATATTGGCACGTGGTTGTCATTGTTTCATTGACTTCTTCTTGTCCGTTCAGTGCATAGAGAAACCAGTATTAAATACTTTGTCAGCCATCAACACGCTACGTTAGCGTTAAAGACGATAACTCTAGCTGTAATCGCTAATGATACATACGGACCGAACAATGGTGCGCCATAAAAAAGAGTCGTTGCAAGAGTGTAGGCAGACTGCTACTGTGACAAGGCTAAGATAATTATACTAAACGAGCTAGATACTGGACGAATAGCGTTTACTCTTAAAGCCTTTTAAAACACCGGTTTTTCGTCAACGAGTAACATTGATATGGGTACAACTTTGCTGATTAATACTAAGGATCGGATGAGTGTTTACAAAGAGACAGCATTACGTGTTTACATGAACATGTTAATGAGGTGCTAGCTAACTATTCCAGAAACATCCAGTTTCTGGTGCAGCGAAGAAAAAAAGTTCCAATTTTTTCTCAGATCACATGTGCATCAAGCACATCATCATGAATCAAAGGTCCAATTTTTTTTCTCAGATCACATGATGCATCAAGCACATCATTGAAAAAGCATGTGGTATCTGTTGTTGGTTGTAGACTTGTAATACTGATCGTAGTATGAAGAAAAATACACCGCTCGATAAACTTGTTTAGATTGTGCTTGAAAAAAAGGTGATTGTCATTGAGATGAACTTGGATGTCATTTTGTAATTGGACCAGTCTTGATCACGCTTGACTATTGCCTTGTCAGAAACAATGTGGTTTCAATTGGCTTCAATAGCATTTTTTGTCTTGTTGACTCTCACGACGGCTGCAGAGAACGCATTGGAAGAAGAAACCGTTCAAGAACGGAGACTTAGAGCAAATGCAAAGATGTGGTCATTTGGTAATGATAAGGATGATGATAGCAGCAATCCCCGCCCATGTCTTTTTATTCATGGAGAGAATCATGAAAACGAGGAGAAGGAACTGCAAGATTCGTCCGATAAATTTGGTGATATGAGTAAGAACGCCCCGTTCTGTTCATCAATCAAATATGCTTCACTGGATACGCTCAATGTTGGTTGGACAGACCACAAGCTGCAAAAAGAAGGTCTGCGGTCACGCTCTTTCGATGAGTGAAGACAGTGACGAGAAGCAGAAGATCATTAAGAATACAATTCTTGTGACCCATTCAATGGGTGCTTTGATTCTAGCAGGTGCAATTGCCAATAAACACTGCAGCATTGACAGCAGTACGTCGTGGGTCAGCATGAGTGCACCAATGAAAGGCTCCATGGTATCAAATTATGTGCAAGATGTTTGCACGGATGACGATACCCAGGTTTTCCATCAGATTTTGACGCTTGTAGGCCAGTGCCCTGTTCAAGCTGGAATGGAGTCTCTTGCGTATATGGACGGTAAATACAGTACTAAGGAGCTTAATAAAGCATACGTGGCTGCCGAGAAAGTCTACACTGCCCAGGTATCGGCTGCTATGTGCAGTAACGGTAATATTGGTATCTTTTCGACGTACCAAGCCAAGTACCTGCTTCTAGGCGCCAAGGTGGATCATGGTTCGGGCGAAAATGATGGTTTTACGACATACAAGAGTTGCCGTGGTGGCATTGACAAGGCTAAGTTTGGCGATGACCCATCGGATCGATTTTACGTGACCCATTGTAACCACGCCGATACTGCATTCCTTAACGGTGACAGCCACTTCAAGGACAGCATGAAACCGGTAAAATGGTTCAAAGGTCTTTTCTAAGTGACTTTGGAAAGAGAAAGAAAGATTGGTAGCATTTGGTGTAAGTAACCACGATGTGAAGACAAACAAACTTGCAATTCAATGACAACCACTACGTGTGTACTTCATTTTGTTTATGTTGAGGCCAAAAAGAAGAAGCAAATTGAAAGCACGCGCATTAAGTTTATCTGCATCTGTACTTGTCATCAACCTTCTTTCAGACAATTTGCACAATGACATAATACATTCATGTACGGTGCTGTGACTCAATATCCGATCAACATCGCCTAAATGTTTGGATCAGGTACAAGAAGACAATGAAAAATAATGACAACCACGTGCCAATATATCCAACATGGACTTACAATTTGATTGTGCGGACATTAAAGAGAGGCAGACACGTCTATGGTAAGTTGTTAACGTTTGCAAGATGTCTGGTATATTCTAAGTCTGGTTAGCAACGCCGGTTCCTCGGTCGAGTCTGGTGGTTGTACGGGGCTAGTCACCTGCGGTGAAGGCTCTCGAGGTTGCTGCGCTGTGATGCGCTGGCATAGTAGCAGACGTGTACCGTTGATAGACGTTTCTACCCGTCAGCTCTAGAGGTTGCCTATTGCACGCAGTTGTCGCATGCCGATTTCCAGAGCTCCTGAAAACGCTGCCTCCAATGGTCAGTGTTGCCTGTTGGAACGTTGCCCGGTTTCGTTGTATCCATAAGCGAGCAATGTAGATGCTGCTCAGAATGATCATAGGCGCCGCTACACGTCGACGCACGCGCCCGTCTCGTCGGGGTAAGCACAGTTGATCTGTTCACGTACTACCGTGGATAGCTCTGGTGCTCATCGGCTTGCACGATTGGCTAGGAAGCCTTGAAGACGTCCCAGCTCCTATCGTTCCCTAGTCCATTGACAGATGAGCTTTTGCCAGCATGCTTGCGCGCACGGACACGTCCAAAGTATATGTTCCAGCGATCTCCTTTATTCCATGACAGCATTGTAAATTACGACAACTGTTGTCGCTTACCCTTTCAGCATGGTAGGGACTCAATTGCCGGACGGCCACTCAGTACACGACCCAGATTTGGTACTCCGTGAGCGCGGCCATGGTCCCATACTGCTCGTGGTGTCTGCCGCAAAGCTGCAGACTGCCATGTACTCTCTTGGGACGAGACTTGGAGCCGTAGCAGAGTAGGTTGCAGTGAATATTCGAAGCCTTTGCACCGCCAAAACCCTTGTTTCTTTAGTGCCAATAGCACATGTCTGTTTGCAACGGAATCAGGCACGCTCCATAGAAACACATAACGGAGCGGATGCGCGTAGAAGACGATGCCTCCTGCGTCTTGGGCTCTTCGTAGCTTCTGGTAGTCGGCTGCCGTTAACCAATCCTCAATGTTGGTTGCGGCAATTTTCCAAGGATTCCATTGCTCTGTTGTTCCAGTTCTACCACACCCCGCTAACCTGGGTCAAAGGCTGTCAGAACTTCTCGGATGTGGCCCATCGTGACATACACCCACGCATACGCATGAGTGAGACGCGTCAGGTGACGTTGTGCGAGTTCCTTCCGGACTTAAGCGGTTAAACGATGTCCAACCTCGGAGCACTGAGCAAAATCGCGATGCCCCATCGTCGCAGCTTGGCTTGTTGTTGAGTCAGCGCCTCTACCGTAGGAAGGAAAATGACGAACGAATAAGATCGGACCCCAACCCGTTGCACTTGTAGCTCCGCGATGGCGCAGGACCGTATATTTTGTCGTACTTCCTTGCTGATAAAACGTTACCCTGCTGGTCAGATATCCAAAAGATTGTCTGCTCACGAGTAGTAGACCAGAAAGCCTCGTCTCCTGGTGTCATTGCCGGTGGCAAGTGCATGAGCGAACTAAAGAGCTCCACTACCTATTCCTCCGGCGTCGTCCAGCTGATCGCCTCCGAGACCAGGCGATAGAGCTCTTGCAGGTACTGCTGCTGCCCTCCTTCCTGATACGATTTTTGAGGGTAGCAAGGGACCGATTAATTGCTGGAGTCTGCCGTTGGGGATCTTGGGCCGTCTCGTTGTTCACGACATGGCGGCACGCCTGCTGTCCAATCCTATGTCGCATCACAAAAGTTTCAAGCCTACTATACACCAAAATAAATGTCTTTCCGTTGGGTAAGCCAGAGTATGGCACGTTTTACCCGCTGCGTCTTGCTCATGTAGGCGTGTACAGAAAGAAGCGTTGGGTTGATCTTTTGTGTAACGAGGTTACACAAAGGTGTGTATTTTACATACACACCTGCCACACCACATTGGTGTGACTGTACCTTGGGTATATTAGTAGGTTCGACGTGACCGTACTTAAGGTACGAGGGTCGCATCGTGGCTGAGGCACATGGTCACTATACTTAGTTAAGTATAGTGACTATACATGATTGCATATTAATAGGCTACAGAGCCAGTAAATAATGCAAATAATAGAGCACGACGCAATATACTCTGGGTTGTAGTCCCCTTCATATATCGCATACTAGCCCCAGATCAAGTCCGGTTCTACCCGAATTTGAATCTTTCCACCGGTTACCCAGTGCAAAACGTATCACAGAAGGCATTATCTAGCGATATATAGATCGAAATCCATACAAAAACTAAACCACCAAACGCAGTACTCCTTTACACCGGTTCCGATAGAGCGTTGTTGTTGCACATCGCAGCGTCAGCAGTATCTCATCGCAGTCAAAAACATATACATGGGTAACTAAGCCACATACACACTTTCGTCCGCAATTCCTTACCGCATTAGCACAAAGTACACAGCGCAACGCCTAAAATGTATCAAATAAAACTGAATTCGAATGCATAGCATATGAATACAACCTCATTATCTTTTCGTACGCTGCCCAACTCTAGAACGAGTCCCAAAGCATTAGTAACATACTTTTGTTTGTAATCTACACATATTCTAGAAATAACACAAATTAGGTGCGTATCGTCCACCAGCAAAATGCGATGGGTGGCCGGTATATGAACCAATTTATCGATCTCGCCCTCCATTTGCGCCGTGGGATTGGTGATGTGATGCTGTACTCCCAAAATTGGTGTCCATTCTGAAGCGAATTTGTCTGCCAGTGACAACTTTCCGCTTAATCTGGCAGCGTTGACGGATGGCTGTAATGGACTGATCTCTTTCCTAATTGGATACTCGCTTGAATTATCACCGAAGCTGTTCCCGAGTCCGCCCGAGCCGTTGCCCTAGCTGAAAGAGGTGCTCCTTGCGATCCTCCTCCACCGTAACTTCTTACAGCTCCTTTCTCGTCATTATGTGCGCTCTGGTCTGCCTTCTGATTTTGCGAGCAATGGCGTAACTCCTGCGCGTCTCGCGTTTCTTCACCTTCTCAATGCATGCTACACACCGCTGGACAGATTGGTCCCATGTTGTTGCGCGCACCGACTGGCCGACTCCCGTTGCTACAAGCTCGTCCAGCAACTCCGCTATGACTCGCGTAGGCCGCGTAGTCTAGATGGGATAAGTTACAGGGCGCTTACCTCCCCGAACCCGTTAAAGTGGAACGGTGTTCCGAAGGTGCATCCACACCCGCTGGTGGTCGGATGTTAGGGGCGGCTCTTCCACTGACACCTACTGCACTGCTGACGTCCAGGCTTGTGGCACGTCGAATCTGTCGATGCGGCTGGCCGCACCGGGTCTTCATTGCGTAAACAATTCTGTCAATTCTAACCGCGGTTAGCCCGGTGGACCGCGGTTAACTCCTTTGCATGGTGGCCAACTAGCGGGCTTTGACCGTGAATTCTTCCCATCCACCTTTGGCGCCCTTTCTCTCTGTCCCTTACCCAGCGATCGCTCCTCCTCGGCATACCCCTTTCTCTTTGGCTCTCTGGCTTCCCAGTTCTTTAAACGCCTCACTACAAGTTCGCTCAATGATTCTCGTAATTGCCTCCGTACATTCGCAGCCAGTGTTGTGAGGTAACTAGCAGGGATCCATCGAGGGCTTTTGTCGTTTGATAGGTAGTGTGGCAAAGGTTGATCAGAGTCGAGGTCGTGAATACGCGCCATATACAGCTGTACGAGAACCTCGACTCAAACAGAACGCTCTGCTTGACATGTTAGCTTGATCTCACCAAATTGGCTCAGCACAGGCAACACATGGATCAAATCGTCATAGTGATTAGCCAACGGGAACTCTGGTGGCGGATGGTTGGCACGAAGTGCTTTACGAGCTCGCTCTTTACACCGCGTAGTTATTGCAGACCATTTATCAAGAAGTCTCTTCAATGAACGCGTCACGCTCAGAAACGTGACGTAGAATATCCAACAAGTCGAGTCACCCTTAGTCTTAGACTTAGAGAGCTCTGCAATAAAGTTTCCGGTGACAGACACCACCTTGACCTGAAAGATTGCGCTAATCGTCCGTGATATTAATTCCGCCATCTCCAGGCTGGCTGCAGCAATAATAGCTCCATTTACACCACATGATGACTTTGTAGCTGCGTGAGCCATGTGTGGAAAGCACCACACCCAGTGCAGATTAAGTTCTGCACAGCATCGGTTTCATGTCACCTCATGAGTCGCTCGTAGCCCGATGAAAAAATTCTGTCGTCGCTAAGCTGAAGTCCTCAAGCATATGCTTCGACGATCCTTTGAAGGGCTTTCAAATACCGCCACCACGATCTTCATATGCGGGGTTAAACTTTCTCGTATGTGAACGCGCTACGCGAGCCGTCTTGCTACCAAAGTGGCTCAACTTCCGCATGCGTCAGGTTATCTCTCCTTCTCTACATTTCTCTCTACTCTCGACAGGGTTCATTAAGCGGCGCGCTCTTTTAGCGGCGCGCTGAAAGCCGCCCAGACTTCACGATTCTGTGTACATTTGCGAAGGAAGTACAGGTCTGGTCCAGTCGACGGCGGTGTCCAGCGTGGTTTATTGCTTGATCCCTTGGATGTCGATATTGTCAACATGGCCCAGGGGGTCCTTATTGCATGCATTGTGAACAAATAATGACGCGAGCGTACCTAAGCGTAGATGCCAAGACTTTGGGGCTTCCGGCGTGGCGGCGAACATCGTGGGCGGCGTACATCGTGGCGGCGAACATCGTGGCGGCGAACATCGTGGCGGCTTGGATGGCGGCTGGGGGGAGAGCGACAAGAGAGAGGTGTGTAGAGGGAGAGGAAACCCGTCCAAATTGACGGATGCCGCGAAGCATCAGTTGGAGGCCTAGGCTAGCATCAGCTAGCCCAAGCCTTCCGGGAGGGCGTTACCCCAACCCAACCAGGAAAACTTCCTTGTAACCATGAAGTTAAATTGTACTGCCAGACTTTGTCCACGAGGTAAGCGCGCGACCCAAGAAACTTGTCTTGCGTTGTTTTTACAAGATCAAAAACCTGCCACGAGCGTAAAGTTTAGGTAGTCCTCAAGGTTCTCCTGAAGGGAGTAAGTGACCTCCTTCCGTGTTGAAGAAAAAAGATCCACGATGGATTTCTTCACCTGTTTCGTAGTTATCTTGGCCTTCATCTCGTCTTTATTGAGTAACGCTTGAATAAGTCTTGCGTTTTGTCATCAACGAAACGAAACGCCCAGTTATAGTTTATGACCATGATAGTGGTCACCAGCACATTTAGCCGGGTTGGGTTGTTCGAGCACAGGATGGATGATGACAGATGGCTGTAATCATTATCATTTTTGCGCTTCTTGATGGTCACTGCCTCCGTTTTTGGTGAGCCAACGTTGTGCATCTTCTGGAGTGCTTCACAGCCATGGTCATTTTGACAGCATAGGTTTTCCCTGACTTCCGAGACGCATCGTCAGCCAAAAAAGCTCACGCAAAGATCTCCTCCGGGTTTTCGATGTAATTGACACAAACACCCCACTTGATTATATACGAAGTTTTCTTTGGTCAGTATGGCACTATCTCGAAGGGTCCAAGGGCCTGGAACTCTTTCGTTGCTTGGCGGACCGCAGAAGGTGTTATGGCATGACTTCAGACGCTTCTCTCTGACCTTTCTACTGATGTCTTTGTGAGTAGCCGTGTGTTGGAAAATGATGTGGTATCTGCAGTGGTCACGAGCCTGTAGGATGTACTTCGGGCGAGTCGAAAGCTCACCACAGCGAGCGCAGGCCGTTTCATGGGCCGGGGATATCTTCGCGAGTGAGTTCGATAAATTTCAGTGCGGCTATGGGAAATCGTACGATTTTCAGCCAATCCAATGCGTAGGATACGAACATTCCAGATTTGCTGAAATACTAAAGGTGCGAGAACGAAATATCGGGAAGGGAGCTCTCAAAATGTTCGTTCGTTTTGCACTTAAGCAAGTAGAGCACAAAAACCAGGGTTTTTCAAGCTCTCTGTTGTTCATGGAAGCGTTTTTTTACTCATTTGTATGTTATATCCGCATGTTAGTCCAAGGCTTGCATGACTTACAATCTTCTCTCAGTGGCTCACGTGCCATTGCAGATGCATCAAAAAGCCATGCTCGTGAAGCCCAGGACTTGGTCAACGGTATTACTCGTGGTACTCAGTGATCCACTATTACTCCCTCAGAGAGTACGTCTTATCATCGGGGTCTGGCACTCGGTGCCTCGGATCTTGGCCGGCAATGTCGTTCATGACATCCAGTTCTGTCACAGGCATTATTACTCAGTGGATTACGTGCCGCTCCAGGCGCATCAGCGAGTTATAACTCTTGATGCCTCGACTCTTGGCCGCCGACGTCGTTTGTGACATCCAGAAAAAAGGTGAAGCAACGAGATTCGATCAGCGGAGAACGTGCCACCCCACTTAGCGTCAAAGAACATAGCAGGTAATCCTATTCGTATCATCTCCAGACCGCATTAGATCTGGCATTTCGAAATCCATCACGTTGACCGGGCCGGTCTGGTGCTCGCACTGATTGAGCTTTTGCTTCTTAGCAGAGGTGTATTCATGACTCATTAAATCTCCGCTGGGAATCAAGCGCAAGCGCCCAAGGTCTTAGACCTCCAGTTAATCCATGGCTCGTGGCGTTTGAGCCAGGTCATGCCTAGAATGAGTTCAGATCTAGCATCCAGGTAAATTACCAGACATCTACTACGCTATCAAAGTCCAAATACTTCACCATAGGTTCACAGGAACCTTGGACCCACTACCATCGCTAGACGCACAGTGATAGTGTCAATCATCTGTGCTATCAGCGCCTCAGTATATTGCTGACTTTCTTCTAAGGAAAACCATTGTGCATAATGTTCGACGCTCCGTAATTGATTAAAATCATCCACTGTTCATCAAAACCTTTTGCTGTGGCTTTGACACCTAGTTTTCACACGCGTTCCGTGTTATAGAGAACAGCAATATTCAGGACTTAGATTTGCCTACCACTACCTCCTAGAGGCTCTAAGGAACTCAGTACTACCCCAGTAGGGCGCGGGGAGCCCTACTGGAAGTTCCGTTTCCCGCGCCATACCAGACTGTTGGTAAACAGTGAGATTCGGCTCGAAGGTGCATGGCTTTGTTTGCGCAGTATGCACCTTGCCGTAAAATTCATAGTATTTTTACACGTAAAGAATCGGCAGATGCCTCGATAGTGTTCAGCAGCATGAAGCTCCTCTTCATCAATTATAGGATAGCTGAGGTCCGTTAGATGAACCCTAATAAGCTTGAAGAGCTAGGTCTGTTCCTATTTCATCCAAGTCTAGCCGACATAATGCAAAATCCAGCGTTCAATGCCACGCCCAAACTTTCTCAAAAGTAGAGTGTAGACACGGAAGACTCCCGTTCTGGCAACACCAGCCCAAAGACCATCCATAACAATGGTCACTCGGATCACCTCGGAAAAAATCGCCGTTTATAGCGGCAAGAAGAGTTCTCAGTTCTTTGACGACATCTTTTAAGCTCCCTTTCCCCCTGACGGGTATCTAAGAAGCATGAACTTACGCGATATGACTGATTAGGTGGCGCGAAAACGCTCGGCATATCTCGTTAAAGCAAATTTTAGGCTGAGAAAGCAGTATACACGTATGTAGTATCCATTTTTTAGCTCTTTTACCGAGACATAAGATATCCAGCCCTAGTCCCTATTGCTCTGAGTGAAACACAGCCGAATCCATAGCCATCTTTACCTCCCTGTTCCAGATAAGGAGGATCTCTTCTTTCTTTACATCAACGGTTTGTACCCTTACTATGAGCGGTCTTGCTCTAAGACACCCTCATGTATTGGTACACGTACCACGGGCCAACCCGGGACCATATTCTCCTGGACATTATTCAGGATCCAAATCTTTAATTGCAGAATGCATCGAAGCATGTGATAGCCGCATCCAACCATTGGTTTGGAATGGCCTTCAAATTCTAGAAGCTAAAAAAGGAGGCCAGCTTGGTATGCTTTCGCTGTTGGTCCCCAGAGCGATAGGCAAAATTCTTCATCCTCACCGAGGAACAGTCAAACAATTTGATCGTTGAAGTAGTTACAAGTGTTTCAAGTCCAGAAGGGAGAAATTTGGCTAGCCTCAGAGGAAGCCTTAGGCTAGGACTATTTTTTAGTTCGTTCGAAGTAACGATTATATACTATTATCAAACGGTCAAAGACACAAGAGATATGTGCCTTATCAAGGCTTGAGTTTATTCAATTAAAATGCAAACCAAACTTTATTATTGCTTGCGTTCATCACTAGTTGGACAACATGCGAGCTTAATTGTACCCTGATAAAGCTAGGTATACATGTAACGAGTGGCGGTAATGCCACCCCTCCCATATGGTGTGTGAATCGTGTACTTTTTAGTCATGTGTGCTTACACACCATGACGTATCGTGTAACCTTGTTGCAAGAATAGGAAGTTGGTCTTGCGTGCGCGCTGCATACAAAACAAGCCATTAGAAGTTCAGTACCGGAAAAGAAGCCTAATGGGAAAGCAGAGCAAGTTACCTCCTTCTTGACTTGATACTTCCTACTTTAAAAATCCATTCCTTTTTCCTGATTTCAGTGACCACACCTGTTAAAATATAGGTTGTGAAACTAATGAAAAAGACAAGACAGCTTCGATTAAGCTCCAGGAGCAGAAGCATGGGCCTTCGGTCGCAAAAGAATCGATGAGCAAGACGAAGTCACCGAGGAGGTGACGAATATTGTAACGGGTAAAGAATCCGTTATGTAGCTTACACTAAATGACTGACGAGTTAATCAAACGCGTGTTTAATTAAGATCCAATTCAACTCTGTTCTACAAAAAAATTATTTAAAGTACGAGTGATCTCCAAACGTCGTGAGGGCCACTTAATATAAAGGTGGCATCTTATTGGCTGATAAAAGGCCTGATTCCCACTATCAACAAAAATCAGGGGGAAAGCCGATCCAGCGAACGCGCTAATGCCGCGTTATCGAAATGTGGTCGTGTAGGGCATGAGCGGTGCCTCGACCGATCTGTCGCGGGTCCCTATGTTCCAGATTACGCTCAACCAGCCAACGCCGATTCCCGGCGCTATCAACCAGTGGTGTAGGACCTTTACGCTGAAATCGTAAGCGTGGCGCAA